TTCATCTTTGCTATCATCGCTGCCTTCTTAGGCATCTACGTTCGATGTGTCTACCGTATCCCAGAGCTTACCGGTGGCTGGAGGAGCGAACTCATGCGCGAAGAGACGGAATTCATCATCCTGGAGGGTGCCATGATCGTGTTGAGTGTGCTGGTACTTACAGTGTTCCATCCCGGCTACTGCTTCCCAGCACTGGGTAACACAATCGGCAAGAACAGGGCTGCTCGGGGTAAGAGTATGGACACATCTGTTTCGGACGTTGAGATGGTATCGAATCGCGCCTAAGTATGTGGAGGGATGATGTTACGGGCTCTCAATACCACGGAACTTACTGCTTTTGCTTACTTGTCTTGGTACACCAGTGGCGGAAGTGTACCACACGAGATAAAGCAAACATGATCCCCTTTGTTATAGCGAGGAGTTTAGGAGTTCTTTAGATCCGTCTGCAATTCGATACGAACGTACCCTACCTTATACATCTTGTTACCGTGTACCCACTTGTCTAGACCGCTGTTTTGTCAAACAAAAGTTCGTAACGAAGTCATCTCCCTGCATCCATATCACGACCTCCGCGGAGCCTCATTTACCAGCTATTCTCCCAGCCTACGAAGGGTCGAAGGGTTTCTGGATCTCGTATGGAGCGGGAGCGGTCGCTCTGAATAGCTTGGCGTGTGAAATCCGAGGCCGAGACTTCGGCGCAGGGTCTACCGAGGTGGATCCAACTGCATCGGCGAATTGGCATGTTTAGCGAAGTTCTAGTGGCTGACATAGTTACACGATACAACCAGCTTGAAGCCCGGTCAGAAGAACTCGTCACGACAGTCACGTGTTGAAACGTTAAGGTTTAGTGACAATCTCTTCTTGGAATATGGATTTGGAGCAGGAGAGTGTGTTAGTCCGATATTACTAGACTAATGCATATCATTTGCTATGACCGAATGTGCCAATCTTATACTCGATGAATGAGGCGGTTCGGGCCCAGATGCCGACCTCGACTGAGATGTAGTACGAAAACGCACCAACATCGTAGCCCTATGTGCACATGTTCATGTTGATGATCATGCGATCTCTGTGCGATGTCACCACAATCAAGACCTGCCGATTGCGCACTGCTTTTCGATGCGTGCAACAGCAGCATTCTCCGTCGTTAAACTGACGAGTGAGGTGGTCTAGGCTTTAAATTTGCCATCGTGGCACCCTCAAGTAACCCCGGAGCGCATGCAGTGACGTCAATCGCGCATGGCTTATTTGAACCTCGTCCGCCAGCTCTTCCAGGTCGCAATGCGCTTTTGCCTTTTTTCTCAATGGTCGGATTGTCATACAGAGATGAGGGATAGCCCACGGGGCAAGCTCGATGGTGACGACGCTTTACCGATTCAACTGCCGTACTTGCTGGCATATGCATATTGTTCCTGCTAAGTTCAAGAGAAGGTTGTTTGATAGACGCTGTGGATGGCACGACGTCACACTTCGATGCGAGATATTTCTCGGTTGCAAGGGGACTAGAGTCAGCACGACACGCACAGCCACCTCCACTCCACCACACCTGTCGCTGTATGCCGTCCAATCATTCCCTGTCGTCTCGCACACCAGGAACTGCCGTTAGAGGCTCTTCTAGTCATTTGGCGAGCCTGGAACCCGTTGAACGATGGCGCGCAGTACATCTGGACCCGGATCGCCGCCGTACATGTGCCGCCGAGGCTAGCAACCCTCTTCCGTCTGGAACGCAGTCGCGGTTTCCACGCTGCTACACTTTTCTCCTTCGCCTCTTTCCTATAGTAACAGTTTTCTACGTCTTTTTCTGGACCGATCTCTACAGCACGTGAGATGGTGCGTCATGGCATCTTATTGGTCAGGGGAGCATTCCCGAGAGAAGCTTCTTGTCGGCCATTTGTACCGAGCCTTCGATCAAATTCGATCTCGGTCGCAAATGCGATCTGTTCAGATATTCCAAGGCAGAAAGCCCGTGGCGCATCGACGAGTTTTCTCATTGCGACAGAAAGTGGCAAACCGCTGTAGATGGTGACAGACAGAGGAAGCGCAACTCCAGAGCGCGAGCCACGCCCAACGACACGGCCTGCAGACCACGCTCACACATCCGTCGCCTAGGCTCCACCGGCTCCACAAGCGACTTTGGGATCTCTGTGAGCTTGGCCATCTCGCCCACTACCTCGACATTGACGGCATGGATCCCTCGGAGCGATGGCAAAGTATCGCACCAGCCTCAGACGAGCCTGGCCAGCGACGCCCAACATCAGACAGGCGGAAGAAGCGACAGGCCGTTGCTGTGGCGTGCGTGCAGTGCCGAAATGGGAAGGCCAAGGTACGTGAGACCAAGTTACACGCAATAACCAAGCCCCGGAGCATCTGAAGGTCTTTCGCATAGCTACCAAGCATGCTACCATGCTCACCAGTGCTGCGAAGTATCGGAGGATACTTTCAAGTATCCAAGACCCATGTATTCCTGATTGGCGCTCTTCTATAGGTACTCACAGCATGTGATACTACCTATAGGTAGGCTTTTTGCCCATATTTCGTTGCCCCCTCGAACTCTACTGATCGCCTGTGTGTAGTGTGACGGCACAAGACCCCAATGCAATCGATGCAAGGAGAACAAGCTATCATGTCAATACGACGTTGCCGAAGGCGTCTCGAGAGCTGAGCGCATGAAGATTATGAAGAGAGACAGTATGACTGGCGAGCTGGACGATCTGAAGCGCATAGTCACCTCACTGCGCTCGGGCACTGACGACCAAGCCGCCGCTGTTCTCGCTCGTTTGAGACTCGGTGAAGCACCCGAAGACGTTGCGAAGACCCTCCCGATGACAGCATCCCCAGCGACATCCGGCCATCCCCCCAGGTATGCATCACTCGATCACAGCATCCTCTGGCTACAGCACATTGATAACCCGGGTTCAGCTTACTGGGCCAGGAGTCTACGGACACCTCTGGAAGCGGTATGAGTCACGAATCGGTGTTTGATATGAGTAAAAGTGCCTCAAAGTTTCGACAGGGTTCTTCTATATCTTTGGCATCACCTACAAGCCAGAACGCGGGCTGGTCACCTTCTGCAAGTATTTCGTCGTCCTCGTTTGCACCATCGGGCAAAGGGAAGCAACCAGCTACTGGAGATGCAGCGAAGGAACAAAGCTTCCTAGTTCCATTGTTCGATCGCGATGACTATCTTCTAGCGCGGGATGAAGCCGAAGAAGATAGTGAAGATGAAGATAATCTCCAGGATAGTCGGATCGACCCACGGCTTTTACAGCATGCGTCAAGCCTCGATACCATGCGGAACACAGCGCCGTCATCCACAAGACCGTCTCGAAGTCGAAGACCTTCGCCACACAGACAAAACACGATTCGATCGATATACCCTACACATCTCGCTGGTCGCCAACCCATGGTAAACACTATCCGAATACACCCAAACCTCAACCTCCGCAATCTCTTTGGCAATATGCCCTTCTCCAGTAGTATCCGAAGCAACCACTACCCAGGCGACATCCAAGACACTCAGATCAGTAACTTGTTTCTACCGACGTGGGCTATGTTGCCCATCAATACAATGCCGGACCCTGGGTCATTGAAACGCGCAGTACCCAGTATACTACAACAAGCTACAAGTTTAATCAGCATGGGGGTATCGATAGAGCAGATTATCGAGATACACCCGAACATCGCAGCCCTATGGGACAAGGAAGTGTACACCCACTCGGGAATACTTTCCAAATGGGCGGTTGGTATGACACATGGCGTTTACATGAAAGGTACGTGTGATACAAAACATCACGCTAGTCCATTCTCTTACTAACAATCCATAGGTAACACCTTCTCATGCTTCGGCTCCATGTACCTCTTCTGGTGTCTCATGCGCTGGATGATATCACCGTCCCCCGAAACCTACAACGCCATCCCCGAATGGTTTCGCCCTACACCCAACCAACTTTTTATGCCACACATCAATATTGTCGACTTCATCGTCTGGCCCGCGTTCCGGGAGCTCGTTGTTCAGATACCTGCTATGCAGGAGCGCATGGAGTGGATGATGGACTTGAGCCTAAATCTCCAATGTGACTGGTCTTTTTCCGTGGGCGAAGCGCTCTGTACAAGTGAAGAGACGGGGCAAGTGGATTTATGCGATGCGGCAAGGGAAGTCGCAAGGGATTTAGTGAATTGGAGTGTGGGTCCCAGTTTTAGGGGATATGTCAGTAACGCCGATTCGTACGTTAGGATTAGGACGGAGGAATACTGAATAAACATGCGATACGGCCGATACGCACGAAGCGAAGACGTGGCTAAAACACGCCGCGAGGCTACTATCTCAGCCCCGCGGAGCAGTCATCTCAGCCCCGCGGAGGTGCGGACCATAGCAGTTCCTTGGCGCTGCCACGGACGAATGATGGGAGGTCACTTGTTGTTGTTGTTGTTGTTGTTACTAGCGAAGCATATTACACGGAGTTGCATTTCGCGCGAAAATTCTGTCGAGCGAATGATGAGCATTTTGGGCTACCAGCCTGATAACGATCTATGAAGTATATCAGATAAAAATTCCATTCAAGGATCGGGGGTATCTACTCTACTCCATGTCTTGGGCTATTCTTCAATTCAGTTGACTGTCGTGGCTTGTACTGTCAGTGTTCGATTTGCGTAATATGGGTAGAAAGGTGGTGAATGATGTAGTCATGCTGACATTGGTTCATGCGCCTGGTTCGGCAGATCGATCCGAAGATGATTCGCGAAATTGACATGTTCAATAGCCCTACTCTTTGTTGAAGTGTCGGTATTCCTTAGAGACGATGAGTGTACGCATCACGATGTAGATATGCGAAAATACGTCAGAGGAATGTGTCATCATCAGTGCAATGGTGAGCTTCTTGATAAACCGAGTCAATTTGCAAAGACCACTCCACGTCCCATTGTATAACCGAGGTTTCAAAAGAATGTGATACGCTAATCATACAAGATTCGTAGCTGTCGTTTGCGCGTCGTGCGTCATAAAACGTAGCTATCATAACGAATTTTGGGACGTAGCGACTAGAAGTAGGTGTCGTGAACGCAACAAAGCAAGCATCTTCCCCCGGTACTTAATACTCCCACCATCGCCCATTAGTCCCCATCGTCACGCTGAAAAACTTCGCATCATTACCACCGGCCTCTAACCATCATGCTCATACTCATCGTATCAACTGTTTGAGGAACTTCTGGTATGCCACAGGCGGCAAAATCCTGTCAACAATTCTCCAGCATCTCTTATACAAACCTAGCACTGTAGTCGTACCATGGCCATCGTATCATTAGCTTGACAACAATACGTTAGGATCTCAAATGACCCAAGGTATGACTCCGTCCCTGTGGTACTTGGTGCGGGTCTCCGTGTCCAGCAGCATCTCTTTGATAGCGTTGATCTGCTGCATATCTATCGTTGCATACTCCTTCTCCTGGGGAGCGGCCTTATCCGGGTGGCTTGTGGCTGCTGCCTTGTGATAGGCGAGGTTGATACCGACCGAGCTGACTCTCCAAGTTTTTAGACCGAGCATCTCGTAGGCCAGCATATTGACCGGAGGAAGGAGGTTCGCTGACGAAGAAGCACGGGCGCGGCGAGGACGAAGGGCGCGTGCGGACAGCGGTGGTGGGCCAGAAGGAACTGTCGGCGTAGGAGGAGGTCCAAGCGGTGTCGCGGGAGGAGTTCTGATGTAGGAATCGTGGTTCTCAATGTTCTCCCAGTTAGGGTCGGCGGCCGAGAAGGGGAATGGGGTGTCAGGAAGACGAGGAGACGGCGCTGGCGTGGAAGCAGTAGAGAAAGTCATGTCGCTCAACGGAGTGCGCGGAATACCCGTCCTAGACCTTTTCGGGGTGGAGATAGACCTTGAGGTGTCGTTGGCGGTATCTGTGTCAACGAAGATGCTGAAATCTGGCTTACGCTTCTTGCTCGGCTCCTTGACAACAGGCGACGGAAGAACAGTGGGCCGAATCATCAAGGACCACGGAACGGCAGAAAGTTGAGAACAAGTATGAGAACTTGTGGTCGCGAGGTTGCTGTCGTTGTCGACGCCTCCGTCTCCAATGAAGGGAAGCGGTGTTGCAATCGCGATCTCGAAGAAATACTTGTCGAAAGAATCCGCCATCTTGACAAGCTCACTGTAGAGCTATAAACCCCATACGCCTCCAACAAAGCAAAGCAAAAACAGAAAAGAGCAGGATTGTACTAACCTGGAAGACACAGAACAGAACGGATAGGCGAATCGACCCACTACACAAGCGAGGAAATGGCCGAAGAAAGAGTGGATAATCGTGGAAACAGCGACCTTTGTAAAGAGTGACGAGAAGCTGAATCTGTTATTCGAAACTGAAGGAGAGTTGCAAAAGGATGATAAAATGGAGAGTGACTGCAGCGAAGGTTCAGAATATCCAGGTGAGCACTTAGACACGTGAACCGAGCTTTCGTGGTGAAGCCGAGAAGACGTGCAGAGAACCACAGAACACGAAAAAAACGCGTAAAAACGCGCGTAGAAATGTCCGAATCCGTTTGCGTGTTCATGAAAAAGAGCTCGGCGCGTCAGGAGCAGTCGTTTATGACGTCCTGGCACTGAAGATGGACCATGGTGCTGTTGCAACCAAGGAGGCTTTGAGGCGCCTACCGAACTTAATGGCTAGAGCCAAGATGCAGAATGAACAGAGAGGATGATCTTTTGCGCGATACAACAGTCTTCCACGTATATTGTGGTAGTCTCTCTGGATATGCTCCTCGCGTGAAAGCAATTCGGTCGATAGACGTTCTGCAGTCAGTATCCCTTTTTCTCAATGAGAAGCCCAAGACAATTGCAAACCGCAACCTGGTCTGTAGTCCTTTACTCCGGGTGAAATTATGGCATCGTCTGCATTACGGTAGTTGTAAGTGGCTCGTCATTCATAGCTTCGCAGACTAGAGAATGGCTACTAAACTGTAGCACCGTGAGCACTCCACGCGCAAGGCAGTTCTGTGCGACATGATTGCTTGTCTTCTCAGCAGTCAGGTCGATAGTCTGAGGTGATTCAGGTAGATCGTCGAATGATACAATGTACTGGACATGTAGTATCCGACAGAGTAGTGTAGACTCGGCAGATAGAAAGAACAGTAAAACGCTACAGTCTTTGCCTGGATTTTGTCTTTCCTACCCTACCATACATAATCTGATGTGGTCAGCAGAACTTAGCTTACCACTGATAGTCCTCTTCGCTAGGCAGACGCCTACACTCGTATGGTAGAGTCGATGTTCGATAAACGCAGCTTGCTGATTCTGTATAGTGAACGTTTGAATATTAAGGTAGGGCGGTAGCCAAACGTTGCGTGCGCATCGTAGTGTGATAGGTCGTAAGAAGACATACTGTCTTGTGGAGTAAAGTAAAGTTGATAAAAGATCTTAAAGTCCACACCCTGTATTTGAAGAGAGTCAATTGAGGTAAGAGAAGTCCTTCGAAGATCCGGTGACTGCGTATCCAAGTGCACAAAGTAAAAGACACGTCCATCGACCAGTAAACGAACACACTTGAAGCATGTGGAGTGGGAGCCGAGAGCGGGTACAAAGATCAGTGCGATTCTTGTCATCGTCTCTCTAAATTTGCGAGGGGATGTTGTTTGCGGTATCATGTGTTCTCGAAGGCACGGTGACAATTTCTACATGCGCGGTATTGAGGAAGGAAGATGTTGTTGATGGGAGATCAGACGAAAGCATTGGCCCATCGGCACGTCGGCTCCGATGGCAGTCGCGTTGAAGTATCACTACACCATGACATGACGACATCACAGACCTCTGCAATTGCATATCGCTACCTACGATCATTCACAATTTGAGTCTGATGTTACCCGATACTCTGCTAATGCCAGGTATTGATGTTGTCACATGCAGCAAGCTGGCGCGGCGCGGGTGCTGATGCGGGGAAGAAGCTACCGCCCAAATGACGAGCCGCAGCGTTCGAGTAAGCGTCAATGAAGCACTACATTGCCCACAAGCACTGTTCCGTTCTATCGATTGCGTCTCATACAGTTCTGTTCATCCTTCAAGGACCACCAAGCAAGCATGAGTCTTGGCCCTGCCCCAACGCGTCTACGCCAGATTGCCCTTGTCGCGAAGGACATTGAACACGCGAAGCAACTGATTGTAGGGTGATAACCCAGAAGCGCATATGTCTAGAACTGATGGGGATATCAGACACACGTCCTGGGAACAGAAGTCGTCTTTGAAGATCCGGCTGTTGGGCAATGGGGTCTGAAGAACTTCTTGGGTGCGTACACACTCTTTTCCCGGCGACAGCGACTGACACCTGCAGTACCAATCGGCGGCGACTTTATCGAGGTGGTCTCGCCCTTTAAGGAAGGAACGACCGCTGGACGATTGCTCGAGAGGCGTGGTGATGGAGGATACATGATAATCATGCAGACCGAAGACGCGAAGAAGCGGCGCGAGCACATTGAGGCAAAGGGACTGTCTAGAGTTATCTTCGAGCATGATCTTGGAGACTCTGTGTGTATTCAGTACCATCCGAGGGGTATCAAGGGTAAGTTCGACACTGGTTGCATACTAGTTGTGGGCCCAGCTCTATTGCTAACAGGCTACTAGGCGGCATCATGCCTGAACTTGATTCCCATGTACCCGGTCCAAAAAACCCCACGCCAATTCAGTCTCGCTTCTCTCCATGGCACGCCTGCGGATCAGACGTCGAGCGTTATACGACTAGCATGAAAAGGACTCAGCACCTTACGCTAGAAGGCTGTGTACTTCGCCTGCAGCCCGGCGACCTTGGTCACGAAGCGGCCGCGCGAGAGTGGGAAGGAATATTCGGCGTCGCACGGATCCGTGACCTGCTCGCTTTCACAAACGCAAGACTGGGGTTCATCCCAGGGAAAAAAGGGCAATCAGAGGGCCTTGTGGCGATCACGATCGGTGTAAAGGGCAAATCCGAATACGACGCCATCTTGAAAAGAGCTCGTGATGCAGGCCTCTGGACTGACGGGGGGATCGACATGTGTGGTGTAAGATGGCATCTTGCCCTGACAGGCCACGGCGCGTCTCAGGGGAAGCTGTAGCTGCATGCATCATACGAATCACCACTAGAACCTATTTTGTGCTGCTTACTGTACGCTCCAGCATGCGATACGCTTTGACATGGCGTCGCGCGTGCCACGTAGGTCGGGGCGTGCAGGCCAAGATCTCATCGAAACAATCTTGAGATACCAGTAAGCGCCCTCCTCGAATCTGGTAGCCCCGCCGACGTCATCCACCAGGTTGGTTGAATTACCAGCCCTTTGCCACCATGTTCACGAAGGACGCGTCTCGAATTCTGTGCATTGTTTCAAACTTCAAAAAATTACCATGGACGCCAAAGTCAAAAACGCCAGAGTTAGCCGACTTTGAAATCCAGCGGTTGATAGAAATTATGCGACCCACTGCAGCAGAGAAAAATTGGTAAGAAAACCCAGCCTTGGGTCGAAAGAGCGTAACATAACAACAAACAGTTGCTTCGGTTTCGAGAAATTCGCCACAGTCCTCCGCTGCGCCCAGCTGTCAGTCTCGACAACAGTTGCCTTTTTGCGACCTGTGCGCTAAAGAACACCCCGCCATGACGCTACTCACCTCGCGCTCACGGGGAAAACGCATCGTGGGCCCTCTCAACACTTTTTCCTGGCCTTGATTTGTTCCGCACCGACATTGCGAAATGAACGCTGCAGCGCAGCATACTTCGATGCCTCAGGGTGGATGCCTTGTGCACCGCCTCGACGCTGGAGTGTACTAGTCTGCGTGGCTTACGCTTTTAGTGCGGCCTTTTCATACGGCAATGTCGTGTGACGCCCTGGTTACAATTTTTACAATTGTCGAACTTTTTAGCTTTCTTGCACAGTTGCGCGCTCATTCCGTCTCTCTCTGCACGATCTATGGGCACTCGGCGTTGGATTGGCCGTTTGGTATGCCTCAAGTTGCAAGGCTATCCTGGTCAGTGTCGAAGCTCCCATAGAGCTACTAGCAATCCTACGCTAGTCTGGCCCTACGACGTTCCCTTTCATCCCATCGGTCCCCGCACGGAGCATATGCTAGCCCTTCCGAGACGAACATACACGCGTGGAGGACGAAGAGGAACTGTTACACGATTTACAGGAGGCGTATCATCATGGCTACTGCTATTGGGTGTATCTGCTCCTGTAGCTTCGCAACACCGTTCCGCACATAAATCCTACCACCCCGACTTTACCTGTCATGGTCCATTCAGCTACCGACGAGCTGCCTCGACGAACTCTCTCCGCAGTGAGACGCGACATAATTCCCTACCACAGAGATCGCCTGACTCCTTGAGCTATAGCGATATATCTCTTCCCAGCTTCTAGACGACCATACGCGAGGCGGCATATCCATCATGTCGACATCGACGTACCCCAAATATGACCTACAGCCCGCTAGCGTGGAGCACTTCTCTGTGGCCTGCCAGCCTGCGCCTTGGTCGCAAATTAACACTCGTGTAAGGCACCGTAGGTCTCAATACACATTCCATACTTACAGTTCATTCAGCTCGAATACGATGAGTTTGTAGAGTATCGAACCGAAGAACTGTCCCCAGAGAGACATGCACACGTAGCATACGGCAACAACATTCCATCGCGACCCAAGGAAAGCACCGATGGCTCCCTGCTACTACGCAATACGCGACCAGACCCTTACACTTCTTTGCCGCGCGCGCCGCCAGTTTTGTCGCCTGCGCCGACATCCTCAGGTGCTGATGTTGTCCGATGCACACAATGCCACGTTGCCTTCACTGGCGCATATGCAAAAGGCAACCTCGGGCGACATCTCCGGCACAAGCATGCCTTGGTCAGAGAAGTTATATACAGGTGTACGGTTTCTGGGTGCGACAAGACATTCGCTCGCAAAGACGCCAAGTTGAAACACGCACGCAAGCACCACCCTGGACTGCACTCCGATCCCATCAAGAGAAAGCAAGGCAATGGAGCTGTGATTGTAGGCTCACCACGCAAAGTTAGCGGAGGGTCAACTCCTCGTCGTCGGTCAGATAATAGATCCCCTCGGATCAACCACAGCTCGGAATTGCAAATCGTTGGGCCACAGGCGCGCAAGACTTATGCTACGAAGTCTATATATTCTCGGGGCCAAGATCTCCATCGGATTGGTCATACCTACCAGACAGTAATAGCAGCAATCTCAGCCGATTGTATTGAGCCTCAACCCTCCCAGTTTGCCGACTACAATGGCTTACCAGCTGCTTCTACCGACTGGGAAACCTGTTTTTCTCTTCAACACCTGCAACCCCCTTCTACCGAATACAAATATGGACGAACGTCTGCGCCAACGACTTTTACCGGCTATCATAGCTCAACGGGTATGAGTACTCAGCTAAGCAACCAGAGCTTCGACACTTCGCCTTCACCATACTCCAATCCAATACCTACTAGGTCGAGTATAATACACGATATGGAAGAGCCCATTATCCATAGTCCCTTGACATCGCCTTGCTCCCATCGTCCCATAGCTCTACAGTATGAAGCCTCACCCTACACGACACCTCATGATACCCTGCTCAGCCAAGAGTCGTTGCCAGAAGACTATTTTCAGGCCGTACCTAGAAGCGATGCAAGCATTGATCTTTCATATATCGATCCGGTCCTTTTCCAGCAGCCGCTCGAATGGGCCCACTTGCTGGATGAGGATTTAGGGTAACGTAGCTGGAGCGGCAGCTGGTTTGCGTGTTGTACAGTGATAGCCTCGGATCACCCTGTTTCAAATACTTCGATTGGTCTTTGTACATATTGACGTTTAGATACCCCATCTGTAATGTACTCTTACGAGTGATTTGCCAATCATTTGCTACTTATTGATTGATTCTATTGGTTGTCAGTCCCATGGAGTTGGCCCACGTCCAATTTCTGCGCTTAACTCCAGTATCGCATCACTCTCCTTGCACTCTGCCACCGCCTTGTGCGTACCTTTTGTTGCGTCTAGCTAGTGCTCGAGTACTGGTTGCCGACTGCCAAAGAAGGGACACCAGCCAAGCGAGCACGACGAATCAGACCATACACACGACATCAATTGTAACCTCCTTCGAAGTCTTGATGACTAGGCAAGGAAGAATCGCTGGCCTGCCTGTTCACCTCCTCAATGTCGTACGTCGTGGTACTACATACCCTGCATGCATCTGGAATGACCAAAATCTCGGCGCAGAGAGCTCTCCTGTCTGGCTCAGCCTACTCCGAGTCGCCTCCAAACCTGCTCATTATGTTCTAGGCTTGACCATAAGTGGTTTAGCAATCCTCATGTAAATATGTTTCTCACCACCCTGAGAATAATTTGACATGGCCTAAGAGATCGAGCTGCTGGATAATCACTAGTATGATGGTGTTGAAATTTGAGCGTTCCATTCGGCTGTTGAGTGTCCTTAGCTGGAGGCATACCGAGACGTAATCAGGCGCAGTCATAGCTTTCCACAGGTACGGGTGTACATGGTTGTGCTTATCGCTGGTGGACAACGAATGGTCGCAGCTGAGGGTAATATTCGGTCAGTCCATTCGCTAGATGGTGTCTGTAGTAGTAGTACGCCTTATGACATTAGCCGTCTGCTTCTATTACTTGAGCCGGCAGCACATTTGAGTATCTGTGATGCAGCTGCCCACTAAGCTGTTCAGCGCCAATATTGACGATTGATTAGTCGGTCAGGACATAGTCTTCGCTAAACTTGGCTGGGTAGCCTCAGAAGCGGCAGGCTTCGCCTTCTCACGTACGAGAAACACACTACTTGCGGTACCGCCAATACCACTGTCTGGGTAGCCTTGCTGAACAGGAGCAATATGTGTGTAGGCACAAAAAGCCATTCTTATAGCTTGTCCAAGCTCGTTTCAGGCAGGCCTTGCAACCGCAAGTATTGTCGAAAAGAGCCATAGGAGAATTGCTGGGGTTGTCGTGTTTTGTGTGGTGAGTGTAACCCGTACTCAGACCTGATCTTGTAGTTGGCATTGCTGACCTCAACATTCTCCTAATCCTGGCGCTTCCAAGTTATAGCTCATCCAAAGTGGGAAGGATTGCACGACATACACTTTCTCTGCTAGTAAAGGCTAGATATAGCAGGTTGCTATCCCTTCATTAGCCAGTCAATGTACTTCTTCTAGCCTCTCAATAGAATGGAAATGCGATAAAGGGCGCTCGATATACTTCTCATCCCCATCATTTGTGGATACAAGAGTTCGGTGAGATGAACTGGGTGTATAGTGCCTCTAGTATGACAGTGAATGCTGGCCGAGCATTCTATGCAGACTCATCGGGGACACGAGGCATTAAGAAATGCCTGACTTCACCTCAAAAGAGATCCTTGGAGAATATGATCGCCATTATGGGTACCGGTAGGGGTGTGAGTTGGCACCCGGGAACGTACGCTGCACACCTAGGCCGCAGAATATAACAATATAACAACACGTTAGGACAAAATACAACCGAGAGTGTGGTCATGTTATGTAAACCCAGTTCAAAGAATCGAGACATGATAGTCAAAGATCGAAGATACCGAGAGACCCAAAATATCTACTATCAAGGCTACTGTGAGTGCCCGCAGCTTGATCCGAGCATGTTATGGAAAACGCAAGAGAGTCAATGAGAGCAAGACAGTATGAAGAGAAGATGAAAATCAGAGGTTCCGATGAACTGTATAGATCATTAGCAGTGGCGCATATGTTGTGACAACAGGTCGCATCGCAACGCATGTGACCATGGTCATCCAGGGTTGGATCTGCCAAGTCTGCGATACACCGATACGACGACCATCGTATACCCATTAAGCTCTCTAGCCCGAACCCAAATCGTTCATGTTTCCAAAGAAGCATCCCCTCAAGGCCAAATAGCGCCGTGTCAGAATCTACTAGCACCGGAGCCAAAAGTCCAGTCCCAGCCGGCCACATCCGAAGCGTACTGATCGATAAGCGGCCGCGCACTTGCTAGACACCGTCTCGAAACCCAAGATAAACAGAACATGATACCACATCTTTATCTCCACCCCATTCCGCCTGAACAGCGCCGTCGCGAGTTCGTCGGAAGTTCATCGGCCATCTAGCAAGCCCTGCCAGCAAACCTAAATGCGAGGACGTGGCTGACCGCCGATCATCGGCGCTAGCGAGCTTCCAGCGCCTTGGCAAGTATGCAGTCGCGTGGCTAGTCAGAGTGGCGGGATATATGCGGGCTGGCTGTGCAAAGATCCTGTTTTGGTGTTGCTTAGGCGTCCCGGTGGTGATGCATTTGATGGTCGCGATCGATTGCGGTGAGCTGTACGACCGATGACGCTGCAATACCTTGAATGGAAGGTGATACTTGCCCGGGTCTTACAGCAGTGACAAGCAACCGAACGGTCCGAATGAGAAAAACAAGAGAATCTGGTATCACAAAGAACGTTGGCATTGTGAACAATATTGATTTGTTGAACTGGATACTCGTATTGGGGTATCATCGCGTCGGAAGACCCAGATCGAAATCGAAAGCGACGGAAGATTGAATCTGGGCGTAAATCACCAAGCCCTAACCGAACCCGAAAAAACATGATAATGATGATACCTCCATCCCAAATGGAAACGCCTTGGTAATGCAACGCTATGCTATGCGATAAGCCTTCCTCTTTCGTCGTAAACGTATTATCTTTGCTGGCAAAGCAATTTGGTGCTATTGTAATATGACATTATGCTCTTGTTGGAATACAACACCACTGGTGTTCTGTGCAAAAATCTTTTGTATGGGAAGCGTAATTGCTTGCATGATGTTTTCCCGGAAGTCGATCTTGACATTGCTCTTGTCGAACCAGTAATGGCGGATGAGCTTGCCCTGGCAGTTGCTGACTTCAACACCAGGGAAGCCATTGGCCTCGCCACACTCAAGCTCCTTAATGTACTGCTCGTAGTCGTAGCGGATATATTCACCGAAGGCGGATTGCTCGTGGAATCGAGGTTGCTTCCATTGCGAGCAGTTTGCGTATCGGGTGTCGTCGGGGCACTCGTGCCATGCCTTTAGGATAGGCATAGTGTTCTCATTGTTTTGTACAATCATGAAACCAGTGTTGGTGTAGGTGCGGTTGAAGCGATCCGAGTTGTATTGAGGCTCCTTCTCGCTCCAGGGATCTTTAGCCATGACGAAGGAGTGATGTGGCTTAATATCCCAGTGGTTGAGCATCCACTCGACAGGAACGTGTAGGAAGCGGAAAGCAGCGTCGGCGTCAAGGAAGACGATGAACTTGTAGTCGTTGATGTAGTTGGCAAGCGCAGAGGGCTTGATCCAGGTCGCATGTCGGTCTTCGAATTCGTGTGCTTGAACAAACTTGTAGTCGTATCCATGGACGAGCGCGTACGTGTAGTGGTTGAAGATCCCACCAGAAACGTGGTTGATGTTGCGCCAATCGTATTCGCCCTTCTGGTATGCCTCAGAAGACTTTAGATTGCGTGTCTCTAGATCAAGAATCAAGACGTCGCTGCCCATTGTCTTCTTGTAGCGCGGGTTTGGTGGCAAAGAGATATGGCTGCCATTCGGTTCGCGGATGAAGGGCTCGGTTGGCGCAACCTTGAGGTTTTGGTACAGTAACTTGATAACCTCGCCAATGGTTGCGTCAGTTTGCGCGCTGGCTGCTGCCCTGTAGGGTTGTTGTTAGCTCCGCTCCGTGGGAAAAGCATAGCTTAGGGCCTTCCGCCTCCGCCACGAGGAAATGACAGCACATACAAGTTCGAAACTCCCGTCCTATGGGGAAAAGCCATACGGGGAGGGCTCTGCCAAGCCATGAAGGCAAAGATGAATACCAGGACACAACCAGCGCTCACCGAGAGCGCGAGCAACGGGCTCCGACCTCCAGTCGACGGCAACATCATCATGGGCAACGTAGATCCAGGAACGTGGGCGAGGTCCAAACGAGCGACACGATGGAAGACAGACGAAGATGTCTTGTTGGCGATAGGGGGTGCAGCGTGCTGTGGCAGGGCTTCGGGGGATCAGCACATTTTAAAAGACGAGAGACCCATCAGCCCGTCAGCAAGAGCCAAGACGCGCAGGAGGTGGCATGGGGCGCCGGCGAGATTGCGCTTGGCAGGCCCTTCAGCCTTTTGCGGCGTCCCTGCAGCCAGACGGACCCGAGCGAGGATCCACTGGCGGTGCAAAGTGGCTTCTGGATGCCGTCCTAGAACGAATCAGATGCCGGCCCGGTGCTGAGCCGTGAATCATTACGAAGGGTGTTGATGCACGGTTGCTGCCGAGCTGCCAAACGGCTGCCACGGCATCATCACTGCTCAAGTGGCGGTTCATGTCCTACTGTGGCTGACAGCGCATAGATAAAGGGTGATGCCATGGGGATTTTCCGGGGGAAATCATCTTTATAGTTGTTGTGGTACTTGTCAAGCTCGAAGCCTCTTGCAGTGCGGCCAGATGATCGAAGATGGTGGCAAAGGGTCCAAATTGCGGCGACGCTTAGTTGGAAATAGTAATCTCCCCGCCTGACTTGCTAGCCCCACTCGACATCTCCATCCCGCCTCCTTACATCTGCGCCGCCCCTGATAAGCCTGCGGCTCCTTTACATGCAGAACCACCCCCGCATCCGACACCGTTGTCTGTTGATGGTTGTGGTGAAACGGCGTTCATCGCAACGAACGTCGTGTTCCCAGCACGGTGTCACAATATGCGGCTGCGTTCCGATCGTTCCACTGTTCCCGTGGGCCAAATAACATTTCGTCTTCGTCAGCATTGAAGCAAATAAGCTCGGTGATTACGAGTTGGAATTACGATACATAGTCTTCCGCTCTTGGTCCTGATCATCTCTGCTGGAGATAAAGAACACTTTACTACGTTGCTGCTAGCATGCTATGTAGTACAGTCGAGTGCTCAAGCTTCGCATACGCGATACAATGGTGACTCCCGAGGTCCCAATGACTAGCTCCACGGGTGTCCACAACTCAAAACCAACTTCGCAAGTATTTTGTGAAATGTAAGATGCGGCGCGATACGTTCAGTACTATCACCATGTTAGTCAGCCACAGGCGATACTCAAGCTCCATGGCAAGAGGTGAATCTGCGCCATGGGCATTTTCTAATCGGAGCACGATGTCCGAATAGACCATGTAGACGTTCCTTCAGTATGAACTGGTTGCTTCCAGGGATTCTGGCACAGTCTCTTCCTGTCTAACAGATCTCCTTCTCCCCTTTCTCTTCTTCCACACCCCCTTTGAAGTATCAAGCAAACTTTCCAACGCGGTCAGGGTCATCCCGACATCTTTGATATGAGGAAGTCCGGTAGTTAGGACAAAGAAGAGAGTGTTAGAGGACATCGTGATGGCGCCACATGATGTGCATGGTGGCATCGCTGTCGCGGGATCGAGATTACAGACAGGTTTCGTAGTGGGTGAAAGTGGAAAAAGAAAGACATGCGGATTGCAACCGCGTCAACGATGGAATGCTCTTGACAGAGTCATGCATTTGCCCTGCACGTGCGCATGGCAAATATCGAAAGCAAACGATGGATTTGATTGACTTACACGTATTCCTGCCCCATGTCACTCCCAGCGCGTTACACTGAAGTTCTGAGTGTAGCTACAATCAGCCGTTTACCTTATCTTCAACTTACGTTACGCCACCATGGCAGCCCCGGAACACTCAGAAACATATGAGCAGTCATCATGCGCCAGCCAGAACGGCGACAAAAGTAACAGTCCTAGCCTAAGAAAGAATGGCAATCGCCACGGCCTGAACCCCCGCGCATCGCCCTTTACGCCTCAGGCACTGACCAATTTCTCTCCAGCTTATCAATCGCAAGGCAACGGATACCAAACGAACCAGCTCGCCATCCCATCTGCAACCGGGGATCTTCGACCATACAAAAACGAAAACTGTGCATCACACGCAAGTGTTCCAGATAACAGCTATCTTACATCTTCCGCAAGGAACACCTCAAGGAAAGAATATCCCGCGAGACAGCCTACGATACCACCTACAATTGAGGACCTGGAAAGGGACCCGAAGATAAACTTTGCATGGAAATTGCAACATGATAAGAGTTGAGTACTCCTTTAGGACACGCAGAGTCTAGCTACTGTTTGATTATTATAAGGGTAGAGTCATAACTGAGAGTTCACAGCACGCCCTGTAACTATTCACCATATCTTGCAAAGGCTTACTTACAAAAAACAATACTGCGAGTACCTCTTAGCTGCAGACTCAGACCTGCCATCTAAAACTCTTCATAGTTCGTCACCTCTTCTTGCACTCGCATTAGCAGTGACCATTTCCTCATACCTCCTCCTCACCTCCTCAATATTTTCCTCACGCCGTCTTGTCTTCCTGTTCCTCAATCTAAAATCTTTAAAGTGTTCTATCAAACCATCCGCATGGCTTTTCGCTGCTGATTTTAGACCTGTACAATCGCATTTTGCGAAGCTTCCAAGTTTTCCATTCTCCGGTTTTGGTGTCTTAGCCGCAGCTATGACTTCTTTAAAGTCGACAGTCGTACGTTTGTGAATAGCTAGTAACTCGTGGAAAGTCTCATCAGGGTCGCGCATACGGTCGACGATGATAGGTTGTGTATTTCTGCGCTGAGATGGCTGAAGCAATCTTTCTCGGACATTCCCTGATGCATGAACACTGTTGTGCCCTGGAAAGATGCCGGCGTACCGCTGCTCTATCTGAGGCAGTAGTGTTCTACTACTCAAGGGTTGAGTGGTGGTCTCGCGTTTCGGTCTGCTTTGCCGAAATGAGTACGGCATGCTACTCCGCAGCTGAGCCGCTTTTGCGCCACCAGAAAATCGTTTTCTACAGTCCGTGATGCATGTGTGTACTACTGAATATCTACCATTGTGTAAATGGCTACCATTCTGTGAATTACCGAGACGAAAGTTGGGGGGTATTGGCGCAGATCTGGGCTCGGTGAAAGTCGTTGTGATCTTCAGGGAAGGACGTTTATTGAGATGTAGTTTTTTAAACTTCGAAGTCGGAGGAATGCTACTGTAGAGAGGGGAATTTTCCGGCTTCTTAGGTATACGTAAGGGCGTTGGCATGTCTCCAAGCGTCGCAGCTGCTTCCAACACATCTTGATGTCTTCGTGATACCTTTTTCTCGCTTCCAATTATATCATCCATCAGCACAGCGACAGTATCGCGCTTTGTAGCCCTGGTCTCTGCACCAATCTGTGTAGCCAGCAACGTTCCTTCGCTAGAGTCCGGTATGTCGACAAGTTCTGCCGAGTTATCGATTATCATGTTCCGGCTTCCACGTCTCCCGTCTATTTCGATGTTGCTCGGTAAATACTCCTGCGCCAACCCACCCTCGGATATCGGCGTCGGGGTCAATCCAAGGTAGTCCTTCAGCATCCATTCTTTCTCCAAAATGTCCAAAGACTTCTTATCTTCTTCTTTCACCGGCGTCACAGCGGAAGCGATCCTAGGCGGCTCATCCTTCGGTGGAATTGGTGGAGCAAATGGACTACGAGCTACATGATTCATCGCTATGTTGTGCTTGACGTTGCGATTGTGGATTGGTACAGCCGCAGACTCAGCTTTGCGCCTTGCTTGGGAGTGAAAGGAAGGGTTCTTTGGTAGTGACATGGTTGTGTAGTGCCGAAGGCCGCTGAGCTCAAGGATGCTTCGTATGCAGATTACGCCTCAATCATGTGCCGCATCGCTGACCGCCGAAAGCATCAAGGTGAGCAGCGAAACGAGAACGAAAAGTAGATGATCGACATTACTATTATAAACTCTTAAGAGTCATTGGCGTTGGCTCAGTCATGATGACATGAATATAGCCGGCGAAAAAGGGATGGTCTTTGTGATCTCTAAGAACTAAACCTCAGTCTTGCGTGAAATCTCAGAATTACCGGTCAGAGTATTGCCTTTCCTTAGTTGATAGTGTACATATAGAAACAGTCTTTACAGAAGCATTCGACGTCCAGAGGCGCTGAATTTCGCCGTACGCTAAGAGGGTCCAGACAAACCTCGAAATCCAAAATTCCCAGTACTATGTGATTTCACATACTACAGCCGTGACTAGTATGCGAAAAATGAACACAACACTTATCACCCTTACATCAGATGACTAAGATTGTGTTGACGCAAGAGCAAGTCAGGCGCAAAGTTAGTCATGTATGACATGTCGATGTCATTCGCCATGTGCTGAGCCATATCTTCCATGTTCCCCATGATTGCATCCATCTCGTCATGCGACACTTCTTCCATCTCGTCATCTTCATCTTCATCTTCATCTTCATCGAGTTCCATATCAGGCTGAGCCTGTGATTCCTCATCGGCCGCCTGCGTCGAAGCCTCCCACTCTTCAATGTCAATACCAGCGAAGAACGAGCTTCCGTTTGTGTCTTCTTTTGATTCCTCGTTGTCGGCAGTGGTGTCTGAGCCGAGATCGAACGACGTGACAGAAAACATGTCTAAATCTTGGAATGCCGAACAGACAGAAGTTGGAAGAGAACTTGGCGTACTAGGGGTGGAATCATCGCCGCAGGAGTATGACTTGGCAATGACCTCGTCATCAACCCCTAGCTTGACCAGATGAGAGCTTGCAAGAGAGCCAGTGAGGAATCTTTCCAAGACAGATGGATTCATGACGGGCTTTTCCCCAGAGACAAATTGGAGTTGGTTGCCGTATTGAGCATGGAGGGCTTGGCCAATACCGGGGGCAAACCAGACGCCGTGAAGCTCGAGGCGGATGACATCTGCAACGTTAGTATCGAGCAATCTTCGTAAGGCTAGCGTGATCGGGTGTTGCGCGTATAAGATAGAGTCATCTACACACGAATTGGCCAACTTTGACAGTGACGAATCAATGCGGATGTAAAGATCCTCAAACTTCGCACCTGTCATAGCGAGGGACGCGATGGTGCTAGCTATGTTTCGTTCCCTTTCTGAGTTCGCTCCTGAGATTGTAGCATATACGGCGAGACGACGGAGGTACCGTATCCACTTATCAGCAATAGGAGGAAGGATGGTAGCGCTGTCATTTGGGGGTGATGCGGCGGTGATGGCGAACGCGTTGTGCTGGTGAAAATATGATGCCGACTCTTGACCAATTTGCTTCGAGGCGCCAAAGAGTGCTGACACAGCAGGTGTTTGCTGAGGATGGCATCTGTCAAGGAGCTGTCCATAGATCGTGTTGCGCACCTCTGCCGGTAAGTCGTTGAACATTTTCATGGTGCCTAGAGGGAGTTCGTATATCTGTCGTGGTTGGTCAAGGATTTTGTGAGACGAACGTGATTTGAATGGTGGGTGGTGATATCCTTTGACAGTGTTTCCTGTTTCAGGTGGCGTGGTGTGGGGTCGGGTCAACCAGCGCAAGACAGAGGTGAAAGCATGCACTAGTATCGGGAACACTAAAGTCGTCGATGTACAACGCTGTGCCGAACGGGTAAAGTTGCTGAAATATAGTGCTGTGACGAAAGAGCAAGTTGATTGTTGTCCGCGTGAGATGCAGTCGTAGTAGACGTGGCGGCGTGGGAGTTGAGCGGGCTTTGGGTGCGTGCAGTAACAGCGGTGCGATGAGAATGGGTTCGAGGAGACTGTACAACAGGTCCAGCTGTTATGCGGCTTCCGAAGGATGATCGACGCTAGCGCGCACACGTGAATGGCTTAGGGTCTGGCGGCCGCACAAAGCATTCAAGGGCAGGAGTACTCGCTAAGCCACGTTTACCATGGAACTGGCCCTTATATGTTCCCTTCAACCATGGGTGATGACTCCGCTTTCCCGCTCATGCCAGTACAGTCTCATATTGCAGCTGCCTGATAGGATGTACCGTATACCCCCTGTCCTATCCTGGACCACACCTATGGAGTTTATCGGGGCTTGACCATCTCGTTTGGCCTGAATTAGACCTCAGCTATACCTCACCCGGGAACTGTACGCTGCAGTCGAAATTGATATACTGCAAATGCTAACTTGACGTATACCTCTTGGGTGGTATTTAAGTACTCTCTGCGACTTGTTTAAATCAAGTCTGTTTGTGCAGCAAACGTCATCGCCTCAGGCAGAAGTCCCTCATATTACCAACGTCGTATAACGCGCCAATCGAAATGCGGAATTCGGTGGATACTCACAAGGAGTATAGCACAGCCGCCGTTCTGATGCAAGTTGCCCCGTCTCAAGGCTTCCTCGCTCTTTTCCGCTACCTAGATGGACCGCCCAACATGGTGCGCTCCATACAATATCTATCGCAGCTTGGTGATTTCAACCTCAACTCTCTGCATGTATACTTGAGGTTGTGGGTGACCTGTCCTCTATTGAGTCGGTGCACATCCATCGCACATGTCGCACGATCCTCCAAGGCCGACTTATCGCGTCATCGAGGGATGGGCTTCCGCCTACTCGAAGACAGATATCCTGTCCGAATCTGTGCTAGAGCTTTTTGTATGGATCGGATGCATCGGCGGCTAGCGAGGTAGGGGTCGATCATGTGTGCACGCGTTGGATCTGAGTGATTGTATCGGGGATACGAACGTGACGCACGCGTGTCACCAAATCAGAATTCGTGAGGTGCGCGCAGAAATCTAACGAAAGAGGAAGCAGGCGGCGTCGACAATTGGACAGATCACGATGGGCAGATAGAAGAAAGAAGGCAACTATGGCACGCGTCGTGGAGTGACGTTTCCTGGGTCATGGAGGTGTGGTGTTCCGGCGCTAGCTAATCGATAAGCGTCCACGTGACTGGTTTTCTTCTCCATTGTTGTCCACGGGGTGCTTTCACACGTGTCTCGATATGCACCTGCCGATTCACAGCTCTTGATACGTTGATCACGTCCTTATGACTCAACACATCACATTCACTCAAGTTTGCTAAGCCCTCTGCATACCACCTTCCATGTGACTCATGTTCCGTCTTCCTCGACCATGCGAATGACTAGGTCGCAAGCGTGTTGTGAGGCGCATCATTATCAGGACACGGTTGCCTCTGATACGTCACATCTGGACACGGCTCCAGGAATTGCGCGATCTAGTGGTATGAATTGGAGGGTGGAGAGCTTGTTGCCCGGTCCACACGTCTCACAAGAGCAGCTTTCAGCTTTAGCATGCGCCAACTCCGTACAGCCAGCAGCCTTCACATGTATATGATAATTCAGCATCCCAATCTGTTGCTATCTTGCTCGGGAGACTCGGAAAGACGTTATAAACTTAGTCAGATGTCCATAACACATTCATTTTCGCGTCGAAGGGTGCGGATAAGGTGGTACACCCGTGTTTGCACGGGAACCAGTTAAAGAAATGCAGATTCCAAACGATGCATCCGCATCGAGCCAGAACGTATAGTACAGAATGCTGGAACCACAAACGAGTCAAACACGTAGGGCCAGAATGGTGATGTATACCACGCTGACGCCCGATCAGTTCACTATGACAGGCGATGTCGACCAGCCAAAATGTACACCAAGAGACTCTTTTCAATGACGATGCACCCTAGGTATACTACGCTTCTCAGGTATACAACATACTTTGTGTTCCAGTACGTTGATGTAAAATACTGCGTGTACCTTTAGCGTAGACGTAGGTGTCAGGTACAATCTGACGAAGATCAGCTCCTTCGTATGTCTCCATACTACTCCTGCACAAGTGCATAAATCGTGGCAGCTGTTAACAGTCCTCGTTTGCGACCGCAATTCACTAGTGAACACCTCAGAGTCCAGGCACGCGCCGCGCTAGCGGTGGCGGAGCATCTCCCACCCTTGGAATCTTGCGGTATAGAAATATGAGCCTCTGATATTTCCGATCCTCATCCTGTTGTCCACTTACAGAACTGATTCAACAGGTCATATTCTAACACCCCACATCTCGACTCAACATTATCCAGCAGATTGACTTTTAAACGGCTCCCAGTCATGCATCTTCCCACTGCACTCACCGCCTTCATCGTCACCACTGCCCTTGCAGCCCCAACATCTATCAACGCCACCTCAAATTCCACTCTCGCCGTTGGGAACGACAACTTGGGGATTCTTGGGTGCTTCCCGTGCTTTATCTACTACCTCAAGTGCCGCCAGGTAAGTGGCATCCAAGCTCGATCATCATAATTCCTATCCTAATTAGCTTTTTAGACACAAGCTAGCGACGAGATCTGCCGATGTTTGACATCTCCTCAATACAACGGTCGTTGTCGAACCGATTCTTGTGGATATAAGGACTGCTAAAGGCAAGTGATAGTGGAGAGTACGATCAATATAGGACCTCGGAATTGAGTGCGTGGGTGCACCGATTGGGGGAAAATGATGATGTCAAGTTTGACGGATACTTGAGATTAGGTACCTCAGTGTGATCGCTATAGGAATCAATGCAATGAATACCTAGTGATGGCTACTGTAAGACACCGACGAACAGTTCATATGCAAAGCGCTGCTACTCAAAGAGTGATGTGGCGCTTCATATTCACGCACATTGATCTTTGAATCAAAGAATGAACTTCTTTAGAAGGTTGGCAAGTTTCTCAGGCTGTTCAAGTGCTAGGCTATGCCCACACTCCTCAAAAACCTCCGCAATATGCACCTTCTCGACAGCAGACTGTATCTGCTCTTTGACAAGCGGCCCGAAGAACCTAGATACCGTTAGCCATCTCCGCAAACCATGCAACATCACAAACTTACTCAGGGGCTCCCACGGTCATAACTTTACATTTCAACTTCTCCTTGCTCAAAATCTCCTCTTCAACATCTACATTGACCCAATGCGCCCGATAACTTTCCAAGACACCCCTCAGCCCGCCGGGTGCCTTCAGACATCTCACCCACTCATTGACGGCTACCTGATCTAACGCACTAGGATTATAGCACTCTGCCTTCATAAAATGTGTCCAAAACTCTTCCTCCTTCCCTTGGATCAACATCTCCGGTACATGCGGAAGCCAGAAGAAGGGGATATGCCAGTTCCAAACACCACTTTGATTGTACTGAGCAGCAATGTTCTTGCGTGTGAAGAACGTTTGCTTGGTAAGGGCGTAGGAAAGCAGCATCTCGCAGAAAGAAAGATGGGTTACCCGCTCTGGATAAAGTCCTGCGAGACAGAAGGCATACGTTGCGCCCCGATCCTCGCCATGGACAGCAAACTTCTCGTGCCCTAGTTGGTGCATCAATTCGGCCATGTCTGTCGCGTTTGTCCGACCGTCGTAACCTTCGCTGGCAGGTGGTTTGTCTGTTGCACCGAATCCACGCAGATCTGGGGCGACGATTGTGAACTTTTTCGTCAAAAAAGGCGCGATGCGATACCAGTAGTAATGTGTTTTAGGTGTGCCGTGTAGTAGGAGTAGAGGTGGACCCGATCCGGATGTGATGTAATGTAAGCGGATACCATTTACCCGCGCCATGTGATGGCGTACGGGCTTGCCCTCGTGGTCTTGCATTTCAGGCATCTTTGACGTATATTTTCGCTGCAGCAGGAGTCTTGTTGATTGCTGGTAGGATCTGCAACACGTTGAAGTGTTTCAGGATTACCTAGGTATGGTGGCATTCAGTGAGGTAGCGCTACCCCACATTTCGACGTCATTGTTGACCGACAAGTAAGCGGAGACATTTCCGCACTTGACACATCCAAAGCATTGCTTTTTCTCTTGTCGTGGGTATTGCTGGTTGGAACAATGAAATATTGACAAGGTGCAAAACAGCGGAGTCACGGGACAGTACTGACATTCGCCCGTATGATGATTGAGGGCCTCACTTTGTCGATTGCGAAAGTTTTCAATTATTTGTCTCATTTAGGCTGAATAGTTTCCATAGGTTCTATCTCTTTTTCTTCCATGTTATACAGCCTCATGAGTCCGGAATGGCAGCGATAGCCTCAACCTCGATCAAAAAGTTGCCCGGCAACTTGCCAACCTCAACAGCGGTACGTGCAGGCTTTGGGCTGGGTAGCATAGCAGCATAGACCTCGTTCATAGCCGTGTAGTCTGACATGTTGGCAAGGAAGACAGTAGTCTTCATAACATAGTCCCACGATGTGCCAGCTTCCCCGAGGATAACGGCAATGTTCTTGATGACTTGAGCCTGGCTTGAGTGAGTATGACACGAGGAGCTGAGTAGAGAATTGATTCGCGTACCGTTTGAGCTTCAATGCCGCCTGATACAATCGTTCCGTTGAACGAAGGTACAGTTCCCGAGGTATAGACTATGCCCTTGGATGTCCATGCACCGCTTGCTTGACAATCATCAGATTCTGTTCAGGTGAAATAGCCTGTATAGCATACAAAGAATAGGTCCTTGGGTACCGAGATAGGTTACCACCGGCTGTTCAGCGAGCTTTGGTGTTGGCGTGGCGATTGCAACACCAGCAACTGCAAGAAAAGTGGTAACGAGAGCCGTGAAGGATACCATGATGTGATCGGACTACAGCACGTGGGTTCTGGAGAAACGTAGATGTCAAGAGCTGAATATTATGGTATGAGTACCTCAATCAGCTTCGGTTTGTCTATGGTTTTATAAGCATCGCCAATACTGGCGGACCATCTGTTCCCAACTCTTTCGTGTTCGGTCAAGTTCATCGTCCGCATTGTACCGACCGCCATGACTTCCAAGAGCTGCGAGTATCCATGCACCAGGTAAGGCTTGCTGCCAATGTCATTCCAAAATGCAGTCAATACTGTTGGATTACAGCCACGGTTGATGTTCCATGATACAGTCAGACTCGTTTGTAATCATTTTTCAATCCGCCGCCGGCTCCAAGGTACCGGAATGTCCACCAGGAACAATATTACCTGCACTACACCCAAGTTGGCAGCGTCTCGCCCAACCATTTCGGCTGTGATCGTGGGGTTATAGAATTCACAGATATCTAGAATGCACTAGAAAAGGAAGGAGGATAGCATGCGAGGTCTTGTGGAGCAGAGCGACTTAAGCTATCGCAAGAAGGGCCGTAGAAGATGTAGCTCGCCTGGGCGCCGAGATATCTTCACACTTATACTGTGCGTTTAACGCGTGCATTGCGAAGCGCGCTCTCGTCCTGACGTAACGTGAGATAAAGGCTGCATGGATTCGAGATAAGAGTCGGGATTTAGGCTAGCCGTCGTGCGTCTCCGTTATCGCAATCGCAGAGCTCCACCTGGGGTATCCATGGCTTGCCGTTCGCTACCTTATTTGCCGAGAGGATCCAGACCCCTGTCCGAACTTTTCTACGGTAAAGCAACAAGCCCTATCCTTCGAGTTTTTGATACTGTTCCCGGACAAGACTCCATGCCACGTTCTGTAGAACCGCATGCCCGACTCATGCTTCTGGGATAGCCCCACTTAAAAAAAATCGACGTAGTGTAGGGTCGCGTCCAAGGTAAAATGCAATACTCCAAATACGCTTCTTGTATGCATAACCAGCATGAAACATGGCCACCTGAGCAGGTATGCTCTAGTCCAAGTATATTCTCTTTCTGCGTGTCGGATGTGAATCCTTAGCATTGCAGAGATGTGAAAGCGATTGTTACCTCCGATACCAGTAAGGACCACAGTGGATCGTTCAAGGTACAGTAACATCGTAAAGTCGCATACGAGACTACTGGTGTCGGTGCCGATACAACTCGGAATGATAGTCATGGCTGAGCCGGGATGCTTTTTTATCCGATGTTTTGTTATCTTTCCGTTGGTAAAGAAACCTCACTCCGCAACGCCGATCTCTTCCGCAAGCTGAATCTCCACACTATCACCCGTCATACGTTGCGCTACTGCACTTCGCTTCGAGGCATACTGCGGGTCAACTGTAACGGGGATTTGGACGCGACACGACCCCATCTTACGAGAATATTTGTCGAAGTCGCGCATAGCTACGCCTTACAGCAATGCTCTTATCGCGGCCGAATGCATAGACGTCCTGTCCTGTCAGCGGCGGACGGGCCGTCGCAACGACATGATCCGAGGACCACAGCCACGCCCTACGACGACACGGACGATAAGGTTTGGTGACCAACGAGAATCGAAAAACAGTTGTAAGCCTGTAAAGCACTGCTCGCCGTGGTGTCGAACGAGGTCGGTATTTGAGTAGACGATGTTTCCCTTCTCTTCAAATTCCTATCCTCATCACATTCACCTCTTTCTTACGCCAAGATGAAGGGTCTTCTAACAGCCTCATCGACTGCCCTCTCTCTCGCTGGTGGTGCTGTTTCCAGCCCAGTAACCCCTCGGTCAGACCTCCTCTTCTTCAAGCCTCTGACGGTTACATCGAACTCGGTACACAACGTCCATGTCGGCTACGGAGAAGATGACTTCGAGGGTGAGGTCCGCCTGGTATATGGCGATTGCGACATGAAGAGCCATGCGGATAGCCATCATGATGTGGCATCGCACTACATCAAGCGATCAGGCCGTCCCGAGCGATTTGTCTGGATCGTACCGGACGACGCGGTTCACGGTGGATGTCTACATGCTTACTCGGGGTCCGCATTGATCGGTCGCTCAGCGCCTGTTAGAATCCATCATCCACCAAAGAAGCGGGAAGATATCTCAGACGTAGCCGATGCGATGGGTCCTTGGTTCGACGGTGTCGCATACATGCAGGCAAAGCAGAACAACGCCTCATACGTCGCGGTTGAGAAGAGCAAAAAGATCGCCATCATCGGAGGAGGTATGTCTGGCTTGATGACAAGTCTTCTCCTCGATTCGGTAGGCATCCACGACTGGCACATCACCGAATCATCACAACGTATCGGTGGACGTATCCGAACAAAATACCTTGCCGGCAGCACACCTGAGCAATATCAGTATCAGGAGATGGGCCCTATGCGATTTCCTGTCTCAACCACTTACCCAGATACGAACGAGACATTAGAGATTCAGGACCACAAGATGGTTTTCCAGCTCGGTGATGTCCTCAACCAAATGAATGGAGGCAACACCAGCAGCCTTGCTGTCAACTTCATTCCCTGGATTCAATCAAGCCCAAACGTGCCCGGCAACTCGAACGGTTTCCGTCTGCCGAACGGACGCATTCCTAGCGCAACTCAGATCAAGAACAACGCGACGGCCTACACGCTGCCTGCGGCTGAAGGTCCGGACGAGGAGACTGTGGAGCACGTTGAAGAAGCGCTTGATGACTTCATCGGGTACGATCGGAAGGCCGCACGCGAAATATATGCCAACGTCTACAAAGCTCACAAGAACGCTGTTGAGAAAGGCTTGTTCCATTGGTCTGAGGCAGCGTACATGAAGTATGCGCTCAACGCAAGCGACAATGTCGTCGACTATGTTACTGGCCTCGAAAACGCACCAATTTGGGAGTATGAGACGGCATACTTCAGTGCCACGACTTGGCGAACGATCGACAAGGGTCTTGAGTCGCTTCCTCGCGCGTTCTACCCTCATGTTCAGGACCGTCTGACGCTGGGCCGCAAGGTGACTGGCCTCAAGCACGACGAGAGCACCGGCAAGATTGCGGTGCAATGGCGCCAGGATCCTCTTGCAATGGAGCCGGAGAGCGAGGAGTACGACTATGCGGTCGTCGCGGTACCATTCTCGAAGGTTAGACTCTGGGAACTTCCTGAGTACTCGTCACTCTTGTCGCGTGCCATCAACGAGATGAACTACTCGCCGTCATGCAAGGTCTCTCTACACTACAAGACACGTTTCTGGGAGAAGCTTTCACCACCCATCATCGGTGGCTGCGGCTCAGTCGATATTGCAGGTATCGGCAGCGTCTGTTACCCTGCGTACCAGATCAACTCAACCGGTCCCGGAGTCATCCTAGGATCGTACGTTTCCGGTACCCTAGCTCGCTCAGTTGGTGCGCTCAGCACGACTGACCACGTAGCCATGGTCCAGCGGGCGATGGTAGAGGTCCACGGTGAAGTGGCTGCGGAGCAGTGGACTGGTGCATACGAGCGCCAGTGCTGGGAATTCGACGAGCACCAGGCTGGTGCGTGGGCATCCCCATTCGTTGGCCAGCAAGATCTGTTCCTGCCTGCCTACTACAAGACCGAGCACCAGTCCATCTTCATCGGAGAGCACACAAGTTACACACACGCTTGGATCTTCTCAGCGCTCGACTCGGCCGTGCGCGGCACTTCCCAATTGTTGTTAGATATGGGTCTGGTCGATGAGGCGAAGCAGATCGTGGATACATGGATGGGAAGGTGGATATCCATTTAAGTGGAACAAAGACAAAAGAAAATAAAAAGCTAGATAAATACCATGGCAATGAATAATGTCTGATCGATACACCAAAGAATTGCAACAATGATGAGCTAGTAACCGTTGAAAAGATGCCATCTAAGTGGTATAGAAGAGATGAATAGTGTGCGATCCCCCTGTGATGGCGTCATGGCTTAGCGTGCCCAAGGTTTTGAAACCGAGGCTCTCACGCCAGGGTCCAGCCACCCCATTAATTCACATCTGATTCATTATATATGAATTTTGGAACCAGGATGGCTTCGGATCGTCATCTGCAGAATCGGAACTTCGCCTTGTCTTATTTGTCAAGGAGGTGACATGCTCCGCGCACCAACCTCATCGCTATCTACTGTTTTCTCCTGAGCATCTCGAGTGCGTTATCGCACGCACCACTTGTGTTCTTCTACTGCCATCCGACACACAAGCGCCTTCTATGCTGATACCGTCTCCGACTTCGCAATGCCATTCTTTTCATGTCCAATGGCAACAACCTTTTTCTCCACCAAAGCTTCCGTTCTAGATCGGCTGTTTGGATCGAAGTAGGGGACCTCTCCAATACCTACTGCTCGGTTACCAAAGCGTTCACCAAGATCATCATAATCGAAAGTTGCGCTGTGGAAGGCGCTGCGGTTGTCCCAAATAGCTGGAGTTGGTAAGTAAGAGCTTTACAAAAAGTCAAGAGTTGCTGCAGGCGCCTACCGATATCGTTCTTGTTCCTCCACTTGAAGCGGACTTGGAGGTCGTGATTCTCCGTTATCACAGACCGGAACTTCTTCAATAACTCTGCCGATTCTTCTTCGTGAAGCTCATTGATGTACTTGGGGAACGGACCAAGAGCGAAGATGCTCTTCCATCCCGTCACAGGATTTGTGCGCACTACTGGATGTACCGCACTCAACGCTTTCCCAACGTTCTTTGGACTACCACGTTCTTTTTCGTAGATTTTAACTTTCTCTGGGTTTGCTTCAGCGGCTCGAATGAAGCCGTCCCCGACGAAGGTTGCAGTCAAACCCTCGAAGAAAGTCTGGTAAGCTTTAGAGAAGCGGTTATAGATCTCATACCCAGAAGCCCAGAGTGTGTCGCCTCCCGTCTCTGGTAGTTCTGTCAGGCGGAGTGAGGTATAGTCAGCCGGAACTGGCTCAAACTGGATGTCCGAATGCCACTGCGCAGCGTCGTAGCGACGTGAACCACTTGGCCGACGATGGTCCTCATGTTTGAAGATGTTTTTACGACCGAGGGAGCTGATCGTGCTTATTTGCGCATCGTCCACGCCAAATTCAGAAGTGTTGTTCAGAATTGGATGAATATGCAGAGTGGAGTCAGCAGGCTTTCCTGTCAGTTGGCCCAGACGATGAACAAGGCTTTTTTGTAAGTCGTTGGTGAGGTTGTCTTGAGCTCGGAAGAAGACAACTCCACGTTCAGAGACTAGTTTCGGGTCAGACCGCTATTCGTCAAAGATCGACGGGTATAAGAGACTTACTTGTAATTGCAAGATCTCGAATGAGGTCGTCGGCGTTAGAAGCGTTCAGGATATCTTCGACGATGTTAACATTAGGATACTCTCGACCGATGACAGGGGTCGTTTCTTCAAACTTGAAGCCGGCATCAAGTGCACCTGTCTTGGTCTGTGGCGCAGGATACTCTTGCTTCGTTGACGTCGTCATATTTGCTTTACTGGATAGAAAGTTTGAATCCCTTTGGTTGCGAGTATGTTAGGGAGAAGAGAGACTCATATATCGATTCGACCCATGTCATGTATGAGCCTCGCTCGAGGTGGGGTCAGATCACGCAATGTGCGTACCGAGCACGCAAATCGGATCGTTGAATGTCGTCAACCTATCGCTACACTCCTTCAGGTGGGATATTTGGTCTATCTTAGAAAGTAGCAGCCGGCGGGGATATTGCACCCTCCAACATCTTGAAACGTCGGTTCGTACGAGACCTTGGTCTACTTGTCTAGATAAAAAGCTAGCAAAGGCATACAATCCTAGACTTGGGAAAGTGTCTCTTACAGACGAGTGGTTGAGTAGCCAATACATGCGCATGGGGCGGCATGAAGCCTGTCAGCATCACCCGAAGCAACCATAGAAGTAATTTAGTATTGGAGGATCGGTTATCGGGCGCAGCAAGACTCCGCACGGCGGACCAGCTGTATTGTAACTCAGGAAGGATCGTATGACCGACATATCAGATCGTTGGGCGAAGCCTTTTGACTTATCCGGCTTATTAGTCACACCAGTATGAGTAAACTCTCAAGAATGAGTGATAGTGTCCTCACGTGATCGCGCGTTGAATTACCCCGCAGCCCCAAGTCGCGACACGCTTACTCACAACCACTGTACCTAAGTTTTGCGACGTGAGGATTCTCGGAGTTTCTATTGTGCTTCGCATGCAATTCGACCAATTTGCAAGACATCTGTCTAGGACTGTGTGGAAGAGCTTACCGTTATATGGCGGATCTTTCTTTTACTGCGGTTGGTGACTTCGCAGGAGAACAGGTTACTAAATTAGAGGTTTTATCCCCATCAAATCCACTGCTTGTATCAACATGAGGTCTGGAAAATGTATACTGCCGCTTATGAAATGACCTGCATAGCGTTGTGGAGGGTTGGAGCAAGATCGCGTCGTCGCTTGTGGTAGAGACTGAATTCCGATCGTTGTCAACATCCGGCTCCGGTACTTGAGTCATGTTGCTCTGCTTGTTGGGAGTATTGGATAGTAGTACAAGTAGGTAGAAGCGGAGAACTTGGCATACTCCGTGGTATCTTTGAAACTTCCTTCTCTTGTTTATCGTGTTCCATGGATCTTCTTTACGTGAGCGGATGGCCGTATGGGGAAGGGGTTAGTGCTCTTAGCTTGCGTTTTCTCTCCGCTACACTCTCATGCGATCGTGCATTCGATGAATAGATCATCGACGTTTTGCTCAGTGTCCGAATTCCAAGGTGGAGGTGAAGTTGTCACGCTGTCGGTGGTCTGGTAGTGTCGGCGTCTACGGCGCGTGATCGCCAATATCGCCGACAGGGGATTTAGTGACTCAAGAGGTATATATGGAAAAATACTCACCTACACCAGCAACGATACGTATCGCATCACAAATCGAAGGACAAGATGGAAAACAAAACATTTGAATGGACGCGCACGGTCGACTCGACTACGTATCTCATATCCTCCGATCGATCGCTCCTTCCGCACCTGTTCGTCCAGGAAGCTTTTGCTACAGACGCAATGTTCTGGGCAAAACCGCTCCCTTTCACGGCGCTGTCGACGATGCTTGACAACAGTCTCACCCTCGGTCTCTACACCGTCTCGAACGATATCAAGACGCCGATTGGGATGGGGCGCATGGTTACCGACTACACGACGCTTGCTTACCTCACCGACGTCTACATCGTGCCCCAACATCAAGGCCATGGAATCGGCAAATGGCTGATTGCATGTTGTCGCGAGATCTGCGTCGGCATGGAAAATCTCCGATGGATGGTGCTCTTGACCGGCAGTGAGCAAGCGCAAGCGCTGTACAGGAGGGAGTTGGGCATGACAAAGCTCGACGGGGTGGAGGAGGGGTTGGTTTGTATGGGGTCACGCAGGGCAAAACTCGCCGAGGCCGCTCTAGGCTCAGCATAACGGGACCTACCGGCTTCCGCTTACGCGCGTATGTAGTTCCCTACCTTAAACATGGACGACTTTCTCCCACGATCAGACGCTACAGTGACAAAAACGTGGTTTGATGGTTGGCCTCGATTGATGACAACGGCTATTTTCGCTTCCGGACTAGTCTCGGGTCCATGCTGCATGCATGTCATCGCGTTAGCGCTAATATCGCCATCCTTTTTTCTTTATCAACATAGACTACTACAACAAGGGTCTGGTTCGCGCCCTCGGCCTTCTGGTATCTTCCGAAAACACAGACGAGGGCTGAATCCTGTTTCGAGGCCGGCATGCGACGAATTACCTTTACGGAGGTGCGGTTGGCCTGTAGCTGGAACTCCGTCTGGTGTTGGTGTCGCATCGAGATGCTACTCCAAGTGTATTACGCCTACTAAACTAGGGTTCGTCTCCGATGCTGCCCGAGGAAGACTAATCTAGATCGCACATGTGTAGACCTGTCGCATAGATCGCCAGGGACTTGTTGATATACCAGTCGACCTTGCGTCCACGTTCGCCGATCTCCCACAATTCACACCAACATGACCGCGACATTTAATACCACTCCACTATCACACACATCTCCCCCACCAGCCTCGCTGAAGAGAAAACGAGCAGATTCAGATACACAACCACTTACCCCGCCGCTAGCCGCAAACGATCCAGAAGGATCGCGTCTCCTTTCGCGCGCTGTCAACGTGCTCTCGACCGCTGCTACCGCCCTGTCGCAAGTAACCTTCTTGTACGAGTCAGACCATGTGGCGCGCGATGGTCTTCTACGCGCTGTCGAGGTTTTAACAAAGGTTAACCAGACCGGCGGCAAGCTCATAATATGCGGAGTTGGAAAGAGTGGCTTAGTGGGGCGCAAGATGGTTGCGACCATGAAGAGCCTGGGTATAGCGAGCTCCTTTATGCATGCTGCTGAGGCACTACATGGGGATCTCGGTGACATTAGGAAGGTGAGTCGTCATTTTAATGCCTATGCAACAAGGAATATACTGACGGAGAACAGAATGATGCAATCATGTTCATATCCTACTCTGGCAAGACAGCGGAGCTCATGGCCCTCCTCGAGCACATACCTTCCCACACGCCTATCCTCGCCATCACATCACATACGAAACCCTCAGAATGTCCTCTCCTCGACGATCGACCAAATTCCATACTGCTGCCCGCGCCCATACACGAGCTAGAGGAGGTCTCCTTTGGCGTCTGCGCGCCAACAACGAGTACAACTGTCACAATTGCAGTGGGCGATATGCTGGCATTGACTGTTGCAGAGGCACTGCATCAAGACGAGACAAAGACTGTGTTCAGGACGAATCACCCTGGCGGTGCGATTGGAGCAAAGTCACGAAGGATAGAAAGGCAGGAGGAAGATACCCCGGCGAAGGAATGCGATGGGCTGGTCACGCCGCCAGCAACCTGATTACGAATAGGAGGATATCAGGTAAGAATCTTGATACATGTATAGATTACATACATGCACGAGGAACGGGGAGCATATTTCTTAGTGTGCACAGAGGGCAGTTTCCTCACGTTCTTCACTCGACACTCGGCTTTACTCAAACATACCTTGTGATGCTTCACGTCACGTTACAGGCAAAACGAAGGTGATGTCGCTACCCTGTGAAGGGTAATACGATAACGGGCTCCCTGACGCGAGCTTCATTTCCCACTTCAAGTATCTTCATCGTTATTCACATGGAACTTTGAATCCCGTAGGATTACCGCCAAGGAAGCCCTAACAGGGATCGGCCTAATCGTCAACCTTGTGCAGTTCGTCGACTTTGGCAGAGAGCTTATCAGGTCTGCGAAAGAGATACAAGCCTTGGATAGCGGTGAGAACAAGAGTTTGGACGAAACCATTGTTCACCATACTCGCTCGACAGCTTCAAGAGCTTTCATCTAGATTGAAACTAGCCGTGGGCGGCGAGTTCAGCGAAGCCTTTGTTGCTTTTCACGTTATCGTCGCTGGGTGAACTGTCAAAGAGGGTGAGCGTTTGTGCGCCAAAGACGAGTAGTGAACAAAGACTCCACCGTGAATAGGAAGTGAGCGAGCATTAAAACGCTACCCAACACAGACTCATCGCAGGCCTTCTAGTACCTTGTGTCGTCTCCCCTCGTATCGCCATGGCAGATAACCTACAGTCAACGCAGAGGTCGCCGCCCCAAGAGAGGAATGGTTTCCTACGCGTCACTCCAGCACTCGACAGACCACAATCGTCTGGCTCGCAGGTCCCGATGAAAACTATAAAACGACCGTTTGGGGACGGCGAAACAACCGGCGAGCCCCTCATCAAACGCTCTCGCACAGATCAGAACGGCGACAGAAATCATCCCCAGGAACGAAAGCCGAGGACCCTAGACGCAGCAATGTTGAATGATAAACTCGGCCCGGCCGACCAGAAAACTTTAGAAGAAGTCAAGGCACGGATAGCATCAGCAACGCCATCAAAGCCTTCTGGTGAGTACATTACGCATCGCTCTTCACGTCACACAGAGTCGGTAAAGCCCGTGGTCACCACAAAACCTACTGTACCAAAGTCGTTGAGAGACGCACCTCCGCTTCCTCCAGATACCGAGCCTGATCGTGATTCTCCCGAGGATTCAGGATACGACAGACGTGATCACATGCGTACCGGACCGTGCTCTGTCGCAGGAGGCTTCATGGATGATAGGCGTTCATCTTTCTCCCCTTTGATTGAACATCAAGAACGCATTGACAGGCTTGATCCGGGACGAAACAAACCCATGCCGGAGTCTCGGAATCGACGTCGTTCCGCGTCGTCTGACGAGAGGCTCCCTGGAAAGAGGATGCGTGGTCAGGAGCGGCATGAGCAAGGCCATCACAGGGCGAGATTCCGTGAACGCGCGATGCGACATCATGATCGCACGAATAGTTGCCATATACGTTCGAGGAGCCGAAGTAGATCACTATCGCGAGAACAAAACGATGATCGGTATAGGGGAGATTATGCATCTAAACCAGAGCGACATTCACCACGGCGGCGGGATGAAATTCTTCCCGATCTCGAGGAGGATAACCACCACGCCGCCCCACGATACCATCCGTCAAGGACTCAGCTACCACGCGGTTCAACGCCACCGCTACGGCTTCAGGGAAGACAAAGCCGTGCGATTTCGCCCCGGGAGCAGATGAGAGAGCGGCTAGCTGGATCACGAAGCAGAGAGACGTCGCAAACTCCAGAGCAAGACCACACCCACGTTGAGCCTTGGTCACAGTTTGAGTCAGCAGATCCACCGCCCGATCCTCATGAAAGCCTGGGTGTCAATCCGGGCGAGTATACTGAAGAACAAGAACTATCACTTTTCGGAATTTTGATCTCCATTTATACGAACAGAGAGAAGATTGCAGAGCTTACTCTCAATCAAAAGAGGCTGCAGTATGAGCTTGATAATAGGAGGACTGCACTGAGAAAGCGGCGGAGCAGAGAGCAACGAGATGATCTTTAGATCTCCTCGCGTGCAGTTGTAGATCAAGCTTGGGGTGTGTGTACAAGTTTGGAGCATTCAAGATGAAATTCAATCTTATTCTTTATATTACATCCTGGACGCGTGAATTATACAGGGCAGGTCGCAATTTTACATCGGCGCATCGGCGCAGCGCTTTCCACCATGGACCATTCGAAGCCGGGCAGTGCTTTGTTCAGCAAGCACATCTGTCCGCCTTGTATGAATGCGCAATGAAGATCTCGATGGATTTCCAAGAAGCGAGTGAGAGATGATATAGAAGGTAAAGCTGGCGATCCGCCGAATGTACTGAAGCTTTTACCTTTTTCATTCAGGGTCATCGTGACTCGCTCTAACGCCCATCGCTTCCCAACAAAATTACCCAATGTCGACTAGATGTAGATTGACTCACTTGACAGACTTCGCGTCATCTCGTGTTGTAACGGAATAATCTTTCTTCTTTAAGAAATCATCTTCCCTCACTCACTTCTCCGATGGCATCATGCATTCACGATATGGGTTTCTTCACACTACGGATGTATACATTCACAGTACTTTTTCACCTTCAAGACACAGCTACTCACGAGATAGTTCATCAACGCCATGGTCTCACTTGCACTGTCTTGCTACAACATGCATCATGCGAGCGACTACAAAAGATTTCTCAGTATTGCTCTTTGGTTGGAAGTCATCACATAGCTCACATACTACAACGGTATTCACAACATCAACGACTTTGAAAACCCAACAACTCAGCGACATGAATCCCTTCGGCAATCTATTCGGCTCCGGCTTTCGCTCTGACCGATCATCTTCCCGCCGTTATACACACGGCGGTCACGATAACTATGGTAGATCCAGCTCTAGCCGGCTCAATGAACCCTTCAATATGCCTTATGGCGATTACAGGACAACTTCACGCCGTGAAGAATCTGACAACTCGACTCTGCGTCGTGCTGCTTCCCAGCGCGAGCCATATGACCACCGGTATGATTACCGTGACGTGAGCCCGATCCGCGCCTCCGAGCGTCCTCGCGCTTTCACTCATAAGCATGCCTACGATGACCACCGTTCGGTAAGTCCTCTGGGTACGTCTCGGTTCGAACAGCCGTCGATAGCGACACGCCAATTCAGCGCGTCAAACATGGGCGGTACATTGTCTGATCGTACCCGATGTTATGCGACGAACTCTCGCGACACCTCGTGGGGGACCTCGTTTCGAATCGACCGTGGCTACGATGACTATAGCCGTCCAGAGACCTCCGGCGGAGGATTTCTCCGTAGCAGTGCAGCCCGTAGTGGAAATGCTTCTCGCCGTACGGGGAACGATGAAAGGTACGGCTCGACACTTGGTCGCGAGCACCGTCCCGACGTTGGTTCGAACTTTCGACATGGTGGATTCAACTGGGATCTCTTTTGAGCTTTTCTAAGTTTAGTATTCCTCGTTCATCGTCTTTCTCCTACGATGTTCTCTTGTTATCCTTTCTTTGTCAACAAATAGGATGAGAACTTGTATGAGTTACATATACTGCGATATAATGCCATTTGTATTACCCAATACCATGTTATGAATCTGTCATGATCTAAAATACACGTGCGTTTACTTCTTGAACATGTCCATAAACATGCGAAGCTGTCTACTCCAATGTATACACCCGAATCATCCGAAACGTACGAAGTCGACCCTAAATCTTACTGTGTAAAGCTCTTTATCATCTTCCTTCCCCGAATTTCATCTGCGCTCACGGCCTCCGGCGTCGCTGCATCCTCGTCTTTGTATTTTTCGCCCTCATTATCATCCGTGATAAGATCGTGAGGCAGATTAATAGCCCGATCGAGGGCATATGGCAGACCCCTGTGCCTACCACGCAGCATCATAGCGCAAATTACCACTTTGCCGAAGGTATTGAAGTGTCCAGACAGCGAGGTGAGGTTGGATGGGTGACCAAGCGAAAGACCGACGTTGCCGTATGCAGAGACTACTTCGAAGAAGATTGCGAAGACGGAGAAGGCCTGTTGATAAGTTAGCATACGAATCCCGGTGAACATGGTTTTGGTCGAACTTACCCAATCTTCCCGACTCATGATCCGATCACTCTCCGCAATACAGATACAGAACACACCCAAGAAGATGTACCATAGATCGAAACTCAACTGATTCCGTAGATGACTGATCAAGTATGTTTTGCTTCCCTTCTGTTCATCCAAATTCTCATCTGCACCGTAGATGCCCACAGATTTCTCCTCGTAGCTCTCACTCATACGGATAGAGATCGCGATCGGGTAGATGGAAATATACATCATGACAAGGAGACTGAACTGCACAGCTGGGTTGACAGCCGCAAGGTTGAACGTCGACGTACCAGTGTGGCGGGACGATGCAGACTGGAAGATGGCAGCGAGGATGCGGGGCCCGACAGGTAAGACGTTTACTTCTGGGTTGTCTAGATCGAGGACAACGATGAGCAGAGTGTCGATGAAGTTCAGGGCGAAGAGGATGGAGGCTAGGATCCAGGTTGCAGTGGCAGGGAAAAGCAGTGTGTAGCATCTTCGCGGATGGTCGAGTAGGAAGCGTGTCGATTCTTCAAGCGAGGAGCTCGTAGGGGCAAGCTTGTAGATGGTCCAGATGAGGAGGCGCAGGAAGACGGGATAGAAAGTATTACCGGCGAATGCGAGGAACGACATCACTAGCATCGGCCAGGTTGCGTCGCGGAAAGTTATCATACTGTCTGGCGTAAGTGTCAGGCCGAGATTGTCGACCATGGTTTGCGCTGAATAGAACGCCCACCATGTCTTGTCTTGACCCTGTGAAGCAAGGTAGTCTTGGTACTTTGCTGGTGCCATATGAATCCATGGGAGTAGGCAAATGACTCCGAACGTGTGTAGTCCGACAAAGTATCCGACCGTGACCTTGAGCAAGACGCGCAACGCACGATACTCAACACCACCTAGCTCTTCTCGGGTCATGGAAGCCAGATCGATGGTGGGTTCTCTCCGTGGCTTGTCTTCACTACGACGATGGGTGCTTGCGGTACTTCCGAGCACGAATATGGATGACACAGCGCGATCTACGGACTTTGCCTTGCTCATGGTTCGAGTGTTCATGCTTCTGGTCTCTGACAGGTTGCGACGTCGTGTATAGCTTGATTCTGCGACGGGCTTGATACGGTCTTCATCTTCGTCTTCATCATCGGACATCGAAGTAATGGGTTGACCATTTTCGCGTTCCCGTGGGCCAGGAATGTACAAAGTGCCTTTTTCTTTGGCAGTGTGTCGAGGGTCGGGTGCAAACGTGATGCGGGGAGCAGAAGGCTCATCGTTCGAATTCTCTACAGTGGAAACAGGCACAGGCTTCTTCTCCGAGACTGTCTCGCCAGTGAGACCTGCTTCAAGCTCTCGTGTATCGGAAGTATTGGTAGTCTTTTGGACCTGACTGATAGACAGTCGGGAGCTCCTGGGCCTAGTGTGTGCCGCTGCTGTTGAGCTGTTAGCTTTGGACGTAAAGACAGGACGAAGCTTGACATACCGACACCCTTCAGCTTCTGACTAAACCAACGTAGTCGCACAACGACGACAATGACATTAACAAATCCCAGGTTTGTAACGATGGGTGTGATGTAAACGAAGATTTGCTGGTACGTTTTGAGAGCCTTGACATCAACACTAGTTCACTGTCAGCACGAAGCCAGTCTAGCACATGCCAGCGAAACTTACGGATTCAACCCAGATTCAGTTGACGCGCTGACACCAAAGTAGTACGCATCGATAGCGGAAAGGTTGCCATAGGGATAAATGATGATCAAAGCTAAAATGCCGAAACTGAGAATGTAGGCATCTTCATGCCGTTAGCGATGTCATCCCTCTTGAACCAGGCAAGCACCCGTATGCAGAACTTACAATGCAGCGTAATGAAGTTTATTGGTGGCTTCCACATGCTGGTCTCTTCTCGTTTCGAAATGAACTTTCAGAAATGAAGTTGAGGGATTTCCGTATACGTGCAGTGCAGCAACGAGACGCAAGGGCGAATAAGCGAATAAACGGTATGACAAAAGAGCAGCAAAAAGAACTCAAAACACAGAGCTCGTTTACCAAAGGATTGGAAAATGTCTCGGGAGGGGTAGAAGCTCTAGTTAGGGAGGCAATGCAATGTAATGCGGTCTGGTCACAAAGGATAATGTTTGTATGAGGCATTTATCACCCTCACGATCAGCGGGCTGCTCAGCCACTGCTGGGCAAGTCATGATGGGCCTGCCTTTGCCTATTGCGGCGGATATACCGCCTGTGAAAGTAACGTAGGTCATGTTTTACTTGCTTTGCCGGTGTTTGCCAAGCGGGGGATAATTCGCGCATTGTGACGATGTCGTGGTCGCGGAGTGCGAGTGTTCCTACAAGCCTTCTGGCTGCAGACTAGCGTGCGACCCTCCCGCTATACGAAGGCTTGTGATTGGCCAGCGGGCTCATCTGTATGCAGGTGCGCGCTTCCTTGCCCTGTGGGGGTATTTATTTCACATGGTTAACTCGTGGCTTCGCTTGTGGTGTCGTGGATGTCGTTGTACGTAAGTTACGTCAATGTTCAGGTTTTTCAATATGCGAGATGACTGTTCATCGATGGCTCCCATTGTACGGTGTAGTATTGACGGTACTTCAAATGACCGCAAAAGGCCCATCATGTGTTAGTGCGTTCAATTCAGCCGTAGCCATCTCATCCAGCCGAGTCCAAGAACGTAAGACTTTACGTTAAGAAAACCCATCTACCCCTTCAAATTATTCGCGCAAGTCTCGCTAGGATTCTACAGACGCTTGATTCGACTTCCTTCCTTTTGCGACCGTACTTTGTACGTGATGTTAAGCATAGACATGCGATGCACGTGTACATCATTAGAAACGTCAATGTAATTACTATGTCCTTATAGGCATTATCCCCCAAGCACCAGAGACTCAGAATGTCATTGTACGGCGTTGATCTAAACCAATGACTCAAATATTCCCATCAATATCACGGAAAGACGAAAAACACCCTCTTTCTCCTTCTGCATTCCCATTAAACTATAGCCCAAGTTCCCACAGCACCAGCAAGAATCGCAACAACAGCACCCAAAGCCAGATGCATCGGCTGAATCTTGGTTGCCACAGCGGTCTGGATGACGGGTCCAGCAACCGTCTCAGCGATGGGAGTAGTGGCAGTTTCGACGATCGGTACAGGCTGGTGCTTCTTTTGCGCCTGCGCCTTCTTGCCGCCTTTTGTGCCACGCTTCTTCTTCTTGGCTGCTGGAGCAGTACCCTCGCTATTGTCTTTGTTTTCATCCTCCTTTACATCAGATGAATCTGGTGTTGACGCGTCGCCGGATTGTTCAGACATGAGGACGTCGTATATGTTTGACAACGTCGCCGCCTGCTTGTTTTCCTTACGCTTTTCATTGCGCCTCTGGTTCTTCGTCTTAGGGGGTGTAGGAGTTTGTACAGTTTGTGTGGAAGGCGGTGGTACAGGGGGAGCGACAAGGAAGATGTGTATAGGAGTCTTTTCGGATAACTTTACTGTTGGCTCAGATGGGGCCGCAGGTGGAGAGGCAGCAGACTGCTGTGAGATCGGAATTTCGATAGGCGATGGCGACCCTTCAGTATCCTCAACATTGATGAGCTTGAACTGATCAACATTGGTTTGTTCCTCGACGTGCTTGTCTATGTCTGTCGGTGCGACCGACGTCGAGGGCTCGACGATGGCCCCATCATTCTCCTCAATAATGGGGAGCGGTCCAGAGACCTCGAGCGTAGACTCCACCTTGCCTGGCGAAACTGGCAGCGGAACATCTCCAGCCTGCTTCGAAGTGATGGAAGCATCGGACGTCGATGCCTCGGTCTTTTCAATCTCAGTCGCAGCAGACTGGGCAGCGTCGGTCTTGGCCTTGTTAACTTTCTGTCCGCCCTTCTTGCCACGTTTCCCCTTCTTCTTGGTCTTCTTGCCAACGTCAGCATTCTCATTCGCCAGATCTACGTTCTCTTCCCCGTCAACTTGGTGTGAGAACGTTTGAGTAGCGAGAGACTCCTCATGTACAGATGGTGCGCTCTGTATACTCATCTTTGCAGTAGGAATATCCTCCTCGGTTGCATCTGTCAACAGCTCCTCTGATTCGACAAGCTCTTTCTCCTCGGTTGCGAGAATTTCATACCTATTCGACTTCAACGAAGCAGAAGATGCAGGAGAAACAGGAGAAACAGGCGACTTTGACCTAATGGGTGTGGATCCGGCGGAAGTTATAGACGTGCCTTGCGACTTCGGGTCGACAGGAGCGACCTTGGAGAAAGCGAAAGGCGGGCCCCATAATCCATCCCACTCTTTCCTCAACTGCGATATGGGAATAGCGGTATCGTTCTCGGATCCTGTCGCGGTCGTGGCGGCTGTTGGAGTTTCGGCGATCTTATTGTTATTGAGGACGGTAGCAACCGAAGCAGATTTGGATTGTCCTCTAGTGGCGATGTTGGTCTCAGAACGTGTCTCAGTCTCCTTTGAGGTCTGCTTGACTGGCGCGACACGCGAACTTTTGGTATCTTCTTTTTTAGGATCCTCAAACATACCAGGCCACACACCGTTCACTCGATCTTTCTCCATCAAAATCGCGACAATGTCCCTCGGTTCTGCACCATCAGGAATGCCATGAATCTTAGCCAGAATCTTAAGCTCATTCACCGATTTACTACTGTAATGCTCAAGACTGGCTGCCTCTGAGTAAGGTGTTCTAGCCGCGGTGTTAATGTTCGCGGGAAGCGACATTGTGGCTGAGGATCGTGCGGGTATGTGATTCGTGCTAGTTTTGATTCGAAAAACTTCTAGTTCGAGATGGCTGGTTGCAGTGTGGGTGGAATTTGAGGTGAGTCGGTAAAGTCAGGAGAGGAGAGCGCTTGTAAGGATTTCTAGGATTACAACAGTGAGAGCGTGGGGTTGCGTTGGTACGCAGCGGAGGGGCGCGCGCGCCGATCCAGGAGTGAATGTGCTTTGATGATTTTCTTGTGATTGAAGAATTGGCTGAGTTATTGTGTAATAGGGTGTGTTCCATGGAAGCGAATTACCAGACCCGTGATTGATACCTCTTAGTGGGCGGTCGAGCTTTCGCGTAGCAGGCATTCACGCATGATTACAGGTCAGCCGCCACGACAATGGAAAAGTAAAACGAGGTTTTCACTTAGCTCAGTAATACGGTTCTGAATGACGCCACTGATAGCTTGAGTGATTACAAAGACCAAATGTAACAGAGTATGCGGAGAGAGTATTGGAACTTGCGCGGGTGGAGAAGACCTACATGGTCTGAGGCTGTGCCTATGAAGACACACGTCGAATACGATGATTCGCGGTAAGACTACAAGTGGAAATATATGAGGGGTATCTTAAGGATTATACAACGAGAAAGACTGCTTCAGCAGGAACTCGATCTGCGCCACAGTGAAAGGAAGGCATTCATCATAAGACGCAAGGATGAACCACCCAATCGAGAGGGAAACCAAACTTACGGCATCACCGGTATCTTTGTGACCCAGTCCTCCACTACCCAGCCGTTATCTTGATATAACTTCTGCAAGTTTGATCGAAATTGCGCTGCTTTCGTAACAATCTCTGCGACACTCCGTTCGCGCAAACATCCACCCAGCGGACGAGACGAATTAGGCTTGCAATACGTTGTGAAGATCTTCTCGAAAACTTGTGGACCTATATGACGGTTAGTATAGAAACGAGAGACTCGACAGAGAAGATGGAACGTACCAGCATAACGCTTCAAGCCGTCGAGTAAAGCGGTCTCTTCTTGTTCAGTCCATTCTTGGCTGTCGTCCAATGTCGAAGCTTGACGATGTGGAGGAGCAGACCGAGATGTAAAGACCGGCAGCCGCTCGAAAACGACACCGTTAGCGTCTTTTTCTTCCAAGTCTTCGAGCTTTTTGATGGCCAACTTCAATCTTCTACGCGGATCAGTTTCACAGAGCATGCGCTTGATATGTAGATCCTGCCAACGTTTCCACCGCTGCGTTTGCGCCTCGAGAGACATGGTCTTGCGGTCTTCCTCCTCTTTCTGCTCTTTCATCTTGCGATCGAGTTCTGCTTGCTGCTTGCGATGTTGTTCCGTAGCTTCAAGCCTACTCAGACATCTGCGATACGTCTTGTCTACGTGTCGAAGATGTGCAATGAGACTGATATCCACGTCTTTGATTATTCTATCACCCTTGAAGTGCTTGGGAACAAAGACATTCCAGTCCGCAATCGTGTCTTTAAACGCCAGTATCTGGCGTATTAAGGGTGACAGTATCCGCAAAGCGCCTAGTGAGTCGGTCACTGCACCGTCGTTCTCGTCTAGCCAAATATATAGTGCTTCGAGGTATAGTATGACAGCACGGAAGACATGGCCATACGCGTCACCTTTGAAGGCGCGCTGGTCTTTCTCTTTGACACGAGCGTTGATCTTCCTAAGCATTTCTTGTAGTTCATTGACATCTTCAGCAACTTGCTCCGTCGGTATATCGCTATCCTGAAGGTGGGTGCGGTGTACGTTGCATTTATGGATGATCGAAGTAGCGATCTTAGTTTCACACTTGCCTGGCCGTGGCTTAAGGTTGAGGAACTCAAAGACGGTTTCAATACTTCCAGGCTGTCCTGTAGGACGTACTGTCTTGTGACCGTCATCCGAAATGCTTTCAGATCTCTCTGCGTCCGGCTCACGCTCGGACTCGTAATCGGACTGGGCACTTCCAGACGCGCTTTCGATCTCTATGACATTGGCTATTTCCGAAGCTTTCTTGGATGGTTTTGCGTGGATCTGGGGTCCTCGCTTCCTGGCCGGTAACGGCTGACTGGTCACTGTAGTATCATTGGTAGGTTTTCTTCGAGATTTAAGTTTTGGTGCTGCACGTTTTGGACGTGAGCCTTTCTCTTGTACAGGATCGTCGGCGATTTCTTGCGTTCCTTGTTCGTGGTTACTGTGATCCACCTTCTCTGTGGTGCTCTGCTCTTGCGATCTCCGCCGGACCGGAATTCGGACCCGTGGATGAGCCTTCCTTGATGAGACTGATTCCGCAGTCGTTTGCCCCTGTTCTCTCTGATATTTCGCAGGTCTATCATCACCGTGTTCCGACTCTGATTTCCGTTTCGATACTGCTCGTGTGTTGGCAAGATGCTCTAGCGCATCAGACGGTCTTTCGCCCACACTGGGTGGTGTTTCGTGACGAGTGTTATCTACGGCTACGGTATCGCTTTGCGACGGAACGAGTCGAGGCGGTGAGGAACGTAGGTCAGTCTCTGCTGATACCAGGTCTCCAGGCAAAGCCAAATCCTCCACCAGCTCTTCGGGATCCACCTGCAATCCGCCTTCGGTCTGCACCGGAAGCTCCGACGAAGCTACAGGAGCATCACTCGATAAGTCCACTGATTTCGCCTTGCCTTTCTTCTTTTTCTTCTTAAGGATCTTCAAGGGCTTGTGGTTGACCTTCTCTGGCAATGCATATTTGCCCTTCTCAGGGCTCAGCTCAATCTCGTACGGGTCACCTCTGACCGCTAGATTCTGTTTTGAGCTCTCATCCCTCTTCAGGCTGACCCGCTTGAGTTTTCCCTGACCTTGTTTCCCTTTCCACTCTGGAAAGCTAGGAGGGTTTATGCGCGCTGCGTTGAGGAGGTTTGCGCCAAGGACCGCGGACGGTGCGGGCAAGTCTGCGAGTGGGGAATGGGATTCGGTGAGGAGCTGCTGGGTTGCGGCGTCGTCGTCTGAGGAAGGTGAGGGGGGTTTGCGAGCTAGTGTGCTAGTGTTAGCTCAGGACGCGTGGGACGGAAGCTTCAGCTATGTTTATAATAGGTAGCGGCCATGGAGAACTTGGTGTAGACACCTGCCAGCTCTACTACATCATGAGCTTGCGGCTGCGATGACGTACCTCTTTGCTTCGACGTGTCCTTGAGGCGCGCCATCAGTGAGCGTCAAGAACGCTATTGCATTTGTGTTGATGAGCCTCGGCGATGTCGGCGATGTGGGGGAGTGAAGTCATCCCCACGCTCAAAAGCAAGAGGAGGCTGGAGCGCCGGGCGCGAAAGTGGGCCTCAGACACGCTATCACATGAGATCGTCCCTGCGCCTGCCCACTATCGATAACCCACAAACTATCACCACACCCCCCATTCCGCCATGTCATCGAATCCCTCTAAAGCACCCGTACTAGAGCTACTCCGCAAAGATGCATCGCACAGTTTCGAAATTCCCGCGAAACGTATTCACGATGGCGACGATGTCACTTTCTTCCTGGCAAGCAGAGCCTATGCCGATATCATGACTTTTATCTTCCAGCTCAACACAGCTATGATACCCCGGAAGATCGAAGAATCTCAAGAGCAAGGAGGCAACACAGGTTCATTCAAGGAGTGGAAATTGAACGATCCAGACGTTCCTCATCCCCCCGTTGTTGCAAACCTCGCCAAGCTTCTCGACACCCTGGCCTCCATCATCGACGAAGCACCGCCAGACCCAGGTCCGCGTCGCTTCGGAAACGTCAGCTTTAGGACCTGGTATGATATTGTTCGAGAAAGGGTGCCTGCACTCCTTGATCAGTATCTACCCGAACAGGTACTCGCCTTCAAATCCGCGTCTGATGTCTCTGCCAAACATGAACTAGAAGCCTATCTCATCGGCAGTTTTGGTAGCTCTCAACGTCTCGACTACGGTACAGGCCATGAACTCAGTTTCCTCGCTTTCCTAGGCTGTCTCTGGAAACTGGGCGCTTTTCCTCATTCGGAAGATGGCGAGCAGGAGCGCGGTATCGTTCTTGGAGTAGTGGAACCATATCTCGCTCTGATACGACGACTTATCTTGACGTACACACTTGAACCCGCTGGCTCCCACGGTGTATGGGGGCTAGACGATCATTCGTTCGTTCCGTATATCTTCGGCAGCGCGCAACTTTCTCCCGCTATCGTTACGCCTGCAGATGTCGCGGCAGAAGGCTCGTTACCGACTGCTCCTAATCCAGGCGACGTGGCCAAAGCCACCGCTGTAGCCCGAGAGCGAACGCGGAATATGTATTTCAGTGCCATCGGCTTCATCTACGATGTAAAGAAAGGACCATTTTGGGAACACAGCAATATCTTGTACGACGTCTCTGGTGTTAAAGCAGGATGGGCCAAAATCAATAAGGTAATCCACACTGTTTTCCCTACCTCAATGCGTCAAACTGACAATAGTTTTAGGGGATGATCAAGATGTACAACGCAGAAGTTCTTTCCAAATTCCCTGTAGTCCAGCACTTCCCGTTCGGCTCGCTTTTCTCCTTCTCAGCGGATCCGAATGCGAAAACCATTCAGGCAAGTGTTCATACTGCCAGTCAACCTAAGTCGAGTACACCGTCTACCACAGCACCTACTGCTCGACCGGGTCCACAGTCTGCGTTACGGGATCCGATGGCCGACCCTATGGGTGGAGCAGCTAGGGGAGGCGGAGTTGGTACTGCTGCGCCGTGGGCGGGTGCTGGGGCTAGAACGGCGGGTGCTGGAATGCCTCCAATGACGGCCGCGCCGTGGGCTACTGCTGGTGCTAGTGCTAGAGGCACAGGTAGTACAGATGTACCCAATGGTCCGAATCAGCCTACAAAAGCACCTTGGGCGAGTAGAACGCCTGCTCCGCCACCGACAGTAGGTGGCACTACAGCACCATGGGCAAGAGGGAATGCAGGGGATACGCAGAATGCCCAACCAAGTACGAGGGCACCTTGGGCGGATAAGAGATAAGATAGGGCAAGATCAAAAAACAAGACATTAGACACATGTAGCATGTTTTCGTGTACGACATGTACGATATGAGACTCGAATTTGTCTATTATAAGAAGCTTGGTAAGGTCATGACCACAAACTACAGAGTCATGCACTACGCACCCCACGGTGTCGCAAGCTTCCACCAAGATATCGTTCTTGGGTTGTCTATCCTCCTTTTCACACAATCAAGCAACATTTTCCATCAATCCTGCCCCCACCGTTCGTCCCCTCTCTCTAAGCACGACCCTCATTCCCTCCTCCACCGGTAACTCCTTTTCCAGTTGCACCACCACCCTTGCTACCTCACCTGGCTTCACAATTCTCGGCTTCTTCTTCACAACCTCTCCTGTAAACTTATTAAGCTTAGCGCTCAGCGTTCGAATTCCTGCAGGTGAGTTGAGTGTGCTCCTAAAGACTTCCACCGGCATAGGCAGTACGTGTTCGAAAGCCAGGAGCTTGGACGTAAATGCTTTGACAAGTTTGACAGGATCTTTGGGGGAACAGACAATGTCTCCCTGACGAAGGTGAACGGGGTCGATGTCCGTGAGGTGGAGGGTAGGGATTTGACCGCAGACAGCCCAGTCCACGGGTGCGTCTTGCACTTCGATAGATTTTATAGTTGCGGTTTCATTGGCAGGGAGAGCGAGGATAACATCGCCCACTTGTAAGGTTCCGGCATCGATACGGCCTGATATGCTTAGCGGTGAACGGATATCACCTCGGAAGACGTCAGCAACAGAGAGCCGAAGTGGTTTCGTGAGGTTTCGGGTTGGTAGATCGATTCGTTCTAGAGCTTCTAGCAGAGTCTCGCCAGTGTACCAATGTGCGGCCGAGTTTTCGATCTTCTTGACGACGTTTTCTCCGGTCAGACCAGCTAGGGGTATGAATGTTATCCGCTTTTCGAGGAAGCTTGCTTCGGTGAGGAAGGTGGTCATGAGTTTCGAGATCTCGTCGAAGCGTGATTTCGACCATCCGACTGTATCCATCTTATTCACGGCCACAACAATATGTTGCATACCCATGCTTCGTGCAATTAGAATGTGTTCCTTCGTTTGACCCTTGAGACCAGATTCGAAGCTGTTGGTGCTTGCGTCGATGACAAGGACGGGGAAGTCGGCTTGTGATGCACCCGAAATCATTCTTGGTATGAAGTCCTTATGACCAGGCGCATCCAGTATTGTGAACACGCTCCTGTCTGTCTCGAAGTAGTTTGTCGCAATGTCGACGGTAACACCACGACTCCGCTCTTCGCTCGTTTCGTCCATGACCCACGCGAGCGCGAATGATGATTTGCCAATAGTTTCTGCTTCTTTTCGTAATTTGTCTATCGATCGCTGATCGACAACATGAAGATCGTAAAGCAATCGCCCCATGAGCGTACTCTTACCGTGGTCGACATGTCCTGGAGGAGTTAGTACTCTAATGACGAAGGACGAGTAGGGGTTGCAAGAGTCTACTCACCGAGCACTACAAAATTAGCCATCCGCTTCGAAGCGCTCTTTTCGAACTCGTCTACAACGTTCAAGTTCTTGCTCTTGACTCTTGGCTCATCGGCCACGGTAAGCTTCTCGACCGACTCGGCTAAGTCACCGTTGATCTGCTTTTTCTTCTTCTTTGGTGTAGTTCCTGTATGTCTTAGAGAGGTTCAAATGAATTTGCCAAGAATCTAGTGACGTCCGCCGCCTGCGCCCTTTGCCTGTGCTGCCCGCACAATATCGTCCGGGCTTGGTCCAGCAAAGGCTCCTGTGCCATCATAGGATTTGTACGCAGCAAAGGGTATCGGCACCTCTTGTAGCGGTGCTTGTGTGTGCTTTGACGTTTCGTCGGGCCCACAAAGGGTGGAGGCGAACATAGAGGCTGTAGCGCGTTGAGCAGGCGATTCGACAACGACGGCAGGCTGAGGAGCTTGGGGTTCTTCTATTTCGGGTTCTTTGGGTGCTTCTAGTGCTGGCGATGGCGAACGTCTGCGGACAGGATATCTGGAAAGTCGAGCTGGGCGCTCAGACTCGCCACTATCGCCGCCAGGATTGCCACTCCCTTGGTTCTTCACCGAGAGCTTATCGAGCATGGCGATGGCCGAGTCGGCGTCATTGTTTGCCTTGGACGCAGCAGCTTCCGCATCTTCGCGCTCCTTCCTCCGCTTAGCCGCAAGGGCGGCTAGTTTCGAAGAGCCTCCAAGCAAGCCGCCTTTGTAGTGGGGGGCATCGACGGTGATGACGCCTAATCGTTCGGGTGGCACGTTGCCCCAGGGCACATCCCAGAAGAAGTCTGTGACAGCAGCGTTGGTAGGCATCGAGATTGGGGCAACGGTAGAGGATGGGCAACAGGACGACAGGGCAGCAGACTCGTCTACATAGCTAGAATGGGGTGCGAGTGTGAGTGTGCTTACCTGTGGTTGCGGGCGCGTTCTGGTCTGCTACACTTGCAGCTTGGTCGAAGCGCGACACTGGTTTTGCCTTTTCCTGCTTGGGCGCCTCCTGCTTCGGCTCTGCGACCCCGAGCTTGTTCTTCAGATAGCTCACGCTCTTTCCGATGTCGTAGTAGTAGTGCCATAACGCTTCTTGTATTTGCTCATCGCTCGTGAAGTCGCTCATGTCTCCTAGCGCCTCGCGGACTTTGACGGTGCCCACACGCATCTGCTCTTTGTCGTCCTCCGTCATGCCATCTCCTCCCGCATCGACGTCCCCGGCGTCGTCTTCGAAGTAGTCATCGTCGTCGTAAATATCGTCGTCATCGTAATCGACGTTGCGCGTGCGCGAGAAGCCGCCTGCAGGCATTGTGGGTATTTCTTGATTCGTCGGTGCGTGTGGGTTACGGGCAGGTTGACTTGTGTCGAGTGCACCCTCTGGTATCGAATTGGTGCGCAGGCGTGTAGAGTTGTTGGGGCCAAATAGCTCGCGGTTTCTCTACCTAGTGTGAATTATCGCGTCCCTTCATTGACGTCGTTGGTGGGGCGACTTTCCTTGACGTGTAGCGCGGCTGCTATTGCCCCGCGCTAGTTGGGAGCTTTCAGCAATACAATGACGATGATTCGTCTAACTCACTTAGGCAGACGATCAAGGTAGAAATCATGAAATTGTTCGATTCAAAGTCAAGCTCGCCTACAGCTCGACACACCTATTGAAAGATACAGCAGTGGGGTATAGTATTAGTGGAAAATCACAATGCTGAAAACGAGGCTTGACACCCGCGCCCTTCGCCTGTCGGTATTCAAAATGTTTTTTTTTTCGCGGGCCTCTCAGCCCACTATTTGATGTCACGCCTGTAGTCTCCTGAACTCAATGGGGACGTCTCTATTTCTCTGCCTTCTCTTCAGCGGCGGCCGGGGCAGCAGGAGCTGCGGTAGGTTCAGCACTAGGCGCAGGAGCGGCAGCAGTAGTGGGAGCCGCTGGAGTAGGTGCGGGAGCAACAGGCTCCTCAGCCTGAGCGGCGGGAGCAGGCGCCGCAGCTGGTGCAGCTGGTGCAGCGGGCTTGTCCTCGCCGAAGTTGGGCTCATCAAACATAGGTCCGCTTGTAGCGCTCATACCAGCAGCGGGCTGGCTGCTAGGAATGGCGGGAAGATCCAAAGGGGCAGCTGGTGCAGGTGTATCCGTCGCCTTGGCCTCAGTGTCCTTTGGTGCCTCGGTGGCTGTGGGCTGAGCCTCAGCAGCGGTCGGGGGAGCGGGTGCAACGGCGCCAACGGGTTCGGGTGCTGGAAGAGGATGTATTAGTCTAGGGTATCTTGAGTGACAAAGGAAATTCGTAAGAGTTCGAGCGGGAAGGAAATGTAGTATCTGGCCATAAGGTCGTAAACGAGCTGGTGGAAGTGCGATAAGCTTGACCAGCCATATCGTTGCAGGTGTTTTCCCACGCCTAAATGGGATCGTTCCACTGACTGCGGTCCAAGTCGACTTTCTGTCGTCGCCTGGATCCATGCCAGGCATCGTCTCCACGATACGGTAGCGGACTAGAATGTGAAGGAGATGATAACCTACTCGACGTGGCCTGCTTGACTTCGGCCAATGCAGCGGCTTCATCCTTCTTCGCCTCACCCTGAGCAGGATCCGAGGCTGGAACCGCTGCGGGTTCAGCAGGCGCCGGGACTGGCGCAGACGCAGACGCTGGGGCAGCAGGTGTCGTCTCAGTCTTCGCGGGCTCGGGGACGGGTGCGGGAGCGGGTGCAGCTGGCGTAGTCTCGCTAGGCTTGGTTTGCGCAGGCGTAGTAGAGGCCTCAGAAGTGGCCGTGGGCTTTGGCTCTTCCTTCTTGGACTTCTTGCCCTTGAAGAGACCCTTGAAGGCCTTCTTCATCTGATCCATCGCGTCAAGTGCTGTGGGAGTAATGTGTCAGATAACGATTCTGTAGGTGCTAGTGATCGCACGGAGCAGTCTCGAGGATGATGGCTTGTGGGCAGGTAGACGTTTGTGCACACATGGGGCACGTAGATAGGCAACCACAATAAGGAAGTTTGCGCATCCGATCGAAAAGCGCGACTAGTCCCAAGATGGACGCCATTCCCACGGTGAAGGTGAAGGTGAATGGGGGTTGCACTTACGAACTCCCGGCATGCTGATGACGAGTTCTAGCTGGCTGCTAGATAAGCGCTTAAGGGTTGGGTATTAGCACGAGGGAGCAGAAAAGAATAAAGGGTACAGCGATGCAGTCAATGAGTAGCTAAAGCCGGTGGGTGCCTAGGTAGCGCAAGGAGCGTGATGATGATAGCAAAGAGCGCGAAGGATGTCAAGTTGACGAAGCTCTGTTGTTCTGGCCGGGACCCTGAGACGCTAAGCCAATCGTCTCCACCTCCACATTCATGCACGCCGTTATGCACCATGCAACCAAAAATAGCCGCCTACTGCACCGCTATCTGCATGCAATTAGTGGCCGTTGTGTTTCATCTTCTATCGAGTACATGACAGGTATGCAAGACACCATGGCGTTGGTTATCAGGTACAGCCCGCCTGGCTTGTTGCCAGCGAGGCCTCCCAACACTGCAGAAATTAATCCCTCTTTCAGGCTAGCGCTTATCCCCCTGCATTAGGACAACTTATGAAGATCACATTTAACTGATGTTTGTCTCCACCACGTGAATTATACCACCTTGCACTCAACATGGATGTCGGAAACGCGACGACTGTAAACGGGCAGCTTTCTGCACCGTTCGCAGCACTGCAGCACAGTCTTATCGCGCAATGCATCGTGGCCATCGCGGTAGTTTGCATCTGTACTCGGATTCTTTCCGGGCATACCTTCAGATCCATCAAATACGGAAAGGGTCGTAATGTCTTACCTCCAACACTTCCGTATTGGATACCTGGACTGAAACACGCCTTGTCTTTTGCTTATGATTCGCATGGCTTCCTAGCCAGATGCTTGTAAGTATCGTCCTCACATCACCATTGAAGCTGTCCATTGACGACCACCACGCGATCGTCGCAACATGGCGAAACTAACATTGCAACAGGAACCAATATGGCGATGGTTCGCCTTTCTATCTAGATGCCGCAGGTCAGAAATTACTTGTCGTCTTAGATCCAGAGCACGTCAGAGGTGTGCTCAATTCCTCATCCGAATGTGATCCAAACCCGTTCATCCACGACAAGATCATGGGCGCTTTGATGGGAAGCCCACAAGAAGCCATCGACCATTACAAGTCCGAGAATGGTAATACAGATTACATTCAAACAACACACATCCGACAGCATACCACTGGATCGAACCTTGGCTTACTTGCCAAACGGCTTTTCGATGCCATGAAACGGACCGTCACCGAAAGCTTGTCTTCAATCCCAGAAGGTGAATGGAAGGACATTCCTGATCTCTACAACTTCATCGAATATCACGCATCCTACGGCATTGCCGAAACCCTTCTCGGCACATCCATCATGTACCCAGGAATCATATCCGATCTCTGGATCCACATTGAAGCCACGGATCAATTCTTCATGGGCCTTCCCCGCTTCCTTATCCCCAAAGCCTACGCCGCGCGTGATCGCCTGCTCAACGCCATTAGAGCTTGGACCAAGGAATCCGAAGTGTTACGCAAGCAAAACGCTGTAAACACTACCTGGGACCCCATCGCAGGTTCTGGTCTTCTCCAAGAGAGAGAGGAACTATATAGTAAGATGGCTGGCCACGGTGTGGATGGCCGCTCAGCACAAACTCTCGGCCTCCTCTACGGCGGAACCAGTCTTACCGTGCCAGTAACATTCTGGTACTTTTTCGAAACACTACGCGATCCCTCTTTACATCGCCGCGTATTCGATGAGATCAGTAATGGGGTCAACGAAGAGACGCAAGGTTACAACTTTATGCAACTGAGCGCGCGACCTTTGTTGCAGTCTCTTCATGCGGAGACGACACGAATGTATAGTTCCAATCTCGCTGTAAGAGAAGTCACAGCTCCGACATACGTGCTTGACGAGAAATACACTATACCAAAAGGCACCGAGGTTTATCTTTCTCATAAGTACAATGGGCAGTTCACCCCAGGGTGGAGGGCTGCAAGGCCTCAGGCTACTGCGAAACCTCTAGACACTTTCTGGGCCGAACGGTACTTAGTCAGCGGCAGCGGAAATGACGACAAGAGAAGAAAGTTTAGCGATGCAGGTTTGAGTGGTAACTGGACTTCTTTTGGGGGTGGAGAACATAAATGTCCTGGAAGGCATTTTGCCCGCAATATCGGTATCGTGACGCTAGCAATCTTCATGGGCGAGTTTGAGATTGAGGTAGTTGATATGGAAGGGGCACGAGCTTTGGATCCAGGGAACAAAAAGAAGGCTTTTGGGACAATGAGGCCTAAGCAGAAAATTGCGGCAAGGATTAGGAAGAGGGTATAGGTATTGTTTGATAAGTTGAGAGTGCGGATATGTCTGAGCGGTATTCATTTATCTCGCTGTCTGTTATACTCTATCGACTGACAAAAGCTTGATATATTAACTACTTTTCAAGTCTCGCAGCCTTGCTCTCATCTCTCCACCACTCACACTGCTTCCTCCTAATCCCATCTCCTTCAACCCTAGTGTTACCGAAAGGCTCCATCCTCAGCTGCAACCCGGGCTTACCCTCACCTTCATCCACATAAAGCGGCCAATATGGCACACCTGTCCTGTTGCCGGCATTGGGATCACCCAGCGCAACAAAGTCCGAGAAGTAAGCATTCAACAACTCCTTGCCGACTTCAGGGTACTGGACACCGCCAGCACCGGCTGGCTCAGCCCAGGTGTACTTTGTGTCGGCGGTATGCGGTATTCCCTTCCAAGTGGGGAACGTGTTGTTTGTAGCGAATACCATCTTATGTACTGGTACGTCGGCGGCAGACATGCGGAGAGCAGTTTCTTGGCCAGCGCAAACGTACATATAGTCTGTGAGGGCGGCAGAGAGACGATTGTATTGAGTGGAGTTGGAGCTATGGACGTATGGCCCACTATCCAATCCTGTGGGGTCGGGGTATAGCTCCTCAAGATCAGAGAGGTCTTCGGGTGTGAGACCGGGGATCAGGTTCTTCATGAAGGCAAGGAATTCATCATTGGTCTCAATGTCGCCGGGTGAATAGTACTTTGCTTCATCAGGGACGTTGGTCGTGATGGTGGGGATGCGGTAGAATTGGCCGTTGACTCCGGAGGTTGAGCCCGCTTGTTCGAGAAGGGGGCCACCGCGGGTGGGCTGGAATGGCCATGTGATGGCATATTCGGAAGCGCGCCATATCAGAGCGCTAGCGTTCTGGATGGCAGCAGCGGGGACAGAACGCAAACAGCTGAGGATTTCGGTATCGGTGCTGTTGGCCACAGCGCTGCAACCTGTAAGACCTAGGTATCGCGAGAACTGCTCTTGGTACAGTGGGTAAGACGCGTTAGGGAACGCTCGAGCGGTCACACTGCCGGATTGGAGAAGAGCTTGGGAAAAGAGTGGTGCGGCGCCCTCAGTGGTGTTATAGTTGTGGAACAGATGGATGCCGACTGAATGCGCACCAGCGGAACGACCTCCAATGGTGACGCGAGAAGCGTCGCCTCCAAAAGCGGAGATGTACTTTTGAACGAACTTGAACAAGGTCTCCTGATCTCGAAGACCCAGGTTGAGAAGTCCTTCGCGCTCAAAGACTGGAGAGGGGAGGAACCCCCAAGAGTTTACCTGTATAACGTTAGGCTTGATTGTACAGAAAAAAATGACCATACTTACTCTGTAGTTGAAGTTGACAACGATCAACGGCTTCTTTGAATTAGCTACGAAACTCGGGCCATCGAAACTCCTAGCACTACCAGCAACGAAACCACCCTTTTAGAGTCAAGTCAGCAACCGCAGCACATACCCAATGCTTCTCAAAAACTCACACCATGTATCCAGATCAGCACGGGCAACTTCTCGTGCGCGCCAACACCCTGCGGTCGGAAGACGTTCATGCTCAAACACGCCTCATCCATCTCGTACGTAATATCCAATGGATCCTGGTAACACGAGTATCCATAGCTCGTTGCATTCTTAACACCATCGAAAGGTTCTGGCGCTCCAACAGGCGCGAACCTGCCTTCTCCAACAGGCTGAGAAGCGTAATCGATTCCGAGCCATGCGTCTACAGCGCGTGGTAGAGGTTTCTTGGTCAAAGTCTGGGAGACTGTCGTGCCGAGGAAAGTGCCATAGCCGGGAAGCGTGACTTCTGATGTATTGTATGAAGCTGAGACGCCAGACAGGCTGGTGAGCAATGTGACTGTGGTAAGAAGGCGCTGAGCCATGTTGTGTTGACCCATGATGGCGTCAATGTGGGAAATTAAGGTTGACACGACGCGTTCGCACAACAACGAAGCTACGTCGAGCGAAGCCATCATGGAAGTGTATATAACGACATTTGATGCCTGCGCATGGTTCCGAGATCGGTCATACAACCTTGTAACTGCCCTGTATTCGTATTGATGTTGACTCCACTACCATCTCCACTACCCCACAGTCTGGTAGTAGTCAGGTCTTGGTACCTGCTTCATGCGGCGGTGAACGAGTGACGCGGAGATACGCGTTATGCCGACTCGTTATCTTTGCATCGGGAATTTACCGGTACTTCTTTAGGAGCCGACCGCTATCATCGGATCGCATCCGACGCGACGGATGTTGATAAGTGTGAACGGGTGTTGATAAGTGTGGAGATGGGAAGATGCAGGTTGAGCGAGCGAGTGAGCGGAGGTTGCCCGAACCGGGAAAAGACACCCCGAAGCCGAGCACACTAAGCATGATGGAATGGCAACAACAATACATAGGTACAGCATTCTGCTCACGACTCTCTGTCACGCTAAACACCTTTTGAAATTGACACTCTTCCTTATATCACTCGGCACACCCAAGCCTATTTTAAGGAATAGTGGCCCGTATAGGTTGGCGGTTGTGTCAGAATAATGCATTCCTTGAGTCCCAGGTCCGGGCAATGGCGAACAGCCTTCCAAGACAGGAAATATCTAATAAAAACAACCAGAGAATATGCTATACTCCATACTCCGTATCATGAGCATCGTCATCGTTGCAAGCCTCCACTTTACGAGCCTCCATCAAAACCCTTGTCTAATTTCTTCAGCGCCTCTTCAACCTCTACTGCCCTCTCTTCATCACCCCTCAAGCCTTGAACCCTAGGCAAGCCACGCATCACCTGTTGCACCATATCCTCCAGCGCCTTCGGATCCCTCAAGCCACCGCTCATCCTCGCCATCTCACCCAACGCAGCAGTAGTGGTAAGGTCGCTCTTGCCTTTACCCTTGCTGTTGCTATTGCCCCCGATATCTGAGCGAGACGTTAGTGGCTGGTTCTGACTCTGATGCGCAGGCGAAGACTGAGGTTGACGCTTGCGCAACATCACCTGGCCTTGTTTATCCATGTAGGTTTCGTACCCTTGTTGGTCGAGCACTTCGTCGGGTACACGGACGTTGACGGGTGATCTGTTGCTGCTGCTGCTACCGCTACCACCATTCTCACTACTACCACTGCTTTCGCCTGGGACAGCCGTGTTTGGATTTGAACTCGATGTTGCTTTAGGTTTGGCGTTGGCATCTTGATTGACCTTTTCCAGAGCGTGGATGCGGTCTTGATTCTCCTTGTTGCCTTCCATGAGGAAACGTAGACACATTATCGCGTGTTCCCGAATATATGGGTTATGCTCGTCGTAGGAACAGCAGTTGAGGACTGCTTCGATACCGCCGAGGGGACGGATTTGGTCTTGAACGTGCTTATTCTTCCACACTAGAGAGCTGAGGACGAGAACGGCGAGCTTCTTGAGGTTGCGCCATTCGAAGTCGGAGGGTTCATCAGCCGCTTCATCTATGTATGGTCGAGGTGACGGTGAAGTTGGCGGGGGTATGTATGGTTCAGCTGCAGCAGCTGTAGTATCATATGGCCGCTCAACAGCGACTGGCTGCGGCTGTGGTGGCTGCTGCTGCTGTTGCTGCTGCTGTGGCGAAGGAACATCCACCTCTACCGGTGCTGGGGGTGGTGGAGCATGCTGAACATTCCTCAAGGGAGGCGGTGATAGCTGACCCTTGGGTATCGCTGCGTCTAACTCTTTCAGAAGGGTTACCAGTTCGTGAGAAATTTCCCAGTTGCTCAACATCCTCTTCCACGTCTCATGTTCTGTGAGAATGGCAAAGAACTCTAGGTATTGATAGACACCTTCATACATGCGCTCCATATCCCAGAGGTTCAGAGGAAAGTCTTCCGGCTGAGCATGGCCTGCGCGAATTTGGCCTTGAAGGAAGATGAGAGCGCATGTTTGAGGAATGATATGACGACGGAACTCAGTAAGTAGAAAGTTGACCATATGGACATCGCCTTGGTCCACTTGTGGGTGATTTGCTTTGAGGTGGCCCTTCGTAGGTTGAGCACGGGCTTGTCTGGCGCGGAAGATGTTGGTAAGAAGCTTCATGATGACTGCCTGAGCCGGAGAGATGATGTCTTTCGATCTATCGCAGTGTCAGCAGGGTTCTGTCTCTTGGATAAATGTACTTACTCAGACTCCCTAAAGGCATGGTAAGCAAATGGCAGTAGTTGGTTTGCAAGAATAGCTTCCATGATCTTGACCATGAATTTGAAGTACAGCTCTTCCTCGCGTAGATCCCAAGCTGCAACAAAGATCAATAACTCTCTAAGAAGATTTCGGCCATTGTCCTGCGCAAGGAGCAGGTGACACCGCACACCATGCATGCTCCTAACGCTGCTGAAAATAGTCGGGTCCGAGTGATAACCAGGTTGTCCCTCTGTTGGCTCCACAATGCCCGCCATGATTATCATAGGCAAGACTTCAATCTCGGTAGGCCCCAGAATTAGTGGAACATCTGTAAGCAGCCCTCGGCCTTCATCACCAGGTATGTCATCGTAATCGTCATCATTATCACCGTCATCCTCTGGCGGAGGAGAAGTAGGAGACGCTACGTCACTGATTAGCCCTGATGGACGGTCGGGGTCTGGCTCCAGACGCTTAAGCAGATCTTCTTTGCCATTTTGGAGGATCTCCGCACCGAAGGATGGCGGGTATGTCACACGGAAATCGATCTCACCTGCCGGGGGAGACCGTTTGATGCTAGGATCTAGTAACGAGTCATCCATTGCTGGTTTTGGGGACTGCTTCTCCGCTGCGGTTTGGGATGCTTGTTGCTCGCGGCTAGATTCGTCGCCAGGGAGAGCGGTAATCGAAGAACGCATCCTGTCAACCTCGACTTGAAGTTGATTGATGCTCTTTGCCAGTGCTTGTACACTCTCTTCGTTCTTGGCATGTTGGTCTACAACTTTGCGATATGTGCTGGACTGGGTGATCTGATCGCGATACCTGGCAACTACATCCGCGTACAGCATGTTCCATTTCTGGAAGAATTAGTCAAGACCTGGGTAGTGAAGTGGATGAAACTTACGTTCTTCTCTTCCTCGCTCATCGTCTGCCACCTGCGCCTGCATTCGGCAGCAATTTCGTTGGCGCCTGCTTTGACACCATGATGTATCAGGGCCTTTTTGACATCGTTGCCCGTTTCTCCAATGTACAGTAGGAAGGGCGAAGACGCAGGTTGCTGTGGAATTTTGAATGTGTCTAAGCTACGCGCTGCATTTGTTGGCAATGGGTGTTCCTCAGGTGGCGGCCCTTGATCTTGTGGGAATTCATCCATCTTGTACTTCATGTCGGCAAAGTTTGGTAGTTCATTGTCGAGGTGGCTGTCAAACAGTTCGATCCAGAGCATAAGCTTGCGCTGCTCGTTGCGTGCGATGAGGTTGTTGAGGAATTGCAAACATGTGATGAGAAGCTTCTTGTATGCATTGATGACACCCTGCCATTTATCTTCGTCCTGGGTCCCAGCCTCGCCGTCGTAGCCGCGTGCGGTGACTCGTACACAGACATTGATCAGCGCAAAAATGTCCTTGTCGAACAGCCTGTCTGCGCTCAGGTTCTGCACCTTCTCTCCATGTACCTGCACATTCCGGGCTATACACACAAGCTGGTTCAATCTTTCCAGGTCCCTAAGCAGACTCGGGGAATAGCTTGCGATCAACGGACCCGACAGGCCTTCGTATTCTGGGGCGGCAGGATCCGGCGCAGCGAAACATCGACGCTCGAGTGAGGGTATGGCGGCTTTCAGCACGCCCGCAAGATCGTCCCAGAACTCCCACGAGAGGCCGAGTTCTTCGCGCAGTTCCAAGCTTTTCCGCGACTCTTCCAGTGTCTTCTTGACCACGTCCCGCTCTAGCATACGCAACGTATCGTCCCTGACATAGCCTGGGTTGTGGAAATGTACGGTGTAAGGCGCGAGCGCCAGGCGGAGTCGGGTAAGATAGGGTCGCGCATGTATGCCGCCTGAACTCTCTGGGCGCTCAGACTCGCCCATGCTCTCGGTATCGTTGATGCTGCCTTCGGCCATGCCTTCGCTCGTTTCCGTCTTCAGGTCGGGTTGTGACAGCGCGCGACGGTCCCAGTCATTCCACAATTGATTCTCGGCGAGTAGCGATCGGTAGACCCATACACGGATGGGTCCTGGTGCGCGTAGGATGCGGTAGAGGTTGTTGGAGGCCAGTTTTTCGGCAACGTTGTGGTATTGCGCCAGCGCTATGGGTGCAAAGGCGAGGTGAGCAGAGTCTTTGGTCGTGTCTGCAAACGGCGACGAAAGATGAAGAGTCGTAGGCGGCGAATCGGAGTGCGTGGAGGAGCTCGAGTCGGAAGTCATGATTGCAGGCGGCGTTGACCAAAAATTTACACGTCGGCCGCCAGGAGATTACCCCACTATCCGCGCCCCGCCATGACATCTGACGTACTAAACTACAGAGTCGGTGGTTTGCCAGCCTTTTCGTCTGAAGTCGTGCTACATGGTTCCTGCAGCTTCACTCGAATTGTCGCATCCATGTATTCACTCGTGCCAAAACATCAAAAAGTTCAAGTTTCAACATCTTCGATTCATTCATGCCAATAATGGCGTTTGAGATATATATGTACGGAGCATATGAACCTCGAGTAGGCATAGTTTTTGGCCCGGCGAGTCTAGTGGTACCGTTTGTTTTGATCTTGGAACGAATGTAATGTGATTCATGATACATGGGATGGTATCTGTCACGGACATGGATTGTTCCGATAGCAAAGCATCTTTCAGCTTTGCCCTGCGCTGTGAAAATGCGCACATGTAACCCTCAGAAGGGTACGCGATGAGAATATGACATATCAAAGAGAATGGGGATGATAGAAACGTGATGGCGACGTTGTGTGGACATGTTACATACCCTCGGCCTTGAGTCTGGCCGCCATGAAACGGCTCACCTTCTTTGTTTTGCCATCTCGTTCTTCGACAATCGGACTCTCTTCGTCCTCTTCGGTAGCCTTGAATCCACCCTGTCGCTGGATGAATCGATTGCGCGCCTTGTGGTACTCCGCTTGAATCTCGCGGTTCAGAAGAACTGCATCAAACTCATCAGGAGCCTGAGGTTCTGATGGCAAGGGAGCGTGCTCGGTTATAGTGTTGGCTATTGTTCGTCCAACAGGGCCACTTGGTACAGGTGGTGGTTCTGGTACAGAAGGGGTCGGCAGCACCTGGGGGGCAGTGTTTGCTGCAGCACGGGCACTCTTGAACTTGGATACTTTGGCAGGTTTGGGAGGCTCAACTGGTGTTGCAGGAACTGCAGACCGCTCAACGATGGTATCGGACATGGTTGGGGTTGATTTTGCCACTGCCTGGGTAGCTCGAGCCGGTTGCTGTACTGGTTTCGGCGCCTCAGAGATGTCCAGGTTATCGGCAAAGCGTACTCCTTTCTTCTTTGGCTCTTTGGTATCATCTGTTGCTGGCGTGGCCGAGGAGGTGCCCAGAGATTCGTCGAACTGATCGTCACTCTTCACACGCATCGTGCGAATGTCTCCGATGTGCTCTTCAAGAGAGTGCTGTCCCGACTCGGGCCCTACGTTCTCAAGCATACGAGCGCCCAACTTCTTCTCGAGCTCCATCATCTGCTTTCGATAGTCTTCGGTGATGACTGGCTTAGTGCTGCGACCGTACTCGTCTTCCTCTTCTTCATCTTCGGTGTCATAGTCGCCATAATCGTCGTCATCTTCTTCGTCCGAGTATGACGCAGTAGGCTGGTCCAGATCAAGTTCGGCGACAATCTGCCCGATTTCTGACATGCCATATTGCAGCATTTGCCTCCTCAGCTCAGCTTCCTCTGGCGTCTCATCGCTCGGGATGATAGCATTGGACAAGTCTACATCGTCCTGTTCGAGGTCGATGGCACGCGTGCCCTCTGGGAAGAGCAGTGAGGCGACCTTTGCAGCCTCATCTTCGTCAGTGTCTTGTACCGCTTTTGCAGCCGGTTCGACTTCGACTTTTTCGGCGAAGGACACAGCCTTCTTCGAAGGCGCTGATTTTGAACTTTGGCTGTCGGTCGTGGCAGGAGTGGGTTCGGAAGGCAGCGGAGAAGACTTTGGATCTGACACAGTGTGTGAAGCTGGTGTAGTTGGAGACGGTGTGTCTTGAGCCTTCTCTTCTGCATTCTTCTTCTCCAGCTCAGCCTTTTGAATGCCAGCTTTGCGCAGAACCTCAACAAGCTCAGCTGCGGCCTTGCCCGTCTGGTTGACAGAGCTCGAGACTTCGTTGCCCTCATCATCCAGTTCTTCTTCGATGTCCATCATCGGCTCGCCCTCTTCGTTGTCCATGCCTGGCTCCAACAGGACGTCGACGCCAGCAAGCTTCTTCTCAGCGGTGTCAAGATTCTTCTCGATAGTAGCACTACTCGTCCGAACATAGTCAACGCGTCTAGAGATCATGTCAATAACTTGGTTAGCAGTGCGTTCCGATGGCGAGTTCTTGCAGAGCAGCTCCTCAACTTCCTTCTGGTCCAGCAGAGTAAGTTCGAGGTCGCGTGCCATCTCACGTATCTGTGAGGGCGAGGGATCGCCGGCTTCTTGAATCTCTTCTTTCAGCGTCTCATACTCAGCCTCCCAGGTCGTCCAGTGGGAGAGTGCTTTGCGCAGCTTATCGACATTTTGCTGCAGCTGCGCACGACTGCGCTCGAGCTCCTCTAGAGCGCTCTGTGTTGAGGCTGCCATTTTGGTGATGTGGTGGGAGGATGAGTGCGAGAGAGGAAAGAAAGGTGCAGGAATTTTGTGTACGAGAAAAAGCGCAGGTCTTGGCGGCTGGCCCCACAAGGGAAACCATGCTACGCCTGCATACAGATCGCCGGTCTGTCGTTTGTCAGGCAGAAGGAGTACGTGAACCTTACTATCGCTGATATCATCCCATCATATACATTCATAGCTGCCCGGTCATGCTTTCGATCTCATAAAACGACCAGCGGCTTCTACACGCTGAGTCAGCACCATCCTTCAACTTCCCGAGGCCCATATCCGTCAAGCTTGGAAGCATATCTCCGCCACAACCTCCGCCATGTCGAAATCGCGCGGCGCCGACGCGTCTAAGCAGCAAGATGGCGGTGCGTCTCTCTCCAAAACCCTATACAGCTTGTCTTTGCAGCAAATGCCTCGTTCCATCTCTCTCGCTGACGATGCCTCAGACTCGTGCCCTGTATGCAGGTCGTCGCGCTTCCTTAACTCCAATATGCAGTTCAAAATCAACCCAATATGCTACCATAAGATGTGCGATACCTGTGTAGAACGATTGTTTGGCAAAGGCAACAGTATATGTCCTGTTGCAGGATGCGCAAAGACGCTTGCCTATAGGAACTTTCGGAGGGCAACTTTCGAGGATCTGAAGGTGGAGCGAGAGGTGGATCTCAGGAAGAAGGTCATGAAGATGTAAGTGCGACGTATCGACCCTTGTAAGATGTAGCTGACGGCCATGCAGCATGAACAAAACAGAAGACGATTTTGAGACGCTTAGGGACTACAACGACTACCTCGAGCAGGTCGAAGAGATCAACTGGAATCTCATCCTCAACATCGACGTGGACGCGACCTGGGCGAAATTGAGAAAATTTGAGGCTCTCCAAAAGGCCGAACAAGAAGCCGCCGCTCGCAAAGGCCCTGCACTCAAAGATGATGTTGACGGCGGTTTCGTGATCCGCGGACTCAAAAAGCGTGTCGCGCCACCCGTGGAAGCACCCTTCGATCCATTCGGCGGTTACACCATCGCACCACAATATTACGTACTTCAGGACAACTACGATGTGGACTGGTACGCACGTATGAAGAAGGATTCGGCACATCTGGTGGGAGGACACAGTTTGCAAGACTATTGCAGTCGGACACTACGCGGAGCTTTTGGTGGCCTGGGTGTTTTCGTTGAAGACGAAATCACTGCGCGGGAGGCTCCCTCAATGTCAATGGATGCGGACGTTGGCACAGAGCATGCCGCCGCTGCAGCCATGAATGGAAGGGATGCCATCATGGACGACATTTTCTAGTTTCTTGCACTGTGATACCCGGCATCATGCCAGCATTGGGCGGCGTTCAAGATAGCGTGTCAATAATTCTTATAACATAACTTCTTACTCTCTTCATATTCTACTTCTCCCAACCTGCCCTGCTGCGCCTTGATATCCAATATCGTTATACTCAAACTGCTCTTCCGGCAGCGCATACCCATCCCCTCCCCTCGCCCGTTGGACTCGTGCCGCGACTGGATTTGGATTGACATCCTCCTCTCCCAATCCACCGTCTCTCTTCCCATTCCCACCATCCAGCACGTCCAATTGCTGAAAGACGCCTCTCTTCCTCGCGCTCCTCATAACCCTGATGTCCAACCCCAACGCCAGCGCTGTCGCCACAAAGCCCAGCAACGCAAAACTGAACAGCGCCTTGTACATCCTACACACGCTTATCCCTGCCTCCGACTCCCAATTCTGCGCATCGCATACATGTGCCAATGTGCCAGAGCACCACCATGCTAGCAGAGCAAAGGACACGGTCCAGAGAAGTGCGAGGGCGGCGTTGAGGGTGAGGTTGAGGGATGCAGATAGCCCGTGACGGATATGGAGGAAGATTGTACAAGTGAGCGCAGCGAGGGTGAAGAGGGAAACTGACATTAGCTGGGACAAATGTTAGTATTGCGATGCTGTATGTGGTAGGGATACGTACCAGAATGAATGTCCAAGGTAATCTATACCCATCATGCGATAATTCACGAAGGAAATAAAACATGATGCTCGCTACTACAAGTGAAGAAAGTAATTGTGCGCATCGTATGATGTGGAAAGGTAGGAACGGGTAGGCTGTAGGCTTCACCCGGTTCTTGCGCATTGCCATGGTTGGATCGAATGCGCGACGATAGAGACTTGAACGTCTTACGAACAAGACTCAGTATGTTAGACGACGATGGTGGTGTTAGTGGTTGACCAACATTCGCCTCTTCCAAGCTTGAGACGCGGAGAAAGACTAAGTTAGGGGTCCAGCTGGCCTGGCACCCTGGTCTGACCAGCTTTCAGCTTTCTCGTATTGTGATTGTTGCGCCGAAATGGCACCTTACGAAAAGAAAGCATCCGGTCGAGATGCGTGCTCACCATGGCTAGAGACTGATCTTTAGCTAGAAGGTGGGATGAATTTAGTTTTAGGATTGCGAGGTCGTACCTGCTGATAGAGGACGGGACACTGACTAGCGCGGATATCCACGCGCACCTTTCTAGGATGGCTTATCCTCATTCAACAATGCCTTACTCCTTCACATTCTTCATTCTTCCATCCGTAGCTCTGCCGTGTGTGCGTATTTGGACCAATGGTGAGGTGTTCTTGGCGGTGCGCCTGAGCCTTGCGGTCAAGGTCTTTGCACATACTACCATGGCCACTGCTATATAAGACCGATGGAGTGTAATGCGACTCGCGCGTTATGTGCTGTCACGCGAAGGGCTCTTAGTTCCCGCTCATTGCCTCCCGGGTCCACACTGCGGCAGAGCATCCGAAGAGGACTTCGGACCTCAGATTGGTTTCGAGGGCGCGTTCAGACCTCACGAACCTACGGTTTTTCGTTAGGTGCAGTCTGACGTTGCACTGCCACGAGAGCACGACTATGAAAAAGATCGGAGGTCGAAAGGAAGTCATGACCAGGCGTCCGGGTTAATTATCTACTATACCCGGTAGACAGGCGTAAATGCGCAGCCAAAAGTGGGTGCTCTGCCGGTACCTTGTCCCGTCTTGCATCGGATAATAGCAACAAACGATTCCAGGCCGCTCCTGCATATGGAATCTTAGATCTCGGACTCGGCTCTGCATATCGCTAGCATGCATTTCCTAGCTCGGTAGTGCTGACATGCAATTTATATCAAGCTGGTATGCTCGAGAAAGAGCTTTTACGAGGCTTAACGTTCTTCGTCGACCGTATAAACATCTGGAGAACACGGCGGTTCTCTTTACGGCAGAATTATGAAGACATTCACTTCCACATTACTTGTGTCCGTGCTGTTAGGGCATGGCAGCGCAGCAGTCATCGGGCGAGAGGAAGGTCTGCCAGTTAATTCTAGCTCCTACGATTTTGTACGTTGCTTTCAGAAACCTGGAGTCCACACTTCAGCTCTAGGGATGATCTAACAAGCGATAAGATAGTCATCGGAGGCGGAACTGCAGGTCTCGCGGTTGCTTCGCGCATCAGTCTTGGCCTTCCAGATCTCAGCGTCCTCGTCATAGAAGCTGGACCCGATGGCCGCCAGGAACCTGGAATCTCCGTGCCGGGAAGAAAAGGCTCAACACTCGGAGGCAAATACGATTGGAACTTGACCACCATTGCACAACCCAGTGCCAACAACCGCGTCTTCGCGCAGAACCGTGGCAAGGTCCTCGGAGGTAGCTCTGCGCTCAATCTTATGACGTGGGACAGGACTTCCAAATTCGAACTCGATGCCTGGGAAAAGCAGCTCGGTAACAAAGGATGGAACTGGAAGAGTATTTATGCGGCAATGTTAAAGTGTGAGACTTTCCTCCCGTCGCCCGCATATGGCACCGAAGGAGTCGGTACAACTGGACCTATTCGCACACTCATCAACAGAATCTTCCCGCGACATCAATCGACATGGTATCCTACAATGAATGCTCTCGGCTTGGCAACAAACCGAGAGAGTCTGAATGGCAACCCCATCGGCGTCTCGACTCAACCCAGCAATGTCAGCCCGAACTACACTCGCTCCTACGCCCCAGAGTATCTCAAACTCGCCAAAGACAACCTGATCTTGAAGCTAGACACCCGTGTGGCTAAGATTGACTTCAAAGGAACAACTGCCACAGGAGTCACCCTCGAAGATGGTACTACAATCACCGCGCGGCGGGAAATCATTCTCTCAGCTGGCTCCTTCCAAACCCCCGGTCTTCTCGAACTCTCTGGTGTCGGAAATGCATCACTCCTTGAGAAACTTAGCATCCCCGTTGTCAAGCACCTGCCATACGTGGGCGAGAACCTCCAAGACCACATCCGCATCCAAGTCTCCTATCAATTGAAACCCGAATACTCTTCGTTCGATGTTCTCAAGAACGCCACCCGTGCGGCTGCCGAGCTAGCCTTGTATAACGCAGACCGCGAGTCACTCTACGACTACACAGCCAGCGGCTATGCATACTTCCCCTGGGGCACTGTCAGCAACGAAACGGCCTCTCAGCTCCGTACCCTCGTTGACAACGACAAGAGCTTGGTTTCCGCAACCGACAAATTGAAGAAGACATACTTCTCCCCGGCTTTGAGCACCAAAGTACCCCAGCTAGAAGTCATCTTCTCAGACGGCTACACTGGCCTCAAAGGCTATCCTGCTGCCAACTCCTCTCAATTCGGCATCGGCACTTTTGCACTGATTGGCGTTGTGCAACACCCTCTCAGCAAGGGCAATGTTCACATCAGCTCCCGGAACGTGAGCGATAAGCCTCTTATCAACCCTAACTACCTATCCCATCCCTACGATCTTGCAGCTGCTACAAATCTCGCCAAATATCTGCGCAAGATCGCCTCTACGAAGCCCATGAGCGAGGTCTGGACCGAAGAGTACGAGCCGGGCAATGCAGTGCAAACCGATGAGGACTGGCGAAAGTATGCGCTAGCGAACACATTGAGTATCTATCATCCTATTGGTACTGCTGCGTTGCTTCCGGAGAAGGCTGGCGGTGTTGTGGATTCAGAGCTGAAGGTCTACGGTACCAGGGGGTTGAGGGTAGTGGATGCGAGCATCATTCCTCTTTTGCCGAGCGCCCATCTTCAGACGCTTGTGTACGGAATCGCCGAGAAGGCGGCAGAGATGATTATTGGTGAGCATAAATAGATGCTGTAGTATTGGAGAATCGATGTGACGCAAGATCTAGAGCTGAATCTCGTCTTCACGGATTATGATGCTGTCTGCATACGACCTAGCGTTTGATGATAGATAGATTCATAATTAGCGCGGGTTCTCAATTGCACGCCTCCTCGACTCATTTGGACTAGTTCCTCTTCCCCGCAGTGTAGGGCCGAGCCGGATGGCGACATTTGAGATGTTGCCGATGCTGACACATTGCTGTGGCACTCCCGCCAATGCGCCCTGTAGATGACACTCCGAATGCCGGCCGCGCATTGCAACGACTTGCTTACCAGATCCAATGCCGACGGCAACACTGACGATGGTTACGACTCCGATGTAGAGGATGACATGCAGGAGACCCCCTCCACAGGAGCTATATAACATAGAGCTGGACCGGGAGACTCTCGACATTCGATCAACAACCCATATCAATTCTTACTACATCAAACACACATTTTCACAAGATGGCGTTCTCAATAGGGATGCCCTGGAACGAGGGCGAAGAGAAGATGCATCACCTCCTCCGCGTTCCACCTCAAGATAATCCAACATCGGCTATGCTCACACCACAAGCCAGTTTTATGTTCCAACGTGCTCCTCTACTCGCACTCGGAACACTGGATGCACAATCTAGACCATGGGCGACACTATGGGGTGGCGAGCCTGGTTTCTCTGAACAGCTTGGTGGAGGCTTCATCGGCACGCGAACACTCGTCGATGGCACGAACGATCCTGTCGTGCAAGCGCTTATGAGTGGAAATGAGAAGGGCGAGATGACTCAAGCAAAAGACGGTGGCAAACTAGTAGCTGGTTTAGCTATCGATCTGATGACGAGGAAAAGAGTCAAAACCGCTGGGCGTATGATTGCAGGAGCGATAAGGGACATCGACGTGGAGATCGAAGGGGAGGCAGACAGGAAACAAGAACAGATTCAACTCGTCACGAAGATAGAACAAAGCCTAGGAAATTGTCCCAAGTATCTCAATCAATACGAAATACGCCCAGCACTAGTAAACGCAAGATTAGTATCGCAATCCTCATCGTTATCAAAAGAAGGAGAAGAACTCGTTGCGAGATCCGACATGTTCTTCTTATCCACAACAACTGAGGATGACATGGATGTCAACCATCGCGGTGGACCAGCGGGATTCGTTCGAATGATAAATTCAAGCACCCTTGTCTACCCCGAGTACTCCGGAAACCGGCTTTATCAGTCCCTCGGTAATCTAATGCTCAACCCCAAGATTGGTATCGTGTTTCCAGACTACGGAACGGGAGATGTCCTTTACCTGACTGGCACAACTGAAATCCTCGCTGGTGCAGATGCAGCTGTCCTATTACCCGGTAGCAATCTGGCCGTCAAGATTACCATCTCAGAATGCCGATTTGTAGCCAACGGTCTGCCGTTTCGTGGCTCGAAGAAGACACCTAGCCCATACAATCCGCTCGTGCGCACCCTTGCTTCTGAAGGGAACATACGCGGCACTCTCTCCGTTTCTCACACCATGGCGTCTTTAACCAAGAAAGAGGTTCTCACGCCTAGTATCGCTCGTTTCACCTTCACTGTGAGAGATGGGCTAACATATCGACCCGGGCAATGGATTGCGCTGGATTTTAGCAAAGAGTTAGACATTGGGTACGAACATATGCGCGATGATGATCCTGGAAGTCTGAACGATGACTTTGTGAGGACATTTACCATTTCCTCCACGCCTAGCAAAGACCATGAGAAGGAAAGTGAGTTTGAGATGACTATACGGAACGTTGGGGCTGTTACACGGTTCCTCTTCCAGCAAAATGAGCGGGCTGGGTTGGAGATAGGTGCCCTCGGTGTAGGGGGTGAGTTTAAGATCGAAAAGGCCGATGGGCGTAAAGTGGTTTTTGTGGCTGGCGGAGTGGGTGTCACGCCGTTGCTCGGACAAGTTGGTGGGCTGTATTTGGAAGCTGGAGGATTCAAGTTGATTTGGGCCGTACGGAGTGAGGATGTGGGGTTGGTGTATGATACGTTTCGACGGTATCATGGCCTAGGAGCTTGTACGACGGTGTTTCTGACAGATGGCGGAACAGACGGTGACTTAACTAAGATGAAGGATCACGTGAAATCGGAGGCTGAGGTTGTGGAAAGAAGAATGACGAAGAGTGATATACAGGCGATGCAGGCTGATACATGGTACGTGTGTGCCGGAAAGGGGATGAGGAAAATAGTTACAGGATGGCTAGAAGGACAGAAAGTAGTGTTTGAAGATTTTGATTATTAGGAGCGTAGACACAATGGATTGGTTGTATTGTCGCTTCCCTATAGTTGGTAACAATGAGAAATGCTTGGGCTCTCATGAAATTCATAAGTGAAAGCTCCAAAACGTGCCTTCCTTATTATCCAGAGTGACTGTCAGTTGAGCAGCTCGACGACTGCACTTTCTCAACCAACCCTATGACGTTCCTGTTATACAACGGCAGCTTGCTCGCACCTTCCGCCAGCGAAGATGCTCACTTAGAACTACATGAAGTGACTGCTGCGTCTACACCCTCAACTTCTCTACATTACTGTTACCGTCGTGCATCAATCACCGTACGACATTCTCGCAGCAGCTCCTCTATAATCACGCATCATGACGGCACCAACTACAGAACAGACGATTACTACAGCTAATAGCAAGCATGAAACAGCGAAGAAGTGGCTGCGGCGACATCTGCGCAAAGTGGCATCGCGCCAAACACTGAAGAACGACGACGACTCAAACGAGATGCAACGAAAGAATTCCCTCCGGCGTCCGCGCACAGCACCTTCAACAGAGCTTGCACAAAATCTTGACGATGCGCCAGCAGTTCCACTGGTCCCAATTGATGTCGAGCAAGGTTCACCTCGGGCGCCAGTCTTACCTCCAATCCGTCCCGCAAGACCAGATTCGGGCATTATACGGGATGTCAATGCCTGGTTGGATGCCAGCGTAAACACGCCTTCGCCTCCTCTGATGGGAGGACTTCCCTACTGGAGGGCGGCGACCAGCCCTGGTGTCAAGGATACACCCGTGGCGCAACATGCCGTTCCGTTGACTGGAGCACTCGGAATCGCCAGGCCATCGACAGCCAACAGCCAGCAAAGGATAGCCTTCCGTCGTTGCGCCAAGAAGATGCAGGTTCAGATACCTTCACTTCTGCGTACTAAATCTCAACGCCAGGGCGATCGAAAGCACAACAGACAATCGGCGTCGATGCCACTCTTAGCCGTCTCCTATGAGGATGTCAATGAAGCCGCCGCTCCTATGCTCATGTCTCGGTCTGGATCTTTCCTTCGTCCCGCCATGCAGCCGTCAACACGGTATCCCTCCACACGAACTAGTGCTCTTGTATCGGTTGATGAACAGCCGCGTGAAGATTTACCCTTGCGTACGGGCACACCAGGAAGTGTGCGACTTGGCGATACTGAGAGTGTCTTCGAGCGGCGCGTCAACGCCATATTCATGCGTACGGCACGTAGCGCGGACAGCACTCGACCATCAACGGCAGCTGCCTGTCTTACTCGAGAAGACTCCATGGGCGATCTGTCTGATGCACCGACGTACATTTCTGGGCTACCACCGCCGTCTTACCGTTCTCGCCCCGAGTCTGTTCTCACCACCTCTTCCTTCGGCTGCATCGATGGTATGAACCCTGCGCAACGCCAGATCAGTCAGCAGCGAGCAGCGCTACAGCGAGGAATGAAATGCAAGCTGAAGAGGTTCGCTCATACATTTGCGATATGAAAAGCGATGACAGATGAGCAAGTTCGAAGTGAAGGCAACACCAAACAGAGCGCGACACCAGACCACGATCACGATTGACGAACGAGATGACGCAAAGATTATGAAATACACACCATAAGACTGCTGGGGTTTGAGGGCTGGCATCTTCGTAGATACAAAAGAGAGACAACCCCGAACATTTGATCCTACAGCTGGCACACTGGGAAACTGCGCAATGCGCGCGATTATGTATCAAGATCAACGCGAAATACTCCATATACAATACATAGTGTACATATGCAGGGCCTAGAAATCGAGTTCTAATAGCAGAACGTTGATAAAGGTAATTGTGGTGATTGAAGTGAGAGCGAATAGCTGTGGTAATAGTAATGCGGGTCGGATGTTCCGGTCATATGACGTTGGAACGGGCCGCGGTCACCGAAAGCGGTTGGGGCGTATTCACCGCCTACTCATTTGACGGCAGCCCATGCACTCCACCATCTCCATCGAGAATCATTGGGCCCAACGTGGCACGCTGTATCACGTTCCCAACGCTTCCAACACACGCAATTGAACTCCATGGCCGCCTATTGATTCCTTGGCTGCCAGCGCAAAGAAACCCCGGGCTGGCTGCTCCACTTCATTCCTACGAACCACCGCAGACTTGCATCATTACGTGCAGCGCCGACAGCCAAACGGCCCCCCAACCTCACTTCAACGACGCAGCGCGCTGCGTAGGCGAACGTAAGCATGGCTTCGGCAGATGAATCTAATTCGCGGCCCAAGAGGCCAGCTGCGATGACTAGACAGTCATCCTCGCAATCGCACATCTCGCAGTCGCCGTCTGAGGGCCCTCATCGCTCAGCTCATCACAAGAGCCAGCGCCATCATGTTGTCGGTCAACGCGTACAGAGGAACACGTCTTTTGGCAAGAATCTCAACAAGCTGAACAAAGCCGAGAAGCAGGCACAGCAGGCGCTACAGGGTGCAGAAAACACGGGGCGACACCACCGTCGCTCACAGTCGGGCAATTCAGTTTCGGCGCCCAGCAGCCCACATACGCGTCCAGGTTTCAAGCGACATGCGTCATCTGGTGCCATTGTGAGAGCAAACAATCAGCAAGCCAACTTGCGCAGAAATCACTCGAGTGGACATCTGCCACCGCGGCAAGGCCATGCAAAACACGCGCTGAAGGGTTCAAAGAACGAAAACGCTGCTTCCAAGCGTGCACTCGCGACCCCCACTCGATCTCGGCAGAGTTCGCCGGAGCCGCACGCTGCGGTTCACTTTGATATGCCCAACGACGACGAGGAAGAAGAAGGCGGGTGGACTGAAGAGAGCGCGTCACAGTCACCTACGACTACCCGATCGAACACGCGCTCCAACTCCGTTATACTCGAGGCACAGCATAGAGCGGCGGAGATCAACATGGAGAAGAATAGGGGAGAGCCATCACAGCAGGCAGGAACAATACGGGAGGCGCCCAGCCAGGCGACTCAGACGCTCACCGATCGCACACGCAACAACACACAAACCAACGGCGGGAGCTCTTACCAACATTCTCGGCCTCCAGATGCTGACATGATCACTTCGCGACTACTGCAGCGCAGCTCCTCGCGGAATCTTGCTCCTCAAACATCGTCAGTCGCTGCGACCGTCGTATCATCGTCCGACCGCCACAATTTACTCAGTCACACGGCTGGGTCCGTTGGTTCTACGCTTGTAGACACGCCGGGACACAATCTGGTATCGCGTTTTATGGACGGAGACGGCTCGGCTGGGACACCTCATGACGGCGCATACATGGCTGGGCATGGTCTGAAGGAAGATACCGATGGAGGTGAACTCGACAAGAGCAAACGCAACAAGTCGATGCCAAATTTCAACGGCGGCGCAGACACGCCATCCAAAACACCTCAGCGTTCCGGCACAACCACACCCACTAATCTGCCCCCCTCGCGGACACAACAGAAACTCATGCTCCAGCGTGCGTCGTCCAACATTGAACCGCAGAAGCTCGTACCCGTAACGCTGCCCCGCACGGGCGGTCCCACATACCTCCAGTCTAGCATCCATTACAATGGCAATGGCGAGGGACGCTTGGATCCCCGTCTACAGCAGCAGTTCAACCACGTCGCGGTCGAATACAACGTGGTGCGAAGATATCGCAACCCGATTGCAGACGCCCTTGCGCGGATATACCAAACCCCTGGCATGTCTCGCAAAACGCGCATACCCAAGTCATCGCACAGTGCAAACGGCTTCACAACAGGTGCCAGCAGCCTGAGCACAAGTTTCAACGAAAGCAGCGTCGAAACAGATGGGGCAAGCTCACGGAGATCGCGAGTCAGTTTTGAGAACGATGCAGGGCGCGGCAAGACTAGTCGCAACGAGAACGACTTTGAAGCCGGAGGACAAAGTTTCGAGAGCGACCAGGCGCGTAGCCGAAACGAAGCGGAGGAGATATGCCGTCGCTTGTGGGAGAGCGCTGAAATAGTCGAAGCCGACTGAAGACTGAAGTCTGTTTGTTTGGCGACGCGCTGATCAAACATACACGACTCGAGGCCGTTTGCGACCATTGTGTGAAGACATTGCCAAGACAGTTTTGCCTTAGGTGCGTGCGTTCGCTTGCTTCCCTTCTCTCTGCATTTTGCCGTAGTCTTTTCGGGGGACATGGGATGAGGGTCTTTGTTCTATCGTGGAATGCATGCACGTGGGTTTCCATATACGCAAGGGGCGTTTGTTTAGAGCTTGCTGGAAACGGCATGGCTTTTTGACTAGCAGGCACATTGGCAAATGTTGCAGCGCCGGCAATGAAGCCGAGGAGAACTTCTGGTGGTTGCTGCATTTGCATTTGCATTTTCGCGCTCTAAACTAACTTTGCGCGTGGCAGTGGCAAAGAGTCGTGGTTCCTTCCTGTCTTGACCTTCTTGATCCGACTCGACACTACACGACAATTGGTTTGACGGGAGCGAGTGCGAAAGATGAATTACTTGTCCAATTTGCGCGCGCGTGTTTGCTCAAATTTGTAATATGCGCGTCAAGTCGAATTGCACGCCAAAGGAGCTCCAAGGTCGGAGGCAAGACATGATTCGGCTTGGCTTGTCATTGGGGAGCGGCTTGTCATTTGAGAGAGCGGAAGTTAGGAGCTGGATTTGCAATGGCGTCGTTGCCAATGGCTATAATGCCAATGGTCGCGACGGCGGAATGGCAGGAAATGAGCGAAAGTTCGCACTGTACTAATGGCAGGGGTGGTGCGGCCTATATAACCAATCAGAGCTATACTCGCTTGGATGGGCGACCTTAGCTCCAATCTGGATTCTTTCTCTCGAGGCGATGACATGACTTGTTCTTATGTGTCACTCACCGTTGCTTTTCTGGCGATGCTACTACAGTGGGTTCGGTGGGAGAAAAATGTGTTGTTCATGCAGAATGCCATGCCTGGGCAACTACACTCTCGCGCGCTACTACTGCGCGACGACTTGGAGTCACAACATAAGCTGCATTGTTGAGGCAAAGTCTTTGCAAGAAATTCTCTTTGGCGAGTTCCACACCACCATCAGGACGTTGTTCTCGTTGTACAGTTCCGTCTGCTTCCAGAGCTGCCAAGGTGACGGGACAACAATAGCCTGTACACTTGTCGCAACGGGTAGGGTGCCACGAGTGTCCAAGTGCGGTGTACAGCATTTGTCGCGCTGGCTCCAGTCACGTTTCCGCCTTGAGGGCCGACGGCACGATTCGCTGAGCTCGTTTCAGGGTCTGTGCGGAGCTCAGGCTGGTGTATTGTGGAACGCATGGGGTGTGAGGATGCTCTGGGGCGAAAGTCGTGAGGAGAAGGTTGAAACTTGGCCCTCGAGCGCCGGGGCTTATAGGGTTGACCTTGTGCGACGACAGATACGATGACAGCCTCGTCTTCTAGGTTGCCCTAGTGATCGCGATGAGCAGTGAGGTCACTACCCGTCAGTCACGAGGATGCAGGTGGGAAGGTGCAGGCACGTTGACTAAAGTGGGTACCTCGGCAGTCAAGCTCAACTCAGGCAGGCACGAGACTGCCACGACTGGGTTGTTTGCAGAGATTTGCCGTCAAGCCAAGCCAGCACGTCCCCACTCCAACAGCTAGATCGGCAGCTTCCTTGCTCAGGTACTCCCGCTAGCGTGGCCGAACCTGCGTTAGCGCCTTAAGGGGACCGAAATTGCGCTTTTCTCAGGGAAATTGCGCAGGCGGCAAGGATTCAAGACACGATACAACCCCCGGGGGCGGTCCCCACTCGCCGTTGTTTCCCTTCACCCTCACAGACGCACGATCCAAAACTCTCGAGATATATCTCACTCACACTCTCTTAAAGTATCTTGCTTCCACGCTCATTATCATCACTATCTTTGACATCACTCTCTTGGTCTTAGACTATCCCACACTGCTCTCGCATACCATCTCCAACAAAAAAAATAAACGACCTTGTCTCACACCTTGCGCAACTTGTCGCATAACCCGTCGCATACACACTTGCGACCACCACCATCTTCTGATTCGACATCGAAGCTTTTGCGCATTCTTCGTCGCATATCAACTACCAACACCCTCCTTCACCACCAACCAACCAACCAACCAACCAACCAACAACCACCAAAATGCGCTCCTTCAGCCAGATCTTCACTGCCATCTTCGCGCTCCTCTGCGCCGTCGCCTTCGCTCAAGAGGAGGGATACGACGCCACTGTCTACATCACCTCCACTGTCTACCGCGTCAACACTGTCACCATGTCCAGCTCCGCACCCGCTCCCGGTTACACCCCCGCCAACAGCACCAGCACCATCTCTGCTACCCACCCCACCATCATCCCCAGCTACAACGCTGGCAACGGTACCTCCGGTGTTGCGCCTACTGCTTCCGCTCCTACTGTTGGTGCGCCATCTGCCAGCAAGCCTGCTGAGTTTGAGGGTGCTGCTGCGTCCATCAAGGTCAACACCATGGTTGTTGCGCTCGCTGCTGGTGTTGGCTACCTCGTCTTGTAAGAGATAGGAAAACCGCTTTCCGTGCATCATCGACTGGTGCGCTGTCTTTGATTCAACGAGCGCACGCGTTCAAAGCCTTTCTTCATGTCCTTTGCCTGTAACCCATATCACGAGGATGCATGTCCGTTCACGTCTTGTTCTTGCGCTCTTCGCATCATACCCCCTTTTACCCCCTTGGACTTGTCCTTGGGTCTTGTTTTACATTCAATCTGCTTTCCAACTTGGGCACTTCCAAACCCCTTTATTACCCCTCACACTCCTTTGTAATCACACTTTCTCTTGTCTGCGACGATTGATGAACTGTGGAGATCACACTATTATACTTGGGTAATACTTGAGCTTTGGGATTTCCTACACCTACTTTCCTTTCTGCAATACCCCCTGTTTCGGTCACCACCGTTTGTTTTTGTTCGGTGGTCGACCCTTATACCCCCTACGAGGCGCTTCAGCGAATGCGAATGCGATCTTTCATGCAACTCGAGGCCTGTTTCAAAGATGCCTGTGGCATGTGCCCTCTTGTCATGATCGCCTACTCTTCTGCCGATGCGATAGCCTACTTCTCTGGTGGAGCTGGAGTTTGGAGATACCCAATACCATTTTTTTGTGCTTTGCGACATTTGCGGTGGAAGATTTGTTTGAGACACATAGCAGAGACGAACAATAAAATACATGTTCTGTCAACCCCAACTTTTCTACTGAATGATATGACTGTGACTCTGATCGACCAGATTGTAGTAGTATATTACTCGTGACATTGCGCCTCTTCACCGCTATCCTCGAACACCAGAATTGACCGACTACAATCACGCAAGCTCCTACCCGCCCGGCAACTCTATCCCGAACTATCCCCACAACGCCATTCCAGACCCGTGCGTCTTTTTGGCTTTTTATCGTTTTCGGTCGCTACCGTAATGACGATCGACATGTTCGGCAGTATAGCTCGTTGACGTGCATAGATACGATCATTACGGTGTACGTCCATAAAGTTCATGTCGAGTCAAGAGGGTAAATACCACTTTTTGCCGAAATGAAATACAATTTGTGGTCTCAATAGCTGGTAGGGACTGCTTGTGTCAGTGCGATAGAAGGTAGATCGATAGATGGTTTGTGGTGCTAATACATACTCGGCGATACGATAACTGAAAAGGAGGTGACCAGGAAGAAGAGGGATGTTGCGACGATATTGTAGAACGGAAAATATGCCTAATCAACAGAAACCCGACGCATACATGGTGTGGAATCCTAGCGGCTCTCACTTGTATAGAGTCTTACAATACCTGAGTATGTTCCGTCCTCTTCTTGCTGTGTCACAACATACAAGGTCCTGCCAAAAGCTTCTTTTGTCAGATCTGACTACTCTTCACTTCACCTCTCGAGAGCATTCTGTAGCAAGCGGCAAAGTTCATATCTCATATTCTCATTCCCTTTGTTCAAGGACACCTCAGCTATAGCTTCCACCCACAGGTCCCTCCAACCCGAAGCAGTTTGCAAAATAAGTCACTGTCGCCGCCCAATCTGTGAACAGGCCCTTGATCCCAACCTCCCTGACGAGAATATCCAGTACTTCGTACAACTGTCCATCGTGCGTGATTACATCTGCAATCGTAGAGTAGTAATATTCCTCGTCTTTCTTCACATTGGCCAAGGGTCCTGACCTCTCGAACGTCCAGGCGATGATATCCATGCCATTTGCTTTGATAGCTTTCGAGTACTCGCTCTCAACGATGGTCTTGTTGTCAGCGCCGCCAATGGATAGAAGCATGGGTAGTGCTGGCGCAATGATGTTTACGCCTGCGGCCCGCGCAATGCTTAGGTTGGCCATTCCGGCTGCCAGGTCCGCGGGTGTGTCGAATTCTTGGAGATAGGCCGCCTGGCGACCAAAGTCGTGGTCATTTTGTAGCCAGTATACGATGTCATCATAGGTAAAAGATTGTGGCCACACACGAGAGGCGTCGATGCCCTTATTACGGAAGGCGGATATCATGTCGCTGGCGTATTGCTGCTGTGTGTAGTTTCCTTGGAAAGGCATAGGGACGGCGGCGGGTGGCGTTTTGAGCTCGGGAGTGAAGTTACGGTAGCCTGGATAGGAGTCTACAAGATCGATGTATTGATCAAGGGTTAGTACTTGGCCGCATGTATCGTAGAGCTCCGTGCGCCAGGGAGGTGTGCCCGCTTGGAAGTCGACTACGTTTGTGGCGGAGGCATTTGTGCCGTCTTGTTTGCTGCACAGCGTGCTGACTATGAGTTTTATCAGTCAAAACTATCGTCTTGGATGTTGAAATGGAAGTGGGGACATACACTCATCGATTGTGATGTCAGACGTACAACACAGCGCGTTCGCATCACTCGTCGCATTAGCTGGTGTGAACGGCGTCGTACATTTCGCTGCCAACTCTGGTCTGAGCAGAATGTCTGTCGTCCGGTGCAAATCACATAGATCATGTCTGCATACTAAGCCCCTGTCGCTTGTGAATGTTACATCGCATTCCAAGATACCAGCGCCCATACGCGCTCCAGCATCTTCCGAACGAATTGTCTCCTCTGGAAACTGAAGTGTTCCGCCGCCGCGATGGCCGATCGAAAATCCTGATATGGAAACAGGAGTGTTTTCACAAGACTGTAATTTCCTCTTCAATGGGCTATCAGTCATATTATTAATGATGTAGTATGGTCGGGGACCGAGAGAAACGAGGTAGTCGGTGACATTCTCAAGAGGAGTGTGGTGATGCTTGCTGACGGTGGGATAGCCCAGAGCCGTAGCAGCGAGACCTAATACCAGGAGAGCAGACATATCGAGATGGAGCAGCTTCGGCGAGGATAGCGAAAGACCAGGAAAATCAACACACCGCCGAATCGCACCACCAAGTTCCTTCTTTTTATACCCAGCTCAGCCAGCTTGGTCAAGCTAAGCATCCATCACCTACGTCAACGACATGGCTTCAATCCACAATCCTAGCAGTAGGCTGCAGGAACAGATGCATACTAGCCAGACGGTAATCCCATGTGCGCGGCACGGAGCACGCCTACTTCCATCGCTAACGCCAAAAGACTTGCAGAAGCTTGCATGAGCTTACGCAACGACCGCGGCTTGGGGAAAGGCTTGATGGATTGGGGGCTGTCATCATGGTAGAAGATAAGAACCAGCTATGATTACACGTGGGCGAGATAGGCGGATGTCGTTGGTGTCGGACCGGAGCAGCTGGTTGTAATCGGTTGGGATTGCGCCAATTGATTAGCGCACGTGGGGCGCATGGCGGTCGGTCTATCCCCGCATGTTTTATCCCGCGAAGTACGTGAGCGACGACAAGGCGTTTTGTGCCGGTATACCCGAGACCTGTAATCAGGCGTTGTTGCGAACTCTTCTCTCTTTCTCCGAACTACGCTGCTTGCCATTGTGCACTGTCCTAGAGTTACCTACAAGGCGGTCACCATAGGTGTAGAACAACCACATTCGTCTGGTTTCTTCCAAGAACAAGATCGTAACCCTCACCAGAAAGCTTCTGAAGATTAACACGAGTGATCTTTTTTCGGAAGAAGACGAGAGATCAGTTTTCTATCTATAATCTTGTATGACAACGAAAGAGAAGCTGTCTCAGACCACGCCAGTATAAAATTAGCAGTTTTGCCAGCGATTGCCCAATGGCATATTCTGTTCTTTTATCTCTGCTCAGATCTTCTCCTTCTCTCCTTCAGTTTTGTTTTCATCGTAAAGATTACTATCGTCTCTTTGTATTGGACTCGATGGTGGAATCAACGCTGCAGGAGGCTGCGCTGGCTGGGAGGTTGGTGACCCAGATGAGCTGGTGGACGCAAGCCGTGTGTATCGTCCTGACGGAGTATCTTGCGATGTAGCTGCTCCCCCAGAGCGTTGGAAAAACTCTTGTAGAGAAGCATAAGCAGTGGCTGGCTGTTTGACAGGCCGAAAAACCTTTTGTGGCAGCATCGAGGGTGGTGAGACCTTGCGAGGCATACCAATTGCACGTTGTATGATTGGCACGAGAACCTCTTCGTCACTGCCTCCTTCTATAATAGGCCCCTTACGTGATATTGGCTGTAGAGCAGGAGTGTATGCAATCCCGTCGGTTTGCCTTAATGGTGGTATGCCACCAAAGTTCGTTCTACTCTTACTGGTATCGTTCAGCTCGGGTATGTTGGCTCTTGCAACGTCTGAAAACAAGTGTGTTCCTGGGGTCTTCTTCTGGATTACAGTGCCTGGCAGATGGGGTGTTCTATTCTCATTGCTCTTGCTCACGATGCCCTTGGCGCTTGCATTTTGTCGCTGATTAAGCTGTTTATCATCTTCTGCCTCGTTGTTGGCGTTGTTGGCGTTTTTGTACCCTCTGATCGTCTGTGTTGATCGTGCTCCAGGTATGTCTGTGTGAGTCGTAAATCGAAGTACACCGAAAGTACCACCTCGGATCTGAGACAAGTGTTGTCTAGTACTATCTGCTCCTCCGCCCATCGCTCTTCCTCTTCCGTGCTCGCTCAGATTGGCGTCGCGGTAAACACCGCCAATGATCTGGCTCTCATCGAGAGTTTCTCTACCTCTTCCACCATCCTTACGACCGACCATTCCTCCGCCCCTCCCTCTACGACGGCTACCATATCCATAAACTTCGCCTCGTCCGTTTGGCGTTTCAGACATGCTATTGACGTAATTTAGCTGTAGCTTTCCTTGAAGTTGAGTATATCTCGCAGACGAATCTGTAGTGTTCGATGCAGCTCAGGGTCATGATCTCATTCCTACGTCTTATACCTAGTATCACATTTTGGACAGATTCGTCACACGCCTGTCTCACATCACAAGCTTCCACCAGTGGCTTCTACACGAACCCATGGATATATCACCGGACTTACTTCCTGCACCCACGTGTAAATATCTCCGTACTACCTTTACGTGCCTGTCCCTACGACTCCATATCCACATCGACCATGCCCCGTCGCACCATCCTTCCCATGCTCCTCTTCCGCCGACGTATTTTATACTTTCAGTCTACCCTCCGTCTCGCCATGTGCGCAGATGGAAGACGGAGATGCAAAAGAAGACATATCTTTCACTTCCGCTGGCCCCATCACATCCTCCTCAGCATCAGAAAGTCCATCGGGTATAGGAAGAAGTAAGATCCTTGTCGCCTGCATCTTCGTGAACAGGAGAGTAGTACCGGTTTTCATCTCGACAGAAACTTATCTCAAACTTGGGGAAGACGCCACAGGCATGGATTCTGCTGACAGAGGCTTTTGTTTGTGACGGAAGTGTAAGAGTGGTGTTTGAATTCGTGGTTGCGCTGGGAGTTGATAGACTGAGTGAAGCGGATGAACATGATATCGTGGCGGATGATTCGTTGTTTGGTCCGCCTGTGGCATTGGTAAGTAAGGTATGTGCTTCGTTAGTTGAATGCCTGCGTTATTAGGTCATCGTGAAATTCGGGGTTTTGATATTGGTGGGAAAAGGTGTCGACTGAAAGAGCCATACACATGTTGAGAGATAAGTTTGGACTTGGTTGGACCATTTCCTCCGAGCCATTGTGTCAATTATTCGTCTGTTATCAACCACTGTCGATTGTCGCGATTCGTGGTCTTTAACGGAGGTGTCTCATACTGACAGTCAAGATATGTCTGGAACGGCGTATCTCCAACGCGAGTTGGACATTTGTAATTGAAAGGACCAGGTGGCCCACGAGTTCAAAATTTACTATAATCGATTCTTCCACCTACTCCTACTCCTCCACCACCCGCCGTTGTTTCTAATATCTAACAATAGGGAAGTTTAGTGTTGGGTATATACAAATGCAAGCACAATGACCTCCCAAGTGTAACTGCCAACGAAGGCTTCTGTAGACTCTACATAGGAAACAGACAATCTCAGTATAACGCAAGCAAACAAGGAAAGGTTATTAAGTATAATGTAGGAAAAGGTTTGGTTCAGGGTTCCAAGGTTGACAAGAAAATGGGTATCAAGCTGCAAGGCCGGGTATATGGGTATAGCGAAAAGCCGAGCTGAGTATAGAAAGATAGAGAAAAACAAAGGGAGAAAGAGGCGAGAGTGTTGAACAAACGAAATAACGAGATGTGTGAAAACCGCTGTAGAGTAGGCCAGTCCGTGTATCGCGTTCCGTGTATCACGTTACGCCATGCCGAAGAGTCCTTTCTGCCCATCGTTGACAATCTTGCTGTTGTGCTGTACAGCATCGATTAACCCATTGTGACGCTGGGATCGTTCGAGCCGACAAAGCCCGTCGACATGCCCATATCCATGTGAAGAAACTGGTCTTGACGGCTGTCGAGACTGTCCATACCCCCTGACATCATGGAGCTGCCCATGGCGCTCATGTTGTTCTGGTTCATACCGTGTGGGTCCATCATGGCGAGCGATTCTCGTCGACTGCTATCAGCTGAGCCGACGTGCTGTAAATGAGGCGAGAGCTGATGCTGCTGATGTGGGCGGAAGTCTTGATTGCGTGACTGGTTCATGTGCTGACGCGCGGCTGCCCATGCTTGGGCTTGAGCCTGCGCCTGCGCAATCTGAGCCTGGCTGATGTGGGTGGTCTGCATATGTGGTTGAAACTGCTGTGAGGGATGCGGTGGCGTCGGTTGGAGGGGAGCTCCATGGTGATGTTGGGGCTGGGGATGATGCAAGGCCTGCTGTTGGGCTTGATGCTGCATCTGGTGCATCGATTCGTCCTCCTCGATGGTCTGAGGAGTTAGGTCGATATCGTCGTCGTCATCATCGCCCTCTGCATCGACTTGGTCGTTGTCTCCATCACCACACACAGTGGGTGGTGCACTGAAGGGCATGTTGGTCTCGACCTTGATCGGGCTGCCTTGCCTAGGCTGGTTCACGGTAGCGAACTGCGTTGGTGGGAGACTAGCCATGGAGCAGCTCCTAGAACTAGTGCCGCTGGGGAGTGGCTTCTGAGCACTCATACCAGAAACTGAAGCCCTGTTCTCGCGTATAGCGGTCCGCCACTTGTCGATGAGGCGGTCGTAGTCCCAGTTGCGGTAGTCCATACCGTGCTTGGCAAGCTCTCTGGCAGTGTCGGTGCCGAGGTTGATACTGATGGGCGATACATCGGGAGCTCCCGAAGTCCAGCGGTTGGCTTTCAAGTATTCAATCTCTCGACGTGCGTTCCCCAGCTGCACCTCAGCTTCCCGTCGCCTGTCGTCGGCACGGGCATAGCAGCGCAGTATCTCAATCTGCCAGTACTCCTGCCTCGTCTTGTCTGACTGTTGTGTCCAGTGGTGGTAGGCGTCTGCAATGTGGCCAAAGAGACGTTGTGGGTCGTGGTCAAAGAGCGGTGGTGTGGGTAGGGGTGAGGTGTTGGTGGAAGGAGCGGATGAGTGCGAGCCTGACGGGTAGACCTGGTTGACCTGACGCTGGCGTTGGTACGCAAGCAGACGCTCGCGGACCTGCTTGTTCAGGGCTTCGAACTGCTTCTGGCCCGGCGGGGTGATGGACCATGACTCGGACGTGGGAAAGGGCGTGGGTGAGAAGAGGGTCGAGGGCGCGGGGAGGATTTGGAGGCACAGTGAGGGGAAGTTTTGCGTGTAGGGGTCGAAGTCGAAGAGGCCGGAGCCAGATGCTTTGGCACTGGGGGGTTGTTAGCGTCATAGGGGTACATGGTGGGTGATGGATGACATACTTGGCGTCTCGCACGCTCTTCAACAGCTCCCGCAACGCCATCTCGGTGGCGCTCGCAATTTCATTTTCCTCGTTGGTTTTCTGCCTTTGGTCGAGGTCGGCCTTGCGTGTCTGCCGCGATGCATCACGGCGAGGGTCTGGTGTTTTGGTGTTTAGCCTTGAAGGCCGGTTGCTGCTTCCCCAGCTCACATCCTTGAACTGCCCCCTCGTCTTGCCAATCTCTAGCGGCTCATCGTCGTCCTCGGGGCTGCCGACAAGGACAGAGTCTTCGCTCGCTATCCGCTTCTTGTTTGCAGGCGTACTGGTGCCGCTGTCATCGCGGCGCGGTGTTGATACGCTGCCCTTGGCCTGTCGCCTGGTGATGCCGCCTCGCAGCTTCCGGATCTCGTCGACATTATGGACGCCGTCGGGCGCCTTTGGGTTTTTGGGTCTGATGTACAGGTCTAGGTGACGTCCCAGACTGGATGAAGTGAAGGCCTGGCCACAAAAGGGACAGTTCTTGTCTTTGGCAGCCTTGAGCTGTGGTTCGGCGGTAGAGCGAGGTGTGGATGATTCGGTTTCGCCCATGATGCCCGCCAGATATTATTACTCAGGGTTCACAAGCTCGAGCTTATCTCGATACGCAGAGTCGTTCATGCGTGCCTGTGGAAGGATTATAGCTACAGCTATGACATTACTATTACGGTCAGAAGGGGTATACAAGGAAAGATGGGCATAGTGCACGCCAATGGCTAATGAGAGGAGACCAATTGGACGCTGCGAACAAAAGGAGCGACGCGTTGGAGCAATATTATCTCGCTCGAGCTTGGCGCGAAAAGCTGCCCCTAAAGGCCTTTGCCGTGCACAGTGATCCGCGCGCAAGTGTCGCGCTGTCATCAGTGCGTGCAGCGGGAAGCAAGCCCGCCCGAACCAAATGGCCCCGGCAGCTGTCAGACGTCGCCTCGGGGGTCTGGACAGACGCTCTCCCCTCTCACAAGCTGACCTTCTGAAGACATAAATTGCCTTCATTTCTATTCTCAGCAAACTACCGCCTTGCTCGAGCCAGCTTTGCCGCTGTCCGCGCCGCAATGTCCTCATACTCATCCATGCCTAGGTCAAGCTTCCTGACCTGCCCTTTGCTAGTCAGCCGAAAAACGCTCCCCGGAGCTAGCCCTGCTTCTTCGTCCTCCGACTCGCTGCTTTCGTCAGCCTCGCCCTCGGACGCCGCGTGAACCCCTGGCGCTAGCTTGTACGGCGACTGCCCTTCCACCACGGTTCTGCGGGGTGTTAATAGCTGAACTCTATTGTGCTTGTTTTCGATGCGTTCTTCCGCGATCGACAAGAGCTGACATACCTCATGAAGAATCTGTCGTGGGTCACTACCAGCAGCGCGCCCTCATACTCCCTCAATGCCATCACGAGACCCAGGATGGTGTCTGCATCCAGATGGGTCGTCACCTCGTCCAGAATAAGAAGCTGCGGCGGCGGCCATAGAAGCTTGGCAAGAGCGACCCTGACCTTCTGCCCTCCCGAGAGGAGTACGAGCGGAACGTCCGACACCGTCTGACCATGGAGCCCCAATCCGCTTAAAACTGCCCGCGCGTCTTTCTCCTGTGCCCCATCGCCAACACAGTCCATTAAGTGCCGAAGGGCCGTGATATGAGGGTTGGAAGACGCCATGGCCGTGATCTCTTCGACAGATTGCTGCGAGAAGCGACCCATCTTCACTCTCGCATGTCGCGCAATCGTGCCTGAAGTGGGGAGAAGTCCGCCCTCATCACCGCCCATTATCAGTGAAGCCAGCGTCGTCTTGCCCGAGCCATTGAGGCCCGCCAATCCTGTTCTTGCACCCGGGTGGATGGTCAAATTGACGTCTGTTAAGACGGGCAATTTCTTTCTTCCAGGATACGCAAATGACACCTTCTCTAGGCTTACTAACGCGCCAGGAAACTTCAAATCGGGTGGCTGGTGCGGAAACGAGAGTTGGACTGGTGGATCAAAATCAGGTATCTCAATCTCCGCCCGGCGGGACAAATGATAGCCTCCGAGATCCCGGTTCAGCTTGAAGCGACCGCCTTTGAGACCAACTTGCAGCCCCATTCTATCGTCGAGCTTCTTCTTCCTCGATGCAGCCTGCTTCAACTTCTTATCGTCTCCCTTATCTTTAGCTGCCTTGATGTTGCCGGCGATGGTTTTCTCAATGTGCTTTTTCTGCTTGTCCTGCGCTTCCTTCATCTTCGTCATGTATCTGGCTTTCTTCCACCTCTCGCGCTCGTACAGACTGAGATTTCCGCGAAAAGTCTCTAGAGTCTGGTTACGCAGCACAAGAAGCTCCTCAGCTACGGCATCTCCAAAGTCGCGGTCATGAGTTGTTATGAGGACAGTTGTGCCTTTCAGATTCCGAATATAATCCTGCAGCCAGATGATAGATGGCAGATCCAAGAAGTTGGTAGGCTCATCAAGTAGCAGCACGTCGGCGTACTGAGTGAGGGCGCATGCTAATTCGCATCTCGTCTTCCATCCTCCCGAAAGCTCCGACACGGGCTTGTCGATACGATCTTCCTTAAAGCCAAGGCCCAGCAAGACCGCTCGTGCTTTTGCTTCAGCCTCATTCGCATCCATGAGTTCGAGGGAAGCCTGCACACCAGCGAGCAGATCTGCGGCTGCTTGCATCTCTTCGCTGAGCTGCGTAGGATCGATCTCCGTCTCTTGTAGACTTTTCTCGGATTCTTCGAAGCGTTCCTCAAGCTTGATCAGCTCCTTCCTCGCTAGCTTACCCCGTGCGCCACTTCTTCTCTCCGCAATGCGGTGGCCTTCTTTTAGTTGCAAGGCTAGTCTCTCGTGACCAATACGCCTGTACGCCCGGACCGGTGCCATGGAATCGATCGAGTTCTCAATTGCTTCACTCAGCATCTTCGCCTCTCGCACATACCGCTCTCGAACCCGATCACTCCGCACAACATGTTGTAGGACCGTCTCGCTTTCCAGACCCAGCGCATCTATACTATCTTCCATACTATCCTCCCTAGTCTGGCCTAATAGCAGGATCCTCGTACTCCACGGAATTCCGGGAACAAGACCATCAGCAATAGCCTTGAGGATCGTTGACTTGCCAGTCCCGTTCCGACCGACCATCACATAATGTCGTGCTTCTACCAAGTGGAGCGTTGTGCGTGAAAGTAGTTCGCGGTTTGCGACTGTGATAGATAGGTCTTTGATGAGTATCTGGGAGAGTGAACAAAGACAACTTGGAGTTGGAGATACACAAGTCAATATACCTCTTTTGATGCTGGCGCGTCCACAGCATCGAGCGCATAGCGTGATTGCTGTGCTGTCACTGTGATGTGACCACCGCCGTGATGCTCTGCGACTGGCACGCTTTCCTTAGTCTTGCGCACCATAGCTCTAGGAGTTGTCGACTGATCAGTGTGGTAGAATTGTTCTTGAAGAGGACGTCCTTTCCGTTGCTTTCCTTACAGTTACAGTCGTTCAAAATTTAGCAGCCTTTCAGCTCATATACACACAGATGACACAGCCAAGCAGGGCTAGCGCAATTCTTCAGCAACTCAGGATGAGTCGATGCCGCGGCTCTTGATTGGTTGAGCGAAGCGTGACTAATGCACCAAGAGACGGCACGATCTTGAGTTGCGTTTCTATGTCTCATCACTCGACCACTTCTCTCCATCGATCTCTGGAACCGTGCTCTCCAATTTCTGTTAGTATATACATTCTGTAACATGTTTCACAGACTTTGCATTCTCTCCCGCCGCCAGACGGCGCAACAACCAGACTTCAACACCAAACACTTCTTTCATCAAAAGCAGTATTCGATCCTCAGCTACTTATTTTCTGCGCCTGGCTCCTCGAACTCCTCTTTCGATGTGAGATATTCTGTCACTTCCAAGACCAATGCTTTAGCTGCAGGGGTAATAGTTTCCCAATTCGCCACGTCATCTGGCCATCTCCTTCCGGTATACAAAATACCGTACCTCGTTACTTCGACGTTAAAGACCATTTCTGCCCACTTCGAATCTTCAAACTTCTGTTTCAAACGGGCGTAGTGTTCGTCTTCTATCTGCTGCTCTGTTGATCTATCAGTTCGCTGCGATTCGGTGACAGGCCATGGTCGACCGTTAGTTTCGGAAGAGGGGCAGCAATTCTTCCCGTTCAAAACATCATCAGTGGCAGATGCACCGTTAGGGTTGGCCATACTGTCCTGCGGGGAGAAGGCAGACACAGTAGGCCTATCAGTCGGGATCTTCCTTCTTGCCTGCTCTGACATATCATTGACCTGATTGGCGTAGATCGCCCATCGAATGAGATCTTGTTCGTCTGGGCCAACTTGACCCCAGCCTCGCAAGCCTTCAGGAAACTGCGTGTTCTCGGCATGTGCTTGCTGCTGCGCTTCCGCCACGAGAGCAAGGTACTGCCGTTCGGCTTCTCGTTGCTGTACGGCTTTTAACTCCTCGTTTCTGACTGCCAATCGTTTTGGGTCTTTGGAGAGCTTGCTATTGCTGTTTTCACGGCTCGACGTAGCACGGAAAACGCTAGCGGTATCTTTCAGGCTCGCCAAAATCCTGTCCAGCGACCTGATGTCTTCCTTCAATCTGTCCAACTCCCAATCTTGCAGATCTTCGTAATCCGGTACGTTAAGCGGGAACGGCTTTCCCGCATCTCCCTCAGCTTCTTCCCTCCAACCAGAAAGCCTCCGCATCCATACCCTCTCCACCTCCAAACCCCTTTCCAAACTCAATGCCTGTCTCGTTGTTAGTTGCTCCGCAGCCTTCTCTTCCTTCAGGTCGCTGAATTACGGTTCACTATGCGCCGGCACATCAATTCCGTTCTCTTGCGCAATAGTCCGTCGCTCTTGATCTCGGACCGTGCGCATACTGTCTTCTATCAGAGCATCCTCTCTAGCTTCGTTGAGTTGCCGAAGTTCTGATGTTGGAATGCTGACATGCGAGCCATCCTCATTCATTGTGCCGGGTGGGCCGGCGGCGCCTGTACACAAGATATCCTCATGGTAATTTCGGATAGTGACCATCGTAGTTTCCTCCCAATGACCGTCCTCTGGATAAGTATCGGGTAACAGATCGTGCTTTGCTATGCCTTGAGCACGGGATCGGGGTGCTGGCTTGGGGAGATGCGGTGTGTAACATGCGCCACAGAAGGTGGAGGTAATCGAGTTGTCAAAATGGCAGAGGGGACATGATATGGAGCTTGAAGTAGGCTCTGCAGTTGCTAGAGTTTGAGCGCGCTGATGTTGAGGCTGCTGTTGATCCGACAGTCTGGCAGCTGCCTTTCTCAGTACATGACTTCGGAGGTTGTTCTCTGGTTCCGCTTTTCTTCGAGTTTTACGAGTTGGCGGCGTGGAATTCTCTACATTTGACGTATTCTGCTTCCAAGAGGCCACTGGTTCTGCATAGCTCTCTACTGGTCGTCCAGAAGCAACGTCATCCTTCGAATGTTGGAGCCCCAAATTAGCTAACTCAGCACTAGAGAAAGGTGTAAACATCGGTCCACACCGACGTCCTGTTCTAAATGGCCGCTTCAGCATCGCCGAAACTACCTTCTCTGACGCACTTTGCGACTCTGCAGCTTGCTCGCTCAAATGCCAAGTGTGCTTTCGGCTCTTCACTTGCTTCCTAGTATCCTCTTGGTCGATTGACGAAGTTTGTGTCCCAGCATTCACGATTGTGGTATATGTGCTCTTTGTTCGAGGTATGGAGTTCTGAGCATCATGTCTCATCTCTAGTGGTAGCCTTGCTGGTATCAAACTCTGCGGCAGGATTGACGAGTGCACCGGGCGTTCTGACAGTCGACAGATAGATATGGCATCGCCGCCCGGCCACGTTGCTGAGTCAAAGTCATCGGAATCTGGAACCGACCTATCAGGCCTCGGGCTCGTACTTCCACCCCTACGATTACCACTCCTGTTCTCATCTCCTTTATTCTCAACATACATCTGTCGTCCATGTGAACCAACTACCTTCAACCAGCTCTCGAGGTCTGGTATATTGTCCGGTGCAGCTATGCTCCCAAACACACTCCTTACCATTCCTGCTCTATGTACATCTCGCACGTATCTTGGAACACCTCTACATACTGCGTAAGGCGCCTTAAAGACTTCCATGCCTACACCCATGCTATCCCTCACGAATTTTTTGAGGCCATGAAGAGTGGCTAACGTGGCTGCGGGAATGATACCGAGACGTGCTGACTGTGAACCGTAGAACGAGTTTGGTATTCGGCGTTTATGCGGTGGTTGTTCGCCGTCGTAGTCGTCATCTTCATCATTGTGTTCGCCATCTTGCAGGTCTTGTTGTCGTCTTCGGTAACATAATCCGAACCCCAAGTCGATGTACTTGTCTTCCGCAGACCTCTTTCTTTTCGTCAACACCATGTGGGTTGGAGAGAAGCCGTAGCCTTTGCAGAAGGTTGTTTCAATTCCCGACATTGCGCTACGTAGTTCTTGTTGTTAGTGGATGCGCCGAGTAAGCAGAATCAATGCGCAGGCCTCATGCTGCACGTTGTGGTATGCTACGGCTGCCAGCGTTACATGGACAAAGATGGCGGTGGACAAAGGTATCGCGTGGCACTGTAGAAAGGGAAACAATAGACTAGGTATTGACGTGAAAGATCGATGGTTAGGCATGACAACAAAGGAAAGAACGCAAAAATGAGGTCATGACAGTCGCTACAGTATCAGCTGTGAGCATTTTTTCAGATCAAGGAGTTGCTTCGATGAATAATTCCACATCCTACGATTCCTGATAGGAAGGTACCTGCGCAAGTGTTCCTCCGTTGCTATCTCTTGGTTGTTCATGGCTAAGCTGTGTCGACACCCATTGATGGCGAGTAATGCCGCGAGAGCCTGCATTCATCATGATTCATGCGATGAACGATCTGTTGCGAACGAGACCAGAATTTGATGGATTTCGGACGACAAGCCGAATAACTTCTGCGAGGATGTGGCGATCACGTCTTATGGGCAACGCGTGTAACTGAAGAGGCATCGCTGTGAGAAGGAGAGGGAGAAACCAAAGTTGCTGATTTCGCAAGCCTCACCTACAAGGATTACGTCACGTCCCCCTTAGCCTTGCGCTAGTCTGCAAGCTCAGGAGTACGACGAAGCTTAGGATCCACCACCGAATCAATCTACGTGACAATAGGATTATCTTGATCAAACCACCTCACAATCGATTACTCGCTGCTGCTTCATGAAAAGAGTATTAACTGACCAGCGCTATCGATTCGGCCTTACTCTGCCATGCCCCCCTTAAAAACCCTCCGAGCATGCTCAAGCCACGATATTCGCCTACCACGCAGAACGGCAACGCCGAGCGTCTAGAATGTGGACTATGTTTTCCCTTATTTCCACATCCATCCGACGATACCAAGTACGGCATAGCGTGGGTTCTATCAACCTTTCGCAAGGCTACACAATGCTAATTGAGGCTGCGATTTCGAGTAAAAATTCTACTTCTGGTTGGAGGCTTGTTGTTCTAGAGCTGATTTGACTGTGTTCAGTAAAGCATTGCTGTGGAATATATGCATACAGTCTCGATACCGCTTGTATGCATCATGGGCTCATCTATGCATGAAGCAATGAAATTCTATAAGACCGTCACACGTGCCGTGTGCTGTTGATCAACTGCACGAGTACCTCGACTGCGTCAAGATGAAGGCTTTTTCAGCAATTCTCATTGTGCTCGCCAGTGTTGGACTTGCAGATGCAGCCGATTTCTGCGCCCCACAATCCAAATCTTGCATCAAGCTTCCTCAAGCTTCAGCCAAAGTCTGCTCATCACTTATCTGTATGAGTCTCCAGAAAAATGTTTGAAGTAAGATGCTTACGTTTCCTCAGCTAAAGCCGGTCTAAAGTTGACAACATGTTCTAAACCCAAATCTACAATCACCAAGACAACGACTGTTCAGCCATCGACGACTCAGACTGTCACTGTAACACAAACAGCTTCTTTCACTATTGCAACGTACGTACTTGGCAAACCATGGGTTAGGATCTTCACTAAATTACGCAGCAACGTGCAGAGAACCATCCAGAAAACTGTGACCAGCACTACGGTCTCTCAAACCACGTTGGTTCAGACGGCCACGAGCACTGCAGAGACAACATTAATCGTACCTGTAACAGTGACAGATTCCCAAGACGAGACTATGTGCGTACCATCTTCTTAACAATGAGCCTATATGCGGTGACTGACCAGTATAGAACAACTACAATCACCTCTTCGATACCGTACCAACAGGAGACATGTGCTGCTGCTACTCCAGTGGTACGCAAACGTCAAAACAATTATAAGGCATTGGATATAATTCCTCGTGATTGCTGTACGTAACACATTGCTTGAATATGTACAAAAGGCTGACAGAGTAATAGCGTGCTACCTCACAAGAACAACCACGTGCGGTCAAACCACAACAACGTCAACGGTTACCAGACCTACCTCGACTGTACGCGTGACGCAGGTCAAGCTTACCACCGTTACCAAGTACAATTCAAAGACCTCTGATGTCCTTCAAACCGCAACAGCTGTCGCTTCTGCCGTCTCAACCGACTCTTCGACAACAATTATTGCGATCACCGAGACACACTCTTTGACTTCTGTCGTCGCGACTATCACAACAAGTAAGAAACATCATCCTGATTGTCTGGCATCGTTGCTAACATTGTGCAGCGACTACTTCAACAGCAACCGCTACTCAGACTGTTGAGGCTGATCCCTGCGCCGATCCTGTCCTTTACACTTCCACCCGACCCGACTATCCTGGTTCCGTCTGGGGCGTATTGTCGGATTCCAACAATCCCAAGGACTGCTGCTATCGCTGCTTCGGCAGCAACGCAGGATGTCTGTTTTGGAAATTCTCTAATTTTGCTTGTACTCAGTATGTCATCCCAAACAAAATGGATGCAGTATCATGCATCACGAAGAGCTGTCGCAAGGGTAGACCATCACTTATATCTGCTGCTGGTGATGGAGCGACCTATGGTGTTGGGATCTGCGCTGCCGCGGGGTTCAGTGGATGAACTCCATCTCCAAGTGGCGTTATCAAACAGGTCAATGTAATTACTCTTCATTGTACATAGTTATTCAAGTCTTCCTAGCGAGGAGGTCAGCTTTCTTAGACCTCATGCTTTCGAAAAATCCCTGCATCATAGCCTGATCGATGCGGCCAAACTCCCACCATCCCTCTTGGGCAGCATCCGTTGTCCCTACGTACACCTCTCTTGGATGCAATCGAGCGCATGGCCACAAGCCGTAAGGTCGAACGCTCAACGTCGCTAGAAGTGGGTACAACTCTTCCAGAAGTAGACTCGACAACACCTTCATCTCGCCCTTAAAACCAGGCGCTAAGGTATCGATCAGTTCCCGCGAGAGCTGATCAAACGTCCCATCTACAAGACGCACATGCCCGCCATTGCAACCAAATCCAGGACCGTAAGGAGGCGGAGGCCGAACTTCCTCCTTGGGCGACTCAGCATATGAGGCATATGCTTGCTCATCGATGATAAGGAAGTCTTGAGTCCACATACGCCCGAGCGTCGGCAGCATGGTGAAGGTCTTCTTGAAGTGTCGTTTGGCAGCCGCCACATCACCTTCCGCGATTCCAAATTCTCGCCCATCGATGACCATGATTTTATCCTTCCTGTTGATGTTGTCAAATCCTTCGATCCAGTTTCCGGATCGTGAGACGTCTTGAAGGAACTTTTTCTCAAAGGTCGCCCATTGCTCATCGGTTTGATCGTAAGTTAGGCGGTAGCAAACAAAACCCCACGCATCCGGGTTTCGAGTTACATCTCGCGGATTCTTTGCGTAAAAGTCCATGCGCTCACGTAGGATTGTTATCCAATGTTCCTGAGTGGGCTGTTTCGGTGGACCACAGAGGACTAATCGAATCTCGTCGCGATTTTTCTTGCCTTCTTCGTAGTGGCCAATGAGATTTTCGGTGTCGCGAAATCGTGGATGTGCTGGCTTCGTGAGTTGCTGAATTGGATTGAGCAATTCCTCCATTGTCGGTTGTTTGGAAGCTTGCTCAGCATCGGCTTTGTCTTGCGCTTCAAGGATAGCTATCTGATGTTTGAAAGACTTTGCCGCCATCATCTTTCTCCAGGTATCATGTCTCTGTGTTACTGGAAGATCCTTGAAGGCGTTGGAGGTTACGTATCCCTTGAAGCCAGTCATGGGAATGCCAATGGTGTAGTCCAGCCTGGTGAGCATGCCTCTAAGATCTTGTACACACTCGTAATACTTCTTGCCTGCTTCACCAACAGCTGCTTCGTCGGTTCCAGCATCCTTGAGAGCTTCCTGGTATTGCGCAAAAGCGCGTGCTTGAACCTCATCCACGCGATCTACAATCCATCGATGCGTCCGTTCTGACATGTTGGTTGTCAAGTCGTTCCAGTATTCTGCCCACATACCGGCCAGGTTAAGTTTCTCTCCAATGCCGTTCTTTTCGCGCCGAAGGTTAGCTGCCTGCTCGAATTCGACATATTTGTCAACCATCCAATTGAAAGCGCTCCTTGTCCGGTTTTGAACCTCATCATGATTGAACCATTCGAATATGTAATTGACGTCCTTGATCAATTCGAAAAGGTTCCTATAGTTCGCAGGGTCATCCATCTTACGCTCTAGCCAGCGGTCTCCACTGATTGGCACCATACCAAGCAAGAGCTTTGCTTTCAGAGGACGTAGACGGGCAAGAAAGCCGATATGTGGTGGGGCTTTGAGTTCCTTGATCTCTTGTCTCATGATTAATGGGGCAATCCGATCCATACAACTGTAGTGCCGGTTGTTGTAGGGTGCTGGAGCCCACTGGCTGTATGAAGCATTCAGAAGGCCCCACTCTTCATGCGTCATGAGTGGAAAAGAAGGACGGCCACCGCTGGGTCGAAGACCACCAGAAACGTAATCGCCAAATGACTGCACATGTCGCAATGTTATAAGGTCCTCCTCTGATATCTATCAGTATACAATCTTGAGATTCTTGAAGGTATCGTACCGTAGATGAGATTGAGAAGCTGTTCGTGACTCCATGATGCATGGTCACCGAACCAATCCTTCATGTGCTTCTCCGCTGCATTAATATCCATCTTGCGTAGACCCTCCTCCATTTCTTCCTTCTTAGTAGAAGAGGAAGATGAAGAAGCCATCTTTGATGTTGAAGCAATTTGTCGATAACGTATGTTCGGATGGTGTCTTTGAATATATAGTAACGAAGACGACGACGGTGCAAAACGAGCTTTACCACAAGCGGGTATGCGCCAGGCTACAGTACGCAAGGCGTTTCGGGTTAATTTCACCGTGATCATTGAACGGAGGCAGTCAAGGCACGATGGATTAACAAGCTGGACGAAAAAGGGTTGCAGCCTCAGGGTGAATCTAAGGCGCGCCACCCTAGAACCGGAAAGGGAAGGCGCGAACGCCACCAATCTCCGCCACTAGGCAGCGATCTGGAGAAAGAACATTGGAGATAGCGACCGTTGGAACTTCCGATTACTCAAGCATTCCTTACTGTGTCTGCTTTTGTCCTCGGAAGCCGTACTTTGTATGTTCTGACATGTGACGAGTCTCACTTATGGCATAGCTCCATCTTGAGCCTCTCTTCCAACTCATTGGGAGTATAGCATCGTGATCTCCACATCGTGTATGGTGCGTCTATGGAGAGCTCATGATGCCGAGGGTCAAGGAGAAAGTCCTGTTCGATGAAAACAAATGCTATCAGAAGAAGAGCAAGGCTCTGGGGACGACAACTTCATTCGTGAATCCTGACATTCTGACACTAGGCTAACGCCCCGAAAGAATACCATATTGGGCTTAGTCTTTGATGGTCTCTGAGGACAAACATGATTCACAGTGTCTTGACTTCAAACCTCCGATCGCCCAGCACGATACGGATATTGTTGAGACGAGAGAACTAAACCTTCTTAGCGATGGGCTGACTAAAGACTTACTTCTTGGCCCCAATGCAGCTCTCCATCGTCACCATCCGCCTGTTCTCCTTCAGGGCGACTAATTCAGCCCCAAAGTCCTTCTTCCAAGCATTCTGCAGTCGCTTTGGCTCCCAGCCTAATAACCTGCGTGCTTGCACCGCTTTCGTAGCCTTATGCCCGCCCCAGCCACGCTCCGCGATATCGCGACGGCCTGCGGTGAGCTTGTCCGCAATCTCATGCAGCGGTACAAGTCTGATTTCCTTCTCTTTGGGGGTATCATCGCGTGGTAAGGTACCGTCAGCGAAGGCTGCATCCAAGCAACCCTGGTTGATCTCCTTGATGAGGGTGCGGCCGACCGCCGAAAACATGATGCCATTCCTGCCGGATGGAAGATAACCGACACCGCGGTCATCGCGTTCAAGGATGGTGCGTACGAGAAGAACATAGATATCGGCGAGATCGATGACGTGGACCCAATCGAAGTTCGCAGTTTCGTTGAGCTTCCAACCGTAGCCATGCTGTACAACGTACATCATGATCAAAGGGATGACTAGACCTTGGCGGTTGAACAGGCCAGTGCCTTCGCCAAAGATGCAAGGTGTGTTGACACTGATAGCCTGTACACCAGTTTCAGCAGCCGTATTTAAGACGCCGACTTCGGTCGTGCGCTGCGCGTATGGCTCCATCTCATCGAGCGCTCCCATGAAGTCGAGGATCCTTCCACGGTCTGTTTCATCATTCCACTCGCGTATCGGTCTTGGGGGGTTGCGTCAAAGGACGATCGGATAAGTTTGTACAACCGGATATGTGCAACATCCACGGTGCGGGTTTACCGGTATTGATACCGCGTGCGAGACCATTTACAAAGGCAATGGCACCTTCAGGAATGAAACCAGAGCCAGTATTGATGACAATATCATAATTTGAGGCTGTGTCTTCAATGAAAGCCGTGTCCTCAAGGCCAGACCATCTGATGGTATTAATGCGAGAACCGTACGCGTTTCTGAGTTTCACAGCCTGCGCTTCGTCGCGAATGAGGAGATCGAAGGTGAGATCCTTGATGCTTGGGGCACTACTGGCTATAAGTTGAGAAAGTACAGTACCGCCAACGTGCCCAGTTGCACCTGTGATAAGAATTCTGCTCATGGTGTAATTAAGAAGAAGGTCCAGGTCTAATTCTGGGAAGAATCTTGATTATACAGAATGTTAGATAGATATCTCCGTCGCTTCTGTTGAGATGGCCTCCGCCGCGCAATCTGAATCTCGTGCTTGTCTTATAGTGGATCTTGAAGTATAGGATGCGAACTTGGCCATGTATGAACCTTACAGATCAGGAAAGGACTGCGTGGTCGCTGAAGGATTGTGGGGCGTCCATCCAGTTGGTTTCGTAGCATTGGCTACATGAGAAACGCATTGGCCATCGATGCTTCCTCCTCATGCAGAATCTCCGCACACGGGTCACTGCTTTGCTCAACCTCAGTCGGAGTCTGATGATTCTCCAACATAACATCAGTCTCTATTGACGTTTGGCCAATGTTCAACGGAGGGACCGAATCGACTGGCAGTATCAACCAACGCAAGAGCAGCTGCGGCAAGAGGAAACGTATTTCCTGTGATTCGCATGATTTGCAAATCTTGACTTCATCCTTCGGCATGGAAAATCAAGCTGTACCGAATCTGGCAACTTCTCCATAGTTATCTGGCAGGACGCACCTATGCGGCGCAGTAAGTGCTGTCAACATCGCAAGTCGAAGAGATCGAGTAATGCACCACCGTTGCGAGAATAGGATGGGATACATGATGGTGAATCAAGGGGCGTTGTAGAAGAGGCTGACGGCTTGAGACAGCAGAACGCTACGCCGTTGCGACCAAGGCGCCGTTGTACGTGCCCGGTTAAAAGGCTCCGGTCGACTGAACTTGTTTCGTTGCCATGGCCGCATGATGGGACGGAGTGGAGTCGCCGCCAAACCACCCATGCGTGGAAATAAGAAATCGAGTGATTTACCCTGTGGTCGGAGACGCTGTGGGCCTGCGCACAGCTCATATGTTGTCTAAACAGAACGAATGCAGCAAGCTCCAGCTATGTCTCCAACCAAGCAGATTAGTGTAGCTTGAATGGCAGGAAATGCTGTTGAGATGGCCTTGGTTGCGTATGTATGGATTGAGTCTTGCATAACATGATGTGTGTTGCCTAACTTCACGCTCCTGAGCTCGCTCCTAGGCTAGCACGAGGCTAGTGGGTAACATGACGTAATTCGTGAGATGTGCGAACCCATCACTTTCGACTCCTTAGATCAATGTTTCTCAGTCGATTTAATCCGTTAGTGACTAGATATGGTTGTTGCGTCTATCGTCAGGCAACGCTTCGGAACCTTGGGAGGCTCTTAGGTAAACGGGGTCCAGGTAGGTGACTAGGAATTTCTAGTATAACTACGATCTGGCAGTCACGTATAGGAAGTCTGACAAACCATAGAGTGGCACTAAAAAGTTTTAATCCTACACTATACTATTTCAATAGCCAAGAAAGCGGAGCTAGAGTATGATCGGAGTAGAAGGTAACCAGAAAACAGAAAGCGAATAGCTGTTCGACATCATAAATTTCCCTTCCAATTCACGCCGCTGATATCCTTCACTCTTTGGAGGTACTTTCCACCATTCTTCTTGATGTGTTGACTGAATGTCTGTAGCACACCGCTTCGTAGCACATCGTCGCGCTTCTCATCATTTCGGTAAAGAAACTCAAGAAGCAGGGGTATGTACTTGAAGTCCTCCGTCGAACCTACATAGGGCTGATCTCCTGTGAGGCTAACGTACACATCCTTTATGTAAGACGCAAGCTGTGTACATTCTAGCCAGAGCGTACCCTTAGCAAGATGTGCCACCACATCTTGGGCTTGCATCAGCTGCGCGAACGCTTGAAGAATCTCGCGAGGCCCAAACTTGTCATGGCCGAGCGACTCGCTGGTTTGCTGATCTTCCTCAGCTTGTTGCCCTTGTTCGTCCTGTTCATTAGAGGCATGTGTAGGCCGGTACGAAGTCGGTGTGATCGGCGGCGAGTCCCTTTTTGACTGCGAATCTGTTTGTGGAGCATTCGGCTGCAAAAGAATTCGAAAGTCTTCCGTGCTTGTGGCGCCTGCTTCTTCCAGATTTGTAGCTGGTGTGAACTTGGTCATCGATTCAGAAGTCATCTCAAATTCTGATTTAGTCTCAGGTCTAGTAGCCACAACACTCCAAGCACTCTTGTCTTTCCTCAGATGCACAACGAGAAAGCTCACCATCTCTTTGAAGTTGTCGGTCGAGCAGTCAAAGACCCACCTTTGCAGGGATTTCTGAAAGCTTGTCGGCTGCAGGAATTCTATAGCTCGACCTGATAATAGCATCAGCCTCGCCTGTTTATAGAAGTCGTGAAAGCTGGTTGGTAGAGTGTTCTGGCCAAGAATTGATTCCAAGCCAAAGCATGCGATCAGGAAGTCCATCTCGGCCCAAGAATTCTTCAAGTATCCAAGAGAGGTGATTGCCTTATAGAAGATTGCTACACTTGTTGCTGCTGGCTCGCCTACTTCAGCCACACCCACAGCATCGCCAAGCTCCAGCAGGATAGCTTGACTTGTAAATCCGTTCAATGTAGGGTTATAGTGGAGCATCAGCTGCGGTGGAGGTTTGTGGTTATACTTCTTGCCTATCTCTGTGAGGGAGTCTTTCCTCACGACGGTGTCGATGATGTCGATGGCAACGCCTAGCTGCGGGGGTATATAGAGTTTCCCAGCAAACCACTGTTTCTTCTGCAATTCAACGTGGTCGGCGACATCAAGCAGCGCTTGACCCTAGCGGAAGAAATCGTTATCCTCGTTCAATTTCAGTATAACTCGAAGCAGTAAGTCGAGAGACACCACCTCCCAAAACTCAGGCTTATCGGTTTGCAAGGTCTTGGGCAGGAAACGTGTCAGCGCATCCGTTACGCTATAGCATTGTCTGCCTTCGATGCGTTCCACGATACCCATGGTCTTACAAAATTTCACCAAACACAAGCTACCTGACGCCTGCCATTCATATCGTTGAACGTTGTTCGAGGCCTCGATTTGTTCGACCGTTCGCAGTTTAGTGAATGGATCAGGTGTCGGAAGTGGAGGCATGTCAGTTGTCGTTGACATGTATGTCCTCACAACGTTGTTTTTGAGAGTCCACACAGTGAGGTAACTCTCCAACGTTGGCATGAAGAGAGTCCTAGCAACATCCCAGGCTGACGCCTGTCGAACTGTGTTGCCGCCCTTCCTCAATACCTGACCATGGAAGTTCTCATATAGAAGGTAGAGAAGACCAATGATACCAGTATCAGGACAGCCAGGAAAACGGACGAGTGGAACCTGCTCAGTAACTTCGATTTTGGATACTTCTGCCCGCATCAATTGGTATGCGAACCCAGTGATGACTCCGCTAGCAGCGGGCGACAACTCATTCGCATGGCATTTTCCCCATATGTGGAGAGCATCTTGTTGTATCCCAAGGAGCAAGACATTGTGGCCAAGAAAAGTCTCAATGTCTTGTTGGCCGATCTCATCCTCTTTTATGTCTAGATCGTGTACTGCAGGATCCAATTCGGAGAAAATCTCGCTATTGTTCTGCGCTTCGGGTACCGCGTCGTCAAGCTCTTCGATATATAGATGACGGAATGAATTCGAGTCGTACTTGTTCGACACAGGAGAAACGATTGATTCGTTTTGCCGCTGGGAAAGTCGGCGAAGAGCGACTGTCAACATGCGAAGAACGTCTTTAAGGACAGCATTGAATGCAACGTGCCTGTTGCGGTTCTTCTTGATCTTCGGATCGGATTCAGCCAGGGGTGCCCTGAGTGCGATCTCGGTGTCCCTCAACAATATAACATCCCTGAGATGGTGGAGGACGCTGTTCGGGATGAGGGCAACTTGAGGAAGGTCGTTGGCGATGATCTCTCCGCATCTCAAGAAGACGGAGATTTTCATATGATTGGTTGGAGTGTCTGGGTCCGTACGACACTTCTTTATCCAAGACAAGTGTCCAGTTGACTCAATCGATGCTTTCACCAGATACTTCTGGATGTGCTTGGTGCCATGCTTCAGGCGCGTTCGGTCTGACATGCTGATATGTAGCTGTGTATGACGGGTTGTCAGACTTTGGATGGCTCGTACGTATCAAAGCTTGCAGGACGGGTACGAAGGTCTTGAATTGCGCTGGCCGCAGTGAGTACTGCTGGTCAGTTGTATAGCAGTCAAGTAGGGAGTATATCGAAAGTTGGAGTTTGGTGCGTTCGTGTATATATAAGGTCTGTAAGGGTAATCAGGGGAGAAAGGAGGCGCATTGTCCAACGATCAAGAGAGGGAAGGGTCGACCAGTGCCCGTGCAACAGTCGTAGAGGGTGAATTGTATGTCAACAATCAACGTGACCAGTGCCACTGCATAGGGTGTACTAGACATAATTTCAGACTCAAAGTCAACAATGTAATTGAATAGACAAGAATTTGCTGTACCCGAACCACATGGTCTCATTTAGGTAAAGAAATTCCAGCCTCCAGGCTTCAGTGTTTTTACTCAGACCGTACATGGAATTTGCAGTCCGGAATCGATAGCGGGCCCGATGTACAATCTTCGTACATTCGGATAGACGTGACGCTTATTTGGATAATACTCTGGCCGGATTACCAAGCGAGAAGATGAGATTGAGGCTGGATGGGTCTTTACACAGGTTGTTAGTATACTTATATTGTTCTAACCTTCGACTTGTTTGATGGTCTTTATTGAAACAAGTTTGCGTCCACGTTGTACGTTTGCACTGCCGGTCACAAACGAACTGTCTCGGATCGCCTGACCGGCTTGAAGACATGGCGGAGCTTGATCTGGCCAGCTATACAGAGGATCCGTGTGTGACGGGGTGGCTACAGTTCATCAGCTCCTCTCGCGTACTTCCGTATACTTCTTTCCTGCTATATCTCTTCTCGTAAACTACGCAAAACGGGACGAAGATTGAATGACTTGTGCTAATGATTTCGGAACGTGCAGCAGCGTACTTAATAGCTCTGCAGCTAGAGACGCGTGACTTGACGCGTCGTGAAGATCGACAGATCCAAACCGCGCGCGCTCAGTGCGCGCAAAAGCAGCGCGTAAAACTGCAATCCATGAAATTCTCCAGATGCTCATCATTTTAGTAAATATTGTTTGCGATAAGAGAAGAATGTGAAAGAAAGTTCGTGAGACAGAAAATGAGATGGGAGGGAGTCGCCATCAGACTGCCAGATCCGAGGTGGCTATGCGACGTCTTAGCGCCTGCACTCTTCCCGCAGACTAACCCAACCTCCACAAGTTCGTCAGCAGCTTTCGCATCATCATTGTTACTTCTGCTCACCATCTTAGTTTTTACCCATGCAAGCGGCCATCATTGTTCTTTGACGATGCGATGGAAGCATAGACCATGGGACACCGGGCATCCTCACCAGAGGCTGAGTAGCTCGCTATACCTGCCGTCCTTTCCGAATACCACCATCATCGGCATCCACATCCGAACCGATCCACCATCATCGCCTTGCCAAGCGGGTGACAGCGATCAACGTCATATGCATCAGGGATGCATTTTCATCAATCTCGCATATAGTCAAATGATGGGAATGTCCCTCAGCACTCACTGTAGATCAAGCCTCATTTCAGTTCCCTACACCTGATCATCCCAACGTGCAATGTCCGATATCAACATCACAAACGAACGACCATCCTACCAAGCCGTCTTCTCCCTCGATGTCATTACAGCAGCTGGAGCCCTGATTCTCCTTGGTCTAGCATCCAGACCTACGTTCAAGCGAATCAAACAACGCCGCTTTGCTGCGCCAGGCAAAGAAAACAGTGCTCGTGATGGCCCATTAAAGACGACTTTGGGAACATACCTCTTCCTCTGGCCAGCTCTTCTCTGTCTCTTCGTCGCCTATGTATGTCGCTTCGTATCCGACCTCCTCAAGACGAGCGGAACAATCGATTACAATAGCGACCTCGGTTGGAATGGCCGTCGCGCCTATACCCTCATAGGGAGTGAATACTCTTCCAGTATCTCGGCTCTTACCTTCACTACAACCCTCGCCACAATCTTCTTCACTGTGCTGCTCAACGGTGGAGTCTGGATCCACTCCAGTCATGTTCAGGAAAACGGCACCGGTATTTCCACACCAAAGACCATGTCGCGTATCTGGAATACTTTCATCATGCTTGCCATGCTGAGTACCGGTGTTGCAGCTTGGGGCTTGGGTATGGAAGCAAGGGATGTCAGCACTGGTAGCTCCGGCCCAGATGCACTGTTGTCTTGGTCAAATGTTATGAGCCATGACCGTGCGACGAGAATCACATATATCGTACACGAGGCTATTGTTGTTGCAGCTAGCTTGAGCGTCTCGGCTGAGGTATCGAGGGAGTATGGGACAACGAATAAGAATGCTCATGGTGTAAGTCTATCGCTTCACAGTGCATTACCTGGTACTAGTGCTAACATCCTGCAGTCACCCGAACGCCACGACCTCGCTCGTTTCGCTTTCGTCGTTGTGCCGCTTATTTGGCTTCGCGACATCTTCATTATCTACGACATCATACTTCTTTACGTTGACACCTCAGGATGGTCAAACAATGCTGTTCTGGCTACGACTTTCTTGCTTGTCATCTGCAGGCAATTCGCTAATTTGGCCATTCTGGGTATGGTGCTTTGGGGTGCTTGGAGGATGGGACGAAGTGTCAGTTTGTTTGGAGGAAGTTATGCTTGAGCGAGATGATCACTTGCGCGACCGAGGTGTCTAGGACTTTGACACGACGCATACAGTAATAAGTGCGTCTTCCATGTAGGGATGGAAATGTAAGATATGTGGTTTCAGTGCATACAGATATTGAATGGAACGGTGATAATGACGAACCTGGATTGTGTTGGCTATATTGTCATCTATCTAGCTATGCTACTATGTTCGGGAGTGATGAGACCGCCAACACACGCTCTTGGAAGAAGTCTCAACGCTGACAGCCCACCACCGAACCTTGTACGTGATTAAGCTCGCTGAGTCTCAAAACCAGGTTTGTATGGGTTTGACTGGCGCCTGTGTCTTACCAATGTGGAAGAATTGCCGTAGCTCATGTGCGCGGAAATCGTTTGTCGCGTTTCTTTGTAGAACTCGAATACTACTTCAAAAACTGGACCCATTCAGCTCTCAATTGAATAATCTAAGGATAACATCACCCTTCGCTTTGCGCTTTCACTTTTACGTTTTGGGCTCACGATGGGGATGACGTTGGAACGAGTGCGTTGATGAGGGCAGCGCACGAGAGAACCAGGGCAGGAGAGATCAATGCGAGCAAGTCGGAAGAGACTAGCAAAAGAAGCGAGCGGCGGTCAATGAGGAGTTACTGTTGTTACTAATGGAAATGCTTTTACCACGGTAGATGAAGGTGGGAAAAGGCCTGCTCGACGCTGGAGTGGGATGGCTTAGGCAAGCGAGGATCATGAGACAGCCATTTCGAGCTCAGACTAGGATAGAAAATGACCCAGAATATGCTGTGCTTGGAAATCTCGATGGAAAATACTGAGTTCCAGAGGTAGAACGTAAAAGTCACGTTCTATCAAGTTTACGGGGGCAGTCATTGGTTCGGATCGTGATTTTGATGGAGTAAAGCCCGTGTGTACGAGCAGCTACCCTGGAAGAATGTGACTGATCCGTCTGATAACGATATCTGATGAGCGCTAAGCTTTGTATTCCTATGGTATGAACGGCGTCAATCCACGGATAGAAAACGTTTAGAGCCTATCTGGGAAGTGACCAATGAAAATGCTCAGTTCCACGATCCCAACCAAGTTCCACCATCGAGCTTAACTTTTAGGATCAGATAAGTATTAGTATAAAGCGATTCATGAACGCGATATGATTTTATCTGATTTCCCAAACCTTCAGTTACCTTTTAGCCATATCACGATGCTTCCAAAGAAAAATGAACCCAACGGCCCGACCGCCACGCGCAAACGGAAATGCGAGAAAGATGATGAGATTCCAAAGCCAAAAACATCATACAGAAAGCTAATGCCTGCTTCTGAAAAGCCCAGGAGGAACCCAGGCGCTACAATGGTCCCGGACCAACATCATACTCTTGGACATGGTCCGGTTTCGAGGCCTCAAGGTCTGGCCGCCGGTCCCAGTCCAGCAATCAACCAAGAAGCATCTGGTGCGCCATCTTTTCCTCGCTTAATGAAACCTTATGGAAGCCGCAAGGAGCAGGAAGCTCGAGAATATATCTCAAATCTGTATCGATCGGGCAACATGGGGCCTGCTGTGCCCTCATCAGGCATGATAAGCTCTCAACCACCACTACCATCAAGCCAAAACTTTGATGGCTTCGGAGTTCCTACTATTTGGCATCCTGAGTATGAAGGAATGTTCCAGGAATCTTTGAGGCGTGTACAAGGGGGGTTCTTGAGTGAGCCCCCCAGTATGTTCAACCTCAATATGGATGGGAGTTACAACGGTGCAGACTTCGGTTGGATGACTAACATGGTCGCGATGAATCCACCATTCTTCCCACATCCTGATCCACTGCAAAATGGTCAGGAAAGCGCTGTAACAACGCCAGACACAATCTTCTCTTCGGATCATGCTCCTGCCTCCTTCCCAGGTAGCTATGATGGAACCATTGACCCGGTTATCCTGTCATCCGCAAACGAAGTTCCGCAGAACGATGATATGACCATTCCGATGAATGCTGCCCAGGCGTTCAACAACACTGAGGAGGGTGGTGAGGAAATTGGCTTCAACGACCTCCTGCCTCAAATCCAGGAACAACAGCCGCAACCTCAATATCAAGCTCAGGGCATCGACCTCCATCAGGAAGGAAGTTACAACCAGCAGCCACCGACATATGCCCAATCGTATGCTCCAGGCTACATTGACAGCTACCCTTCGCAACAGCAGCAACCCTGGTCTATGCCAATCCACGCCAACGGCTTCCCTCTGGCACAGCCGCAATCCTGGTATATGCCAAACTACACCTACGACCCTCCACAACAGCAGGCACTATCTTCGTATACGCCAACCTTCCCCAGTGTCCCTCTGCAACAGCAGCAGGCGTTACCACCGTATGCGCCACCCTTCCCCCATATTCCTCTGCAACAACAGCAGCCGCTACCCTTGTATGCTCCATCCTTCCCCAGTGCTCCTCTGCAACAGCAACAGGAACGACACCCATGTATGTCTCCTTACGCCAACCGCCGTCCGCAACAGCACCGATCAGCCCCACAACCCCCTCCATGGTACCAGTCGTCCCATGCGTCGCCCACTCAGTTCAACAACATTGTCGGCCATAACATCATGTTGAACCATGTCCCCTCATTGTCATCGTTGTCATTGTTGTCAAGGGTGCCATCGTTGTCGGTTCCGTACGAAAATCCCGCCAGTCCTGATATCAGACAACAAAATTATCTGCAACAACCGCAGGTGGAAACGACAAGCGGACAGAATGAAGCGGCGAAAGAAGGGGAGGAATTTGTTATCGAGGATCTTGTTACCGAGGATACAAAGGAGGAATAGCTAGTAGCGTGCGAACGAACAAACGCGCGCAACAACGACGTGTCCTTACTTTCTTTCCATCGAGTCGTCGACAAGAGGATATGTCATGCTGTCAATATATATATACTCACCTTCAACTGACTTACTAGCGAGAGCCTTACGCATTCTAAATGTCACTATGTTTTATACCTAATCGTATCTTTCCAACGATTGTGCGCGCGATGAGGCAGAAGAGAAAGTGCGTGGGAAACGCAAAGTTAGATGTTCGCGGTAGCGATGCCGACTTCGGAACGGTTCGGGGTGGGAGTAACCGCCTCCCGTGGGTAGCGTCGACCCACAAGCAAAGGGGCCGCTAATCGGCCAATGAAGATTGCTGAAAGTTTCTTGAGCTCCTATCACTTATGCGAGTGCACTTTTTCAATGCTTCAATATGGTTTTATTATTGGTATCTATGTCATCTCATCGTCGTTTTTCAACTTCAGGATTTCCCTAGACATGACCATGTCAATATCTAGCCCTGAGGAGACGCCCAAGTTATTTGGTCATGGACTGTCTCACGGTGAAGCCACCTCCTCCAGTATGTCAACGTGGTACGCATATCATCGGTCGCCTTCTAAGCCCTCGACATGTTCTCGCCCTCCTCAGCCTTCTGGAGACCGTACTTCTTGAGACTATAAAATCATTAGCAAAAGCTTCACGTTTGAAAGGAACGTGAACTAACCGGATGCTCTGGATGGCGATAAAGCCAGTAGTGTCCATTGGGCTGAAGTTGTCCAAAGTGTCCATGGACGCCTCCTCCTCAGAGTACAGCTTCTCAGTCTGGCTGGACCTGCCCAGGACGTACGCATTGCCCTTGTACAACTTCATCCTGACCTCGCCGTTGACCCTGCGCTGGGAGAACAGCAGACTGTTCTCGATGAACTCGCGTTCAGGAGAGAAGTACATGCCGTTGTAGAGCTGGTAGCTCCAGTTGTGCGAGACGAACTGGTCGCGCAGGTTGCGCACCTGTGCGTCCATGACGAGACCCTCGAGATCGAGATGGGCGAGGCGGAGGATGGTCATGGCGGGAGAGTCGTAGCAGCCGCGGGACTTGAGACCGATGAAACGGTTCTCGACAATGTCGATGCGACCGATGCCGTGAGTGAAACCAAGCTTGTTGAGCGCAACAAAGAGCTCGACAGAGTCGGTGTAGGTCTTCTCTGGGGTGACGACCTTGACGGGAATACCCTTCTCGAAGTAGACGGTGATGTCGGTGGGTTCGTTGGGAGCGTTGAGAGGGGAGTCGGTCATAGTCCACATGTCGTCGGGAGGAGACACGTCGGGGTCCTCGAGGATACCTGACTTGTTAGTCACACTAATGCGATTTCTGGGTGTTTCGCCATACCAGCTTCGTAGCTGCAGTGAGCCAAGTTGGCATCCATAGACCAGGGCTTCGCCTTGGTAGAAGTGACTGGAATACCATGCTTCTCAGCATAGTCGAGGAGATCTTGCCTGCCCTTGAAGCGGTCGCAGAATTCGGGCAACCTCCATGGCGCAATGACCTTGATGGTAGGCTGGAGTGTGTAGAAAGCCAGCTCGAAGCGGACTTGGTCGTTGCCCTTGCCTGTGCAGCCGTGCGAGACGAACCCGCAGCCTTCTTGTTGCGCAACGCGGATTTGTGCGCGGGCGATGACTGGGCGGGCCAGCGAGGTCCCGAGGAGGTAGCGGCCTTCGTATGAGGCATTGCATTGAACAGCGCGGAAGCAGAGCTCCTCAACGAATTCCTTCTGTAGGTCGAGAATGACCATCTTCTTCGCACCAATCTTGAGCGCCTTCTTCTCGACCTCGTCCCAGGGCTCTTCCTGGCCAACATTGGCGAGGAAGCACACGACTTCATAGCCCTCCTCTTTGTCTGCGTGTTAGCTTGTGTTACGTCTCTAAAAACTGTTCTGGCGTACCGATGAGCCATTTCAGGATCGTGGAGGTATCGAGGCCGCCTAATGACTCAGGTTAGTTTTGCTTGCTCAGACGTGACGAGAGCAATTGGTCGTGCAATCGCCAATTGTAAGGAAAACTCACCAGAGTAGGCAAGGCAGACGCGTCCCTTTGACATATTTGCAAGTTTGAAGGTATAGAAAGTGAAGGTAGATGAGAACAAGTGAGTAGGAAGAATAAATAGAAGAGGGGTTGCGGCGTCTGGGGAACGACGTACGTGCGGAGAGTCACTTGCTTATCTTATCGCCCAAAAAAAGTTCGGTGCTCAGCATCCCTGCGGGCCGATCATCGGTCTGAGTCAAACTCACCATAACGAGGCATCTAAACTTCACGACGTCTGGTTTGACTCACCCGAATAGTAAATTTGATGAACCGCATCTAGCCGGGCCCAGTTTTGGTGTATGACGCAAATGAGATGTGTTCAGGAATAATATTCAAGTGGTATATATCCCAACGCCAGGTATGCAATACTCTTACCCAGAGCATGTAATGTCGTAAGCCTCAACAAAGTATGAACAGAGAGACCATCGTGAACCCAAATGACTTGTCGCTACTCAAAACTCAAACGCGCCTTTCCACTCAGAATCTCGGACATGCCAAGGAGTATGTCCTCCTAGAACGCGCCGCCGGCGACCCTTTCGCGTTCGTAGAAAACAATATAAGCCTTCTCGTTCTGCAAACGATTGTGTGGCGGGAGATTCCCCGGGTCGAAATCTGTAATTTTGTCGTCGTTGAACGACCTCCAGCACCCTCTCGATTTATCCTTGACGAACGCGATGTAATGTCCGCTTCCAAGCGTAGCGCCAATATGCCAGATCACAGCGTAGGCATTATACACATAAGGTCCGTTCATAGTGGGGTCACTCTTGACACCCGCAAGCTGCGCAGGCCCATCTCGGGCTTTCTCTGACACGTAGCGCTCTTGTTCGAGGCTCATGGGTGGTTCGACATAGGGTCCCATGTCTAAACGTTGGAGGGGGAAATTAACAGGCGTCCGGACCTTCCGGGCACTTTCAGTGCGAGAAGCACTGAAGCGTTTAAAGTGAATGACGAGCGTGTCAGGCGCGCGGGTGATAGTGATCTTCTTCACAGCCTCGCGATCCTTCTTGCAGCGAGGGCAACGCCATAGCTCATCTCCTGCTAGTCGCTCCGGCGCACAATATGAGTTTAAGCATTGGCGTAAATCGCATTCACCGTCGCGGGGAATTTCTACGCTGATGCTCCAGAAGGCTTCATATGTTGTGCTCGTCACGCCGCATGTCTGGCATGTTAGTTGTGAAGCGTGTTGACCGGCGAATAGACCGCCAATGACAGACATGTCCCTATGTTGATACCTTCGCCATTCAATCATGGCTGAGTACTGACGGGGGAATCTCTCTCGCGTCAACTCTTCCGCATCCGAGAGCGGTTTGAGTGGTGGTTTGTTCCACGTTAAATTCAAGTCCTCGTGCATGTAATCTAGAACGAATTCGAGAAACTCTTTGGCGTCTTGCTGCTCGTCGATTCCCCATTGTGAATTGAAATGACCACATATACGCTACTCAACATTAGTCATGCTTATTCTCTGCCTCTGTTCTTAGAAACTTACTCTGAACGTGCTGGGGCGGACGGATCCGACATCGCCTTTGTACAGATTTGACAGCAGGGTTGCGTACGCCTCTGGTAGGATACCCTTGGTTCCTTTCCAATTGTCTCGCTGCAGATCACGCTGATATCGTCCGGTGAGAAACAGGTCTGAAAGCAATAGATGCCCACTAAGGCACTGCACTACAGAGTTCATGTAGCATGTGACGCCAAAGTTCAGTAGTCCAGTCCGGTGCAATCTCAAGTTACTAAATTGAGGCTGCCCATTGTAAACAACATCTCGAGTTTGTTGCTGTCGCTCGTGCACGCCACTATAGCTGACTCGAGGCACAGACGGCGGTGGCCGCGAAGGTGCAACAGGTATGGCAGGTGCGACGTATTGATTGGTCGATTGGAATTTGGAAGGGTACATCATAGACGACTGTTCGGCTTCGACATCGGGATATCGACGCAGAAACTCTTCTGTTGAGCGATAGAATGGCGACGTAGGCTCCTCTTCTTCCTCGCCTTCTGCTGGAGGTACTTGAACAGCAGCACGTCCTTTTCGAGCTTCCTCCAGCCATTGTTGTTGTTCTTCCTGATCCATGGGAACATATTCGCGTCTTGATCTTCTCTGCGTATTGTTTCTCGCAATGTGGCTAGCGGCGGGTGATCGTCGGATAGCCCGAGTTCTGGTTGGACCAGCCGCCATTGCTGCAGCGGTAGAGGACATCTTCAAAGCTTGTGGGCCCACCAGATCTACCCAAGCATCAAGTCCACCTTTGAGGAGGACTGGGGGACGCTTGAGTGGTTTGTCGGCGTTGAACTCGTGCAAGGTGTCAAATAACCGCTTCAAAGCAACTTCGCTATCTGATCGATTGTGCCTATGCATGAAGTCAATGTTCTTAGTTGACTCGTCATAATACACGACTACGTCGAAGTCGGCTCGCCTATCGAACATGTCCTGTTCGTCGTCTGGTGATATGATCAGACGATCTTGAAGCTGTTCGGCCGAGTCGCCATCACGCAGTGTTAGTGGCTCTATGCACATGATGTTGCGCACAAAAACATGTCCGGCGTCGTAGTCTGTCCTATCCCGCACGTCGATGGTGAGTACATTGTACATACGGTAATAGTCGTAAAGCATGCTGGCGTCGATCTCAAGTTCCACCGTCTTACTGACAGATCTTGTTCTACCGTTCGCATCGCGAAGATTTTGCTGAGCCGGAAAATACGAGTTCGGTGCACCGTTGACGTTAGGCGCATAGCTCGATGCGCTGGATGAAGCAAGTGAGTTTGTACGTCCTCCGGTCCCATTCAAACTTCTAGGCGTACTCCGAGGTGCGTTGATGCTTGAGGGGCCTGAGATATTCCGCGCTGGACTATAGGTAGGACTGGGCTCCTTTGGTAGGGAGGCTGCAAATTGTGTATCTAAAGGTAGTTTTGGTGGCGGTGGGGGCATCGAGAGAGGTGGTGGAGGCATGCCCCGGGGACCCATGATTCGATTTGTGGAATTGTAGTCTGCAGGTGACGGCATTTTGACAGAAAAGTCCTGGCTGGAGCGGGCGGACGATGTGTCGACCGTCGGGCCAGAGCCTCTCAAGTTTGCAAATCGTTGGGCGAGGTCATTGACTCCGTTCACCGACGACAAACTCTGGTGCACAGCCCGGCCATGCAGCGATTGTGGCTTCGGTTGCACGACCGGCTTTCTTCTTGCAGAATCCAGAGAAGCCGCAGGTGAAGCTCGGCCATTCGGAAGTTCCGTAGGAACCTCAGGAAGCATCAGCTCGTCGTCTTTCCGCAATGCAATCATTCCATTTCGGTTGCTTGGTGTCGTAGCGGGTGGTACAGAGGAAGTCCTATGATGGGCGCCGTTTCTCTTGTTATCGTTCTTAATAATGTCCTTGATGCGCACAAATCGCTCTTCGCTCGCCTTGATCTCCTTCATGAGGTCGTTGAAATCGCGGTGGATCTGGCTGCGACTACCGTTGATCTTGTCGTAGTAGTCACGGTGGGTAGGTATCAGTTCGGCGACGATTTGGTATGCGACGATGTATTCCCAGTAAGCGCCAGCGGGTGAGCGGTTGTTGAGCATCGTCTTGGCCGAGTTGAAATGTCCTCTGGCCCTATCCAGAAGGAGTTTGATCTATGTCTTGTCAGCGGCTGTCGCATACGGGGCGTGTCTTGGATGTGTACCGAGTGGTGTCTCAGCGACTCGGCCGTATCTGTTGCAGAGGCTATGATTTCGGCGATGGGTGGGAATGGGCCTACAGCGCCTCTGGAGTCACCAGCGCCATCGCCGCTCCTCCATGCGTCTGCGCCGGCGCCGTGGGAGCCATTGGTGTAGCCGTTCATGGTGGTGTTGGCGGGCAGAGGTCCTGAGGGCGGCCGAGGAGCAGCCGCACTCATAAACGCACTTTAGATGGTGGGCAGGCGTGCATGTTCGAGAGGTTCCAAGCAAGGCGCACCAGGATATGGTCGTGGCCGTAATTGAATACGTGTGCGTAGAGAGGCAGTGTTGATCGGGGATGCGGGGCGAATCGGGTGTCAGGTGATTGGGCACAGCGTTGTGTAGTCGGGCAGTGATTCTATAGCGGCTACAATAGCAATTTCCGGGAGGAGTTGGGTGCCTGGAGTGAAAGTGTCGGGCGTGTATGGCTCTCCCGCTGTAGGCAGGGTTGGAGCATGTGTCGGTCGATGCGGCTCATGGCCGCCGTCCGGCGTCATCGCCAAGACCCTGACCTCGGACAGCTTGCTACCTAACCTTCACTACTACTATCACTGCGCGCTATATCTCACCCGAATCGCTGCGCTATTCCAAGACCCAAGTCAGCATCCGGATACACTTCTACACCTTTGATAATCTGCAAACCATCCCTCAACTGGGCGTGCCTCAACACCATGGCGGGCTGGTTCGGGTCCTCGACCACGAGCGCGCTCGACGAGCAGATCGAGCGCGCCACATCTTCGAGCTTGTACGAGCTTCCTCAAGATATACAAGGCTTCTATATACATGCTGATATGTACCAGAGAGGATATGCCCCTCAATCTCGAGATATCCGACGTTATTCGGTCCAAGACAGTGCAGCCTAGAGATGCCATGCGCGCATTGAAGAAGAGGATAGGGAACAAGAACCCCAACGTTCAACTCGCCACTCTGAATGTACGACTGCATCTTTGAAAACATCTTGGATTTCTGCTGATCCGCTATAGCTTACCGACACGTGCGTTAAGAACGGCGGCGCCCACTTCATCCAAGAGATAGCCTCACGGGAGTTCCTCGACAACCTGACGTCCCTGTTGAAGGCACCTCCAACCGTCGCGCCCAATAATGATGTCAAGAAAAAGATGCTCGAGCTTATACAATCATGGGCGACTGCTGCTGAAGGGCGCCACAACCTGAGCTACATCAACGAGGTCTACCACAGTCTGCAACGGGAAGGCTACCACTTTCCTCCCAAGGAGAACATCTCCAGCAGCATGCTAGATAGTAGTGCGGTAAATGCCCTCCAGACATCTCAGGCACCTTCAGCGACTGACACTTGTACAGCCCCCAGAGTGGACCGACTCCGACGTTTGCATGCGATGCCGCACGCCCTTCACCTTCACCAACCGAAAGCACCACTGTCGCAATTGCGGAAACGTCTTCTGTGGCGCGTGTTCGAGCAAAAGCATCCCGTTACCCCATCTCGGCATCATGGACCCTGTGCGTGTCGACGATGGATGTCATGCGAAGCTTACCGAGAGATCGAGAGGAACACCGCTTTCAAGGGTCTTCGATACGCCCAGACCACAACGGACACTGTATCAGGGTTCAATGGAGCCGCGCAATGCGCGCGTCGAGGACAGCTTCGATGCAGACTTGAAGCGAGCGCTGGAGATGAGTTTGGACGAAGCCAAGGGCAACAGTTCTTCTGGCTTTGTGTCCCAGGCGCAATTGCAGCAGTCCAAGCCGACCAATGGAACAACAAAAAAGCAGCCTGAAGAGGAGGAAGATGCCGACTTGGCTGCCGCTATTGCAGCTTCTTTAGCGGACATGGAGGAACAGAAGAAGAAATACTCCACGACCTTCCGGGAACAGGCTTCCAACGCAAGCGGATCAGCACCTTTTGTTGCGCCCAAAAACGACTATGAGCTCACTCCGGTCGAAGCGGAGAATATCAATCTGTTCTCTACACTGGTGGACCGGTTACAACACCAGGCCCCTGGCACTATTCTCAGGGAGCCACAAATACAGGAGCTGTACGAGAGCATTGGGAAACTGAGACCGAAACTTGCGCGCACCTATGGCGAGACTATGAGCAAGCATGGTACGTAAGTCCTCCTGGTAGCCTGAACATCGCTAACAAGAACAGACACACTACTTGACCTACACGCCAAGCTATCTACAGTTGTCAGGTACTACGATCGCATGCTCGAGGAAAGACTGTCGAGCACATACAACCAGGCCAACGCCATGTATGGTCTGCCTGCTTCCACACAACGGCCGGCGTCCAACCTATACCCCAGCATACAGCAGTCAGGAGCGCCAGATGGGTCTGGAGAGAACTACTACTCAGGAAACGCGGCCCCTTCAAGTGCTTACGGACAACCCCAATCGCAATACGGTGGCGGCTACCAAGCTCCATACCCCAGTTTCGACAAGCGTCCACAGTCGTATGCTCCGCCTCAGGATCAATATCAACAACCATCGCAACCATACCCTAACCTTGCACAACCGCCACCGAATACTTCGTATCCAAATCCAGCCTCGCCACAACTACAGCGCCAAGTTTCGAATCAGCAATATCCCCCACAACAGTCTTCTGCATATCCACCACAAGCACCACCTTCCGACGCGGAAAGCGCAAGCTTCTACTATGGTGACAGCGCTGCTGCGCAACCCTCTCAACCCCCCATGCAACGTACTCAAAGCTACGGCTCTCAACCTTCGCAGCAACAGCAACCTCCTTCTCCGCAAGCATATGCTCGTGCTCCACCGCAGCAAACGCCCATTTCACCACCCGCACAACCTACGACTGCGTGGCAGAACCCACCATACCCCAGACAAGACCAGCCACAAGCTTCTCAGCAGGCGCCGCAACAAGCACCCCCACAGCAGCAACAGCAACAGCAGGCTCCACAGCAGTCAGCGCTGCCGCCACAACAGTACTGGCAACAGCAGCAACAAGCGCCTCAGCAGGCTCCACAGTCTTCGGCGTGGCAGGCAGCACCTTACGCGACAGGTGGGTATGGACCTGAGAGTTTCCCATCTGCACCGCAGAATCAGTTGCCCGCTCAACAGCAGAAGGTTGCCGATGAGCCTTTGATTGATTTGTAGAGAGGTAGACTGGGCTCTTTCCCGAGCTAAAGGTTTGCTTTGGGAAAATGACCAGCAAGTTCTGGGTTACGCGCTTCGTAATGGAACGGCGCGATTGACCGTCTCCAAAAAGACTGGTGACAGGATCGTTCTTTGAGCTTCGTCATCGTTTGTAGGCATTTACGTCTTAACATAATCTCAAATATCACCGGCGTAACACCAACTTTGCGCCGTCTTCAACAACCGATAATGACGTGCAGACGAATATATCTGTAACTATACATGTTCTCCATACTTTCTACTTGCACACTTATGTAAATCGATAAGCCTCTCTTGATGTCAGTATCGTTCACTCAGATATTTAGCCCAAATCTCTCCAACTCTTTCATAGCGCGACCTTCACAAACAGCCCTCACCCATCTATCTTCTATTCTACTCTCCTCTACAGCCCCCAACACAAAATTGTCCAGTTCGACATACCCCCAATGCGGTGCTTCAAGCCTCACGATAGCCCAGCTGCTGTGACACAACAACGGCGCCCTTGCCATGCGTACGTCTGGTTGCATCCAGTCATCTTGCTTGCCTTCTGTGTCCGGCCCGGGTTTGAGATAACTATCCAGTCTATCGACATGTGTACCTCGTGCTCGTGATATATGACCATCCGGCAAAAGAGGAAGTAAAGCCTCACACATGGACTGTGCTCCACTAGAAAGAGGAAAGTTTGGTCCAGATTTAGGTCGATTCCGCTCATTGCTGGCGGTTGAAGTCTGGGATGTTTGAGTGACAGAATTGTAGGTCTGTGTTGAGATGCCATAGCCCATTCTGTTTTGTCCGAGGATGTTGATTAGTCGCGTCACTTCCGCTCGTTCGGGATGTGGAATGAGGAACTCAAAATATGCTCTGCTTTTTGTTTGCTGGTATAGCGGGATGGTTATGTAAGGGAACGTAGAAGTTAAGCCCCAGGTTTGCGTGCAGGTGGTTGCGACTCCACCATCGTCGATGCGGAGCGGGATCACGCCTCGCTCTAGTAATAGCTTAAGTGCCCACCGCTGCGGTCTCTTATACCTTGCCTGTATTGTGGAAATATACTCGGTGCGGAAAGGTGTATGCTGGGGTGCGATCTCACGCTCATGAGCTAGGGCGATGAGCCCATACAATGTAGACCAGTCTTTTGTTAACCAGGGCTCTTGCCATGCTTCTGCTAGTTCTCGCTCTTCCTGTTGTGTCGCTGAGATCTTCAGGCGACGGCGGTGGGTAAAATGGTCAACTATAAGAATAGAGATGGAGAGGATGAGAAGTGGGAATGTGCTGGGTTTAGTGAAGCTATAGGGGGTCACGGCGGGTCGCTGGCCGAGTGTGCGATTTCGTCCGATCATCACGGATGTTGTTGCTCTTGTGACGAATGCTGTGATTGTTGAAGTTGTGGCCATCGTTGCTGTGTTAGACATAAGATACCTACCACGTAGAACAGCACATATGCATCGTCCAGCTAGTTAAGCCTTCCAGTAAGCGTTAATGTTGTATCGAGGTGTTCATGTCGGTTGTGTAGGCTTTGTATGCTAACAGTCTGACCTGTTCGTCATTGAAACATAGGTTCTTTTGCCCAGATCCGGCATGTTGTATCGCTTTGTTCGTTTGTTCGGGAAACGCTGTAGTTGCGTATTGTCCCTACATTCAGGATGACAATGAGCATGCAAATCCAGTTTTTCAAGCATTGAAGATTGCGAGGCAACCTGGCGTGGAGTTTGACAAGATTCAACAATCTTTCATTGTTTAGACGAAGCCTGGCTCCAAGCGTTGTTTCATCCAAATTCCTATCTCTTGTAATTGTGGGTTCTGTTCTACATCCGCGTCTGGTTGAGTCCAAAGACCTACGCCTTCGTGCGAATCTACTTCTACTCGCCCCTTGGCGATATCTTCGTATTGCCTCTTCTCTGCCGCATCAAGCCATCTCGACCGGCCAGAATGCGATTTCAGAATTTGACGCGCAATGCTGCGTTGTAGCATCCTCGCCAGCTCGTGTGTGGTATCGGATAGCGGACTCTGCAGGCCAGTAGTAATGTTCCACACTGGTAAGCTTAGTGGCATGGTACCACCTGGGGGGTAGTTTCGCGCGTAAGCACGACATCTGCTCAACGTGGGTATTGCTGGCGGGGCTTTGACTGCTTCTTCAAAAGTAGCATAGTGGTTGAGGGCCATCTGAATCTCGGGGTCGAGGGGCTGTATATCGGGTTGCAGCGACGCGAAGATGTCGTCTTGTGGTGGAAAGGTTAGTTGGGCATGGGGAGAACGAAAGAAGTGGATGGGTGAAGCGAATCGATCGAAATAGTCTTGTGGCTTCTTGAAGAGGACGTCACGCTGCTCCGACAGAGTCCTAGCAGGTATGATTGTGTTGTCTCTGTTAGCCTGCCAAGACGTCGGAGGTGGTGTTTTTGGGGAACGTTTCTTGGGTCGCTTGCGTTCAGTTTGCAGGTTTTCTACAGCTTCACGAATCGCTAACGAACCAGCCAGGTCTTCGTCGGCAGGAAGTTGTGTTTCATCGCCATACTGAGGCTCTGGGAGATCTTCGGGTTGGATGACTGCAAGCTCGTCTGGGAATACCCAATCTACGATTGGGTTATTGACAGCTGCGGCACCAATCCGACTCTCTCCAAGGCGGCACTCTGTCAGGGCCAGCATCGTTGCCAAGGAGCCGCCTACGAGTTCTCCGCATACACCAAGACGGGCTAGATAGGGTCGCGAGAATTCATCGATAAGCAAATGCTCGCAGACCCAGTCATAACCGAGCAATACATCATGACAAGGTGTAGGATACTGGTTCAAGGATGATGCGCGGTAATTGATGCGGACAACAGTCGCAGCACTTGAGTCTTGTAGCGTTGTTATCACGCGCTCCTCATCTTCCAGGCTTTTCTCTACCACTGGCCCTGGAGGGAGGTAGAGTAGGATCGGAGCCGAAGATTTTGGCGCACGGAACACGCTGTAGGAGCTCTGTTAGTATGTACACGACAAGCCAAGATGACGCCCAGAAGTCACGATCTCAAGATACTCGCTTAGGGTGGGGCATGGTGTTGGATTATGGAGGAGTCGAGCACCGTGAGGTCATCGCGCAGCATCGCGGGCTGTTTACCCGGGCGAATGCAACGACGAGAGCGCAAGAAGGAGCGACCAACAACGTCATGTGAAGAAATAGACGAGAGGCATACTTACTCAACTGTAAAGGAGCCGTTTGACCGAGAAGGGATCTCGACCCGTTCACATGGTGGTGGAGCGGTGACGGCCGAGTAAGGGCGTGTGAGAAGAGCGCATGAACCAGTGCGAAAGGCAAGACGCGACAGTTGGGGTGACGATAGGGCAGTGGAAGCCTTTAGACAGGAGTATCGCAGCATTAACGTGGAGCATGCAAGCGATGGTGGGCACAGTGTAGTCACAAGGCGCAAGGCGGGCAAGGCAGGCAAGAGGGAGAAGAGACCTCAGTTCGCTTGGGGTGTGTCGCTTCCCTAATCGGATGCGGTAGTCGGTAGGCGGTAGTTAGTAGCCGCCCTAGGGGAAGGGGTGACGGCCGCAACCCAAGCGCATCGACGACGAGCTCCGACCTCATGCAATTCGAAATTTGCGTGCGCGAAATACGAGTACGTGCCAGCGAATGCGAAAAGAACAAAAGACGTTAGTAGAGCTGTCAACCATCAACGAATGTCCGGTAGTGCTCAGGGGGGAAGTGGTGCGCGGGTCAGTATGTGGCGCGGCCTGCAGGGAAATTAGTTTAGCTGCTTTCAACCCCGAACTGGAGCTGGTCTGGTGCAGTCCACAACCCGCAAGCCTGATTCCATTTCTACGCCGCCTCCGCTCCCTGGTGCCGACTTGTCTTTCATTCTTGTCTGTCCTTGACCGCTGTGCTGCGCTGTGTGCGATTCTCCTTGTGGTGCTCCAATCCCGACAGGCTCTCCCTCAACCTATCCTATCCCGCCTATCTGCGCCTACGATCCGCTTCACAGCCTCACACAGCCGCGCAGCACCACACTCGGTACCACCTAATGCATGCGCCTGCACACCTCGCCCGGTAATTCCTCTTAATATAGCCTTTTTCGAAGATTGGGTTGTGCGACAACAAACTCGTGGTTCCAACATAGCAACCCCCCGAAACGCTTGTCGCGACGAGCCCCGACCGCCAGTCTGACACGTGCTTTTTCATACAACGCATCCACGACACACCTCAAACCTCTACAAGGCGGATACGCATACGAGAAACTGGCGGTTGCCGAGTAATACCTGGGAATTCTGCTTCGGGTCGTTGCCCGTTAGCTTATCGATATGGCGGAAGTATCCAAGCTCCGCGCAATTCTCACACTGTGCAAGAATCTGGTGCTGGCAGCATTGCTCTACGCAGCCATCTACGGTGTCATCACCTTCATAAACGACCCTTCCGTAGCCGCAAAGGGCAAGATTGGCATCCCTGCCTTCTTGGACAAAGCTGGGCCTACCGAATTGATCGAGACGACCAAGGCAGGAGTCAAAGTCAAGTTTGCGGGCACCACCAAGACCGTTACTATCAACCCTCACGCCAATGTCTTCAACCGTCCTATCACCGCTGTAAAGAACAAGGACGATTACTTGGGTCCCCGCCCCCATGTCGATACCGAGGCCGACATTGATATGCTGATTGAAGAGTGCCGGGGTACTTATGCTGGGATTGAGAAGATGAGGAGGCCGTTTGACTGTCTGAAGTTCTTCGCTGAGGGCGAGGACCGCTACTACAGCCTCCCAGAGCCCGCCGACCGAGCCAGTGCTTCAGACCCCCGCAAGGCCGACTTCATCGACGCCGACGGACACGGCAAGACTCTCGAGAACTATACACCTATAAAAGACGCGATTGCTGCCAACGGGTCCAACATCGGCACTTGCCCAGGTCCAATCATCCCGTTTCACACCTACTGGACCGGACCTGCTACGTGGAGAGTCGAGGCATTCATCAAGAGCTACCTCTACACCCAGAATCTGGCCTGCTCTCGTCTTTGGTTATGGCTCGACACCGATCACAACCCCAACGCGGTTGAAAACATGCTCAACAAGGACGCCCTATTCGCCCGATTCATTCCCCTGGTCGACAGAGGTGACATTGTTGTCAAGGGTTGGAAGTTCCCCAGCCGCATTCCATTGGCTACTGACAAGGAGGACAAGAACGGTTTCGACTACTACAGCAAACCTGGAGCGGTAAACGCCAAGGGAGAGAAGGATGTGGCCGAAAACATCATCGAAGACAAGACTGGTCAACAGTGGCTCGTTCTCACTCAAAAGCAGATGACCTTCCTTCCAGTCGCAGTTTCCGATGCCGTTCGTTTCATCGTGTTGCATATCTATGGAGGCGCCTACTTTGACATGGATGTTCTCATGCTCCGAGACATGCGACCGCTTCTACTACCAAAGGAGCACTCTTGGGCAGAGCGATGGGCTGCACACCCCCACCCTGGCGACTACAACACAGCCATCATGTCACTGTCTGCGAACTCCTCCCTCTCGTCATACTTGCTCTACGGCGGCATCAGAATGGGTGTCAACTTCCATCCACGCGTGCTTGGTCGTATGGCTTGGAAGGACGGACGCGATCAAGAGTTCAAGATGTTTGAGACTGCTGCCTTCGACCCTATCTGGACCGAGTTCAACTGGGACCGTGAGGGACGATGCACAGTACCATGCATCCGCGATTACAGCGCAGTCTTCAAGGGCAAGATTGGCGGCGTCAAGGATGAATGGGAGAGCTACGATGGACCCCAACTAGATCGCATCGACCTCAAGGACGCGCAACGCAAAGAGCTTAGGACGGCTGGCGATGCATTAGCCAAACGCGGGGAGGAAAATGTGCCCGCTTCTGCTGCTTTACCTACGCCCAATCACGGCGACAAAGAACATCCCGATTCGTTTCAAGCCACGCTTGACGAAGAGGCTGAGCTTCGCAAGGCCGGTGTGATTACTGATTACGTTTTGGCCGAAGACAAATTCCCACCCAACAACCGTACATTGGAGAACTTCTTCCGGGGTGCCTGGACCTACCACATCCACAATCAGGTAAGCTTACTCCGAAATTTCTCCCTTTGTCGCTCTCTCACATATGTGGTTGCCACCTCAACCCCGCTTTGGCGCTTCTAGCTCGTCTGTCCCTGCAGCAGCTAGCTTGGCAACGGCTCGTGTCTGGAGATCGCAAGCTAGTACTCTACAAAAGTAGAAAGAAGTCACGCTAACAATTTGTTACAGTGGATGAAACATCCTGAACCTTCGTCATGGATCTCGGTCCTCGAACACGCTCACGACGGGTTCATCGCTGGCAAGCGCACGAACGCTTATGGCGAGAAGTGGACGGGTCCCAGCATTATGCCATACAACTACTGGCCAGAGTATGTGTGAGCCTCCGGCTGAGCCGAACCTTAAGCCCCCTTCTGCGATGTTGAGAAGTCGAACATCAAGGAGGTTGCCGCGCCGAATATCGCGCTGTGACGACTGCGACTGGTTCTTACCAACGGCAAGTTACTCATTACGTCACACGATCACCAGCATACTCCGATGGACGTCCCTATATCACTCATCATCTCATCCAACACCACTTTATGGATCACGACAACGTCAAGTCATCTTCACCAAAATAAGCGCAGCATAAAGCCAGATCTACAGCTATCTGCTTTTGGAGTTCCCGGTGTTTACATGTATCTTCATTGTCCCGCTCGCTTTGGCGGCATATACCCTTCGTTTCTTGTTAGTCTTTTCATCATCGGTTTGGGCCGTTGATACTTGTCCTTTAGGGGCGCATGCGCCAGCCAAACTTAGGTTTCTAATTCGTCACATCAAACATAAGCAGAGAGATTTAACGAGGTGTCGTCATGGCCAGAACAAAATAGAAAATATTACATCCATAGACCTCTTTCTGAGTATGCTGCTGGTTGCGTCTAAATCATCACTCTGTTGGTCGCTCTCTCGACCTGTTGCGATGTCCGGTACATTCTCCTATTGATTTATATCTCTACAGTTTCACATCTATGCGGGTACGCCACCATCTAAACCAGATCCCTGAAGCTGCAGACGCCAATTCCAGGACCATTTACCTACTGTCACTGTTTGGAGGAAAGCACGCTCATGGAACAAATAGTCTCGGAAACAAGGCATTTACTCATAGGCAGGTAAATACATGCCGCAATCCAGAAAGAGAAACAATCATCTTCCGCAGTCAACTCATCGCATTACAACCCTCCCAATCACTTCTTCACCTTTTCAAAGCCCTCGAAGTTTGGCAGCTTGGCTCTGATCTCATCCGCATACGCCGGCAACCCTCCAGCGTAGTTGACCTGCTCGAAAGCCTTACCTGGCATACTCCCGCCCATATATGTACTCTTCGTTGTTGGGAAAAGACTCTTGTCGCTCAACTCATTGATGCGCGCCTTCCACTTCTTACTTGCATCGTCTGTCGGATTGACATACTTCAAGCCCTGTCGTTCAATCTGCTTAATAGCATCCACGATCCAGCGACCTTGTACTTCGACGCTCGTCGGACCATTGGAAAGAAGTGTCGGACCATGCGGACCTAGAATTTGGAAGCACAGAGTCAGTGTTTGTCTCACAAGCAGTTCATACTAGGACATGTCTCACCATAGAGATGGAACATATTCGGATATCCAGCGATAGTAGTACCGAGGTATGTGTATGCCGCCTTCTTCCACTGAGACTGCAAAGTCACGCCGTCAATGTTCTTGAGACCCATAGATGTCATGCCGCCAGTAGTGATGTCAAAACCAGTAGCGATAACGACGACATCGAACTCATGGACTGTGCCGTCTTGCAGTTTGATGCCTTTGGAGGTAAAACCAACGATTGGGTTGTTCTTGATGTCAACAACATCTACGTTCGGACGGTTGAACTGTTCGTAGTAGGTCTGTTCGAGACAGGGACGCTTGACGCCGAAGGGGTGAGGCGGTTCTAGTGGAGCGAGGAGGTCTCGAAGTCTGGGGTCGCCAATGCGGGTGCGCACGTTCTTAGCCCAAAAGTCATACGCTGTGTGTATGTTAGTTGCTGACATAACATGTTTGATACAGATAACATGACTTACCCTTCCTGTTAGCTTTCATGTCAAAGAGGTAGTCCTTGTAGTTGGCCAGCCAGAAGCGGAAACCTCCTTCGTCCCATAATTTCTGGTAAAACTTCTCTCGCTCTTCTTCGGTGTCTTCAAATGTGCCCTTCTCGTAAAGACCATACAAGAATCCACCAAAGTTTCTCTCCCGGTAACGGAAGAGTTCGGGGTAGAACACTTTGGTGTCGTTCTGCTCTTTAGCGGTGAGACTTCTCTTCCGCATAGGAACGGCTAGGTTGGGTGTGCGTTGGAAAACCTTGAGCTCGCCAGCAACAGGACCCCAAGCCTGCGTGATTTGTACACCGGACGCACCTGTACCGATGACAGCACACTTCTTTCCGCGAACGTCGATGTTCATGTCGGGCCAGAAAGAAGAGTGGTGCACAATACCTTGGAAGTCATCAATTCCCACAAATTCATCTGGAATGTAACGCTTAGCAGCGAAGCCTGCCGCAACCACAAAGTACTTGGCCTTTGCTGCGCGGCCATCAGCGGTTTTGATCGTCCATTTGCCCTCTCGGGTGTTGAACTGGGCGTCAACCACAACACTATTGAAGGCGGTCTCCTTCTTGATACCAAGGACTTTGTCGCAATGGTCAAAGTATGCACGCAGGTCTTTGTAGTCGGGATAGTTGCTGGGCCACACCCAGTCCTTGTAAGTCTCTGGGATAGAGAGCTGATATTCTGGGATCTCAGAGTCCACGCCAGCCCCTGGGTAGCAGTTCCATCTCCAGGTGCCGCCAAGGTCCTATGCATGTCAGTAGAGACCTGAAGTTAAAGGTAGCATGGAATTACATTGCCTGCTTCATAGATGACAGTGTGGAAGCCCGCCTTCTTCAGCTCATACCAGCAGTAGATGCCACCAAACCCGCCGCCCACAACAAGGGCGTCGACATCGAGATTGTCGGCGTATGGCCCCGTAGTACCGCGGCGTTGAGCGTACTCGTGGAGTTCAGTCTTGATCTTCATATCGGAATCAGAGGTTGGTCAAAGAAGTTTCTGAAAAGTGGTTTGAACTGAAAGTGTATACTATTCCCCACGCAAATACACCTACCTTATATCCTCATAGCTGCTCTCCACATTTGGAATATGTGTACCTGTACACGTTGTACTCTACAAACAGAGACATGGTCGCCGCCGGCTCCGTTCTTCCGCTTGCGTTTCCGCTTCCCATCTTAAAACAGCGAATGGAGTTCTAATCCGGCGGACCCGTCGACATCCGCAAGGGTATCCGTAAGCCCGTTACACAGCTCAGATGACTTTCCAGCCTCTGAATGAAGCGATATTCTTTATTTTGCAATCTGATAGGCTTGGCTTATTGCGAGACTATTGTTTCTAGGATCTGTACGTTTTGTCGTATGTATCGTATCGGCGAACACACCTGGCTGCGCTTCCGCACCCACTTCCGCAATAGTCGACACCGACAGCTTGGCACGGGCGGGGGCGCGGATCATCGACACTTTGCATTAGAAAATACCAACATCGACCTTGAAAGCGTTTAGCGAGGTGCGGGGAGGTAATGTGACTCTTCCACATCAGCTCACTTTGCCCTTCTTTGCGGAGATTGCGGTGCCGGCGAGGATGGATTAGTGGAATGCCTCAAACGTTGACATCGAGATCGTAGGTGTTTGCGACGTGTATTTACCATCGAGGAAATGTAAATATCGAACAGCAGAACTGCTGCGCATTCCTGTACTTGATAGTCGTTTGTCTCACCTTCGAAGAAGATAGACTTCAGCATGAGCAAACTATCCGCTCAGACACTGTCCCAGCTTTCGCAAGCCGCCGACGATGCATGTACAGACCAGATAGCTGGTATCCCGGGTGCGGTGGTTGTGGTTGTCGGTAAGGATGGCAAGGAACTCTTCTCCCATGCAGCCGGAAGACGTGGAGCAGGCAGCCATGAGCCTATGACCCTCGATAGTGTGTTTTGGATCGCATCGTGTACGAAGATGATAGTGGGCGTTGCTGTGATGCAGCTTGTTGAGAGGGGTGTATTAAGCTTGGATGACTCGGCGCAGGTGGAATCGCTTTGTCCAGAACTGAAAGCGGTTCAGGTCTTGAAGGCCGATGGAACTCTCGTGCCGAAGAAGCGAGGCATCACACTCCGCATGCTGCTGTCTCACACTGCAGGATTTGGATACACCTTCTTCAATGAGAAGCTAAGAGACTTCAGTCGACCCGCGGGTTGGGACGAATTCTCCGGGTTAGAGTTCGACATCAAGCAGCCGCTCGTGCATCAACCCGGCGAGGGTTGGGAATATGGGCTCGGCATCGACTGGTATGTAAAATGGACGAAATCTGCATAAGACAAGTGCTGATGCGGTGTTCTCAGGGCAGGAAAAGTATTGGAAAGAGCAACAGGCCGTACGCTTGAAGAATACTGCCAGGAAAAGATTTACGCCCCGCTCGGACTGAAGAATGTTTCCATGAAGCCGCACGCCGAGATGTTGAGAAATTTGGCATATATGAACAGCCGAGATGGAAACGGAAAGCTCTCAAGGAGGGTAAGCACTGCGATTGGCATTCAGTCACAGGGTATATACTGACCTGTTTATCCGCGGTAGGACCACCTGCTGAGACGCCCTTTGTTACCAGACGAGAGCCATTCACCTAGCTTCTTCTACAGCGGGGGAGCCGGGTGCTTTGCAAAGCCCCGAGAATATGCCCGTAAGCACAGCTCTTTCACCCTTCGTGTGATCAATGATCAGCGTTTGACATGCATTAGAAATTCTGGCAATGCTCCTAAATGACGGCACGTCGCCCACGACCGGCGCACAGATTCTCTCCCCGTCAACCGTGGAAATCATGTTCCAGAATCAGATCACCCAATTTCCAAACTTCGCACGTCAAAGCATCCCGGCTGCGAAGCCGGATCTGACAAACGCTATACCGGAGATATATCCCGTACCTGGCAATGGCCCGCAGGGTTGGGGGTTGACATTTATGTTGAGCGGTGCAGGCGCAACCGGAAGATCTGCAAGCACTGCATTTTGGGCAGGCCTACCTAATCTTTGGTGGTGGTGCGATCGAGAGAAGGGGGTTGCTGGCATCGTCGCCACGCAGCTATTGCCTTTTGCAGACGGACAAGTATTGAATCTATGGGGTAAGATCGAGTCGGCGGTCTACCAGGCTTTGTAGACTGGAGACTAATACGGACGTTATATATGTCTGTGACAGCAACTGTGACGTGGGATGAGTGTCGTGACGCGGGATCGGAGTTGTGCGGTTGATACTAAGGATCGATCGGTAGAAAGAAGCCGAAGATGCGCTAGTCCTAAAGTAGAATGGCTGAGCACCGATATCAATCAAAGTGATGTTTTGTCAACGGCCCAACGTCCTGAGCGGTCCGATCCTCTGACACTCCTTTTCAGCTCTTCAGCAAAGAGGCCTCTCGATCGTGATCACCACATTCCACACTTGAATGCACCTATCGGCATATAGCGGAACTAAAAATTCCTTTCCACCATTTGGTCAGACCAGAGCTCAACCATGACGTATCCCAGAGTTTCGAGGCTTCTCATCCTCGCAGCTGATCCCCCGCATGGGCGAGGGTGAATGTGAAAAAGCGGGGTCGCTGCAATAACCTGTATGCGTCCGCGCTTAGCAACGTCGTATGCCGGCTACCTTGTATGCAGTGTAGTCTCTCGTTAAGATCAATCATTATCCTCCCCTAACTTGTCTCATCCATCGCCATCACCGACGTTACAAGCAAAAATGTTGAAGACTTTCGAAAGCAGTACTATGACCGAAGTACCCAGCAAATCTCATGCAGAAAGGCCCGACAACTCAACAACACCACCTAAATTATCGTCCGCGAACTCTCAGCCCACACAACAGCCCTTACCTCCTCGTCGTCAGCAATGGCGTAGCTGCGACTCGTGTAGGCGCGGAAAGAGAGCTTGCGATGCAGACAAGCGCGCCGATTTTACAAATCAAACGTGCTCGAACTGCCTCCGGAAGAACCAAGCCTGCACGTTTAACTGGTTGAAGACAGCTTCGGAGGGCCATCAAGAGCGGGATAGGAAACGGAGACGTTCATCGTTACAGAGTGGTTACGATCGTGCCGAAGATTCAGCATCCACTCGCTCTCTCAGCCACCATTTTCGAGCCCCGTTCGACTCTACCATAAACGGACTTTACTACGAGGTACCAAATCGAGGGACACAATCGCTGTCGTCTCTGGATCAAGATGACGAACAAGAAGATCGCTTCGATATCACGCAGAACGACAATGTGGACAATGGCTCGAGCGAACCGATATCTATTGATAACCCAAGTGCGGCACAGCCGGAAAAGAGTGATGAACAAGAATTCTTCGTCTCTTCCCGCGCCCGACGAGACTCATTAGACGTACGTCCTTATGGTCGTAACCGAAAAAATGACGCCAATTCTCCATTCATGGACATATTATTGGGGGAGAGGACATCACGAGGTTTCGTAACCAATGGCTTCTTGCGCATCTACAACGACAGCATGGAAAACTCCCTTTCGTGTTGGCTTACAGAACATAACTGTCCGTATACTATGACACGCTACAAGCCTTCCATCCTGTCTGCAAGTAAAGCCTCACGGGAATGGGGTGGATCCTGGTCTAACAGGATGTACAATCGAGTCATTCAGCTTGACCGAGCCTATGCAACCCTTCTTATTCGGAAACTAACACCTGATGAGGAGCGCATTGTCTCTAAAGCACTGAATATGACCATCATGTCTTTCGCTTCACAATGGGCTCAAGCAGGTGAGAGAGGGACCAAAGGTTGTCCGGCAGAATCCCGTTTCACGGCGGATGGATTCCCTCAGTCAAATGAGTTTGAGCGTTCTATGCAAGAGACTCTCTGGCATCAAACGTCTGAACTGCTTCATCGGGCTGCTAGCATCGACTCTTTTCGCGTGGTCTTTGCCTTGATCATCTTCTCGTTGACTCAGCGGCCTCTGGACACCACACGCCCATCTCTGCGTACCAACTCCAAGCTGGGGACGCATTACGAGGAGTTTCAAGCTTTGGTGCAGGATGATGACGCTCCGATTTTCCTTGAGATAGCTTTGCGACAGCTCCTCGCTCAACGAAGGAAACTGGAACGGATAGAACAGCAGATGGCAAGCCAAGGAAATGGAGAAACAGACCCGCTACGTCAGGAAGACCGAGATACGTTCAACTTATTGTATTGGTTAGGGGTTATGTTCGATACTCTATCTGCAGCAATCTCCCAACGCCCGGTGGTAGTCGACGATGAGGACAGCGAGTTACCACGATCAAACAACCACGAGTACGGAGAATCCCTTGTGTGGGCCAGCCCTCCTAGCATCTACAATGACCGATTCACAATGCCAAAGAATGCGACTAATACCTTTACTAACACCCAAACATCACAACCCTCTGCTGAAAGCAACGAGGTTTGGGGTGATCTGTTCACACGCTACGGGAACTTGGAAGTGGACCCTGGAGCAGCGAGGTGGCCATGTAGCTACAGGCTTGCCGCATCGACACTCAGCTCTGCCGCACCAGTGAAAGTGCTCTTGTTCCGGCGTGTGGCACATCTCCAAGCCCTGGTCTCGCGTAAAGCTTTATCCGACAGGATTGAGGTAAGCCAATGCTTTCATCTCTTCCGACTATGATCATTCGACTGACTATGCCATGCATACAGTCAGGGATAAACGCCGCATTCCAAGTATACAACCACTGGCATCGTAACTATGCTCCTTTCTTCTCCGACTGCGTAAAGCATCACGCCACTCTCCCTACACGTGTGCAGTCCTGGTACATTCTCTTGGCAGGACACTGGCATCTTGGAACCTTTTTGCTTTCCGATCTTCTCGCAACGATCGATTCGACCAATCTCTCTTCTTCTAACGAAAGGATTTGCCGGCAAGCTTCGAATCTTGTCGCTACGTTGCGCCGACAGAATGCTCTAGCAGTCGCCGACCTAAGTCTAGCAAGCATACACAGCGTCAATGACACAAAGGCGTCAAAAGATTTCCATTTCGCTTTGAGCCAAGCTGCGCTATTAACAGAGCCGTGGACAGTAGTTTTCGTGCGCTCATTATGCAGAGCCGGCTACATTCTGGTCCAAATAGCAGCTTCAGATCCAAGTGAGGAGGAGCAATCCCAGGCGAGACGGAGATGCAGCGATTGTATCGAGGGTCTCTGGTATCTCGGTCGTAAATCCGACATGGCATTCCTAGCCGCACGTTATCTATCGGATATGTTGGATGAAGCAATACGCGATATGAGTGCACGGACAGTCCCCGAGGATGAAGGGAGTGATAGTGTTCCGACAGTGTCATCGCATTATGACACAAATCCCAGCCCAGGGGCCGATGCAGCGACTGCTGGATGTCAACAATCGTTCAGTTCGATGGGTCCTTTTCCACAATGGCCGGTTGATGACCTGATGGGCGGTTGTCAGCCGGGTGGCAAGCTCAATGAGTGTGACATGCTGAATTTGGAACCTCCGATAAACGTCGATAGTGCTCTACTTTGGGATTTTAGTCTTCAGTGCTAGCGAGAGAGGTAAACCGTTGAACAGGAGTGTACATGTACATCACGAGGGAAGGGACGAATAGCAGGGTATTGTCGGGACGAAGCAAGGTGAATCAGCACTGAGTGAGAGGATTAAAGAGGTCAGGCAAGTAAATACATGAAATTTACGTCTAGACCCACGTGAGGAAGGTAGCTCTAGGGTGACTACCCGTGACATCTGTGGCAAGATATGTCCTTCTCGATGGCTTAAGATCTAGCAAATAGCAAACAACGAAAAAGCTTGAATATACAGACGCAGTGAGTACTTTCTCTACTTGAAACTACTGGTGCCATCGATCGTCAGCCATACCATGCTTCCACCAAAAAGCGATCCCGACTACGAAGAGCGATTAGAGCTTCTTTCCAATATCCAAGATCAGTGGGATCCCAGGACAGAATGTAGCAGGCTCATCCCTAAATCCATGCGGTACGATAGCTCCATCAGTACCTGGCCTCTACCAGTCCTACGAGGCATAAGCGCCCTCGCTAGTGATATGCCGGGCGATGACGCGTGGAATGAAGTTTACGATCTACTGGAAGAAGGACAGAAGAAGAGGATGAAGGACAAGTCAAACAATCTGCCAGCACAGATACAGCTAAGCGATTTAGAGTATGTCCGACAACACTATGGTGGGGATGAGCCGATTCAACGGGAAAAAGGAAAGGGAAAGTTGGTTGGTAAGGATGAGAACGTGGATGGTGAGTTCGACCTCTTGCTGAGTGCTTTTACATTGAACGACGACTGACATGCGCAGATACAGGATTGATTGCCAGAGACAACGACAGCCTCGTCAGCCAATCTGGCAACTTCACCAGCAGCGTCGGCATCACAACAGCAAATAAAGAAAGTCCACAGTATAAGCAAGGTGGCATCACCGCGTCAGAGCACGACAACGAAACAGATTCTCTTCCACCATCGATTCTCCCCGACGACACAGAGGCCGTTAGATTTCAGAAGTGGAATCGCTGGATACAACACTATTGGAATGTGGATGACTGCAAGGACCTCATTCCTGACGACATGTTTGAAAGAGCTCCAAATAGAAAACCAAAGCGTGGCGGGAGGTTAGAGAACTTCAGAGGCTCGTACAAAGGTGAGCTCCTAGAGCAACTTTAAAAGTTGGCTCGAATCACGGGATCTTTGCAAAGAGATGAGGCGTGGGCGAAGATTCGGGAGAAGTGGAATGGGAGATCTACGGGAAAGAACGGTAATAAGGCTATGACAGTTGGAGATGTGAAGTTTGCGATCGAGTTCTTCCGCAGCCAGGGTGCAAGTATAAGAGAGCCGTCTGCTGCTGCTGAAGGAGCGATAGCTAACGCTGCACCACAAAGCGACGAGACGCACTCTCGAGACAAATTAGAAGGGGAGGCAAGTAAAAGAGACAAAGAGCATGGAGATGTGAGAGGAGCCGTCCAGGAAGAACAGCATGTTGAAGAGAGAAGGTAAACTTTTGTTCAGCGTAAAGTACTTCTTCTTACTACAACAAATCATATCTAGAGCTATTTAGATATAGATAAAGAACCTAGAAGCCTATAGTGCTACCAATCTTTGTAGATCTTCTTGATTACAGCTAATGCATACTGTAAGGTAGGGCTTGTTGTTTCTGTTTTTGTCTGTTTCTTTGCTTCCCTGGGGTGAGAGAGAGATGAAGGTTGCGGAAACGGGACGTCACGGGAGTGATCGAAGAGTGATAAGATTGATAAGTCAACTAGGAGATGCATATATAGAGCAAAACGGCCGATAGAACGAGCGATATGAGATCGACAATATCATCAAATTGGTCGCTGGGTGT